GCTAATAATAGCTGCTGCCATTATATTTTTTAGCAAGGAGGTTATTATTGCGGAAAAGGCTATTGCTATAGGGCTTGCATTAAGGGCATTGCTAATTAATAAAGAAATTATAATTAATAAAGATAAAAAGGTATTAGCTTTTTAATAATTAGCTTTATAATGATTAGCTTTATTTTAATTAATTTAAGCTTTTTTTCCTTAAAAAGCTTTTATTAATATTTATATGCTTTTAATTATAAGTAAAAGGTTATTATTATAAATTCTTTTTAAAGCTATTTAAGTATATTTAATTAATTACCTTTATCTTTAATTAATAAAGTAATTAATACCTTAATCATTAATATATAATTACATCTTATATAAACTTTATAATAGCAAAGCATTTATTTAAGCTTATAAAAAAGCCATTAATTAATCCTTTAAAAGCATTCCTTTATTTATTTATTAAATTTACATTAAAAGTTTTTAAAAAGATTTTAATTATAAGCTAAGTACCTCTTATAATTATTTAATATATTAATAACCTTTTTTTTATTAAAGAAAGGGGCTATTATTAATGCAAAGATTATTGTTATTAAGGTAAATCTTATAATAATTAATTATAAGGTAAAAAGGAAGAGAAAAAGGATATTTTTATATTATGCTTATAAGCTAACAATTAACTTTTAAATTATTTACTTATAAGTAATAACACTTAAATATTATTATTACTTAGCAAATTAATTTTTACTAGCTTTTTAAATAATTTATATTTAAAATCTTATTAAAGAACATTAATAAAAAGGTATTAAAAAAAAGAAAGGTTATGCTTATTAATTAAATATTAATTATTATTAAAAAATAAATATTTTAAAGGTTTAATTAAGTTATTTATATAATTAAACCCGTAGTAAATCTTAATTATTCCCTTTAATGGTTTTAAATTAGCTAAGAAAGTTGCTTTTTTTATTAATACTTTAAAGTATTTTAATTAAACGTGTTAATTAAGTATATAAATCGCTTAAAAGAAACATTATTTGCTAATACTTTAAAGTATTTAAGCGCCTTATGCTTTATTAAGTATTTAGGGTTTTTTTAAAGGGTTGGAGGGCTTAGGGCGTTAAGTAAGTGCCTTAAGGGGCGTTGGTTGCAAAAGAGGGCTTCTTAAGGGTGCTAAGCAAGGGCTTCTTAAGGGTGCTAAGCGAGGGCTTCTTAACGTGCTAATTGCAAGCAAAGGCGTTAATAATTAAGGGTGCCTTACAAAGGGCTTTTAAAGGTGTTATAAAGAAGGTTAAGGGTATAATAATAATATAATTAAAAGTTAAGCGTTTATTATAAATTAACCAACCTTATTAAAAGTTAAGCGCTTGCTATAAATTAAGGAAATTAAGTAAAGTTATTGCAAACTTATTTAATAATTTTTATAATATTGCATAAAAGCTAAAAAAGCTATATAAGCTTAAGGGTATTGTATTTACCTTTTAAAGTATTTAAAGAAGGGGTGATTAATTAAGGATATTATAAAGAAACTTTTAGCAATTAAGGAAGGTTATAATTATTTAAGGGTATATTAAGAAAGGCTTTTTAATTAAGGCTTATTATAATTATTATTATTATTATTAATAATTTGCATTAATAAATGTAATTAAAAATTAAGTATCATTGCTATAAACTAGTTTTTAATGCTTAGTTAAGCTTTTTAGCAGCTTATAATATCATTATTAATATAAAGTCCCTTAATGAAATCATTATAAATAAATAAGCTTTTAAGAAATAAGATTTATTTTTTTAATACTTAATTATTTATATTTGCTAAGCAAGCATTAATTAATATTAATTTAGCTTTTATATTATTAATAATAAATAAATAAAGTATATAATTAATTTAATTATAATATAAAGAGTAAGTTATAATAAAGTTATAGCTTTTTCTTATTTAGCTATAAGCTAGCTATAATAATTTATATGCAAGGTATATAATCGCCAGCTAATAACTAATTAATACTAGCTAGCAGCTGTTATTAATAAAACTAATTTAAACCTTGCACCTTTAAATTTATGCATTACCTGCAACACACTTATTACATAGGCACGTTATATATAATGCCCATATATATTATTTCTATAATTTATATAATAAAAACTTAAAGTTAATTAAATAAATATAAAATATTATTAATAATTAATAATTTAACTTTTATAATAAAAGCTTAATTTAATTATATAAAGTAAATAAAAATATTTAAAGCTTTTTATTTTATTTTATAATAATATAAAAGCATTTTTAATATTATAATAAAAAAATAATATTTAATTTTAAAATAATAAAGTAATAAATATTAATATTATAATAATTTTAATAAGTAAAGTTAAGTATTTTATATATAATTAACTTAATTATTATAAGCATAATTACTTTAATTATTATAAAAAATAAGAGTATAACTTTTATTAATTAAGATTAATAAGGAAAAAAAAGTTTATTTAAAAAAATATAAAACTTTTTTTTATAAAATAAAGCTTAAAGTATAATTAATTTAATATTAACTTAAGCTTAAAACATATTAATTATATATTAATTAATATAATATTATAAAGTATATTTAACTTTAAGGGAAACTTTATTAAAAAAATATATTATTAATATATTAAATATTAATTAATTATAAAAAATATAATAATTTTATAATTTTAAAGCTTTAAAAAAAGAAATATATATAAATAATTTATATTAAAAGCTTATAAAAATATTATTAATTTAATAATTAACTTATATTTAAATAATTATTTTATTATTTAATATATTAAATTATAAAGGTTAAAAGTATAGTAATTATAAAAAATAAATTAAGCCTTTAATATATTTAAAAGGCATTAAAATATAATTAAATAATTAAATACGAAATAATATTTAATTTATAATTAAATAATAATATTCTTTATTTTTTATTAAATAATTACCCTTTTAAGCTTATTATAAAAACTTAAAAAATAAGGATATCTTATAATTTAAGCTTTATTTATTATAATTAATTTATAAGCCTAATTTTATAAAAATAAGCTTTAATATAAATATAAATAAGAAATAAACCTTTTTTTTATATTTTAAATATAAACCTTATTTAAGTACCTTTAGCTTTAAAAGTATAAAGTAAGCTTATAATAATATATTTTATTATTTATAATTATTTAACGCATTTATTACCTTATAAGCTAAGTTATAAAGTTAAATTTCTTTAAAAATTAAGTTATTAAACTTATTTTTAAAATAAATAAATAAATAAATAAATAAATAAATAAATAAATAAATAAATAAATAAATAAATAAATAAATAAATAAATAAATAAATAAATAAATAAATAAATAAATAAATAAATAAATAAATAAATAAATAAATAAATAAATAAATAAATAAATAAATAAATAAATAAATAAATAAATAAATAAATAAATAAATTTAAAATAAAATTAATATTTTAATAAGTAAATTAAATAATTAATAAAAATATATATTAAATATTAATATTAATTAAGTTTAATTAATATTATAAAAATAATAAGATTATTTTTATTAATATATTAATATATTCTTTTTATTTACTTTAATTATTAAATATTATATTATATTTACTTTTAAAACATATATATAATAATTAAATTATTCTTTTTATTTAAACCTTTATTAATTATATTATTAAATTTAAGTTCTTTTTTATATTTATAATAACTTATAATAAGATTTTTATAAAAAATAATATTTAATTTATATTTAAAAAAATTAAAATTTTATTTTAAAACTTAAATTATATTATTTCCTAGCTTAATATTTACCTATAAACTTTAATATAATTCCTTTTTATTTCTCTTTAATATTAAATATTTTAAATATTATTTAATGTTTAATAAATTATTAAGTAATTAAATTATATTAAAAGCAAGATCTTTATTTATTAAAAAAGCTTCCTTATATTAATTATAAAGGTTATTAATAAAATAATAAAAGGGGCATAAGTTATAATTATTTTAATTATTTTTATAAATAAGTAAATTTATATGTTTTAAAATATTAATAAAGCACTTATTATTAAGGAATTTTAAGCTTTTATTTAAGAAAAATAAAAAGGGAAGTAGCTAGTTAATAAAATAAGTAATAATATTACGAAAGTAATTTATAATAAATTAATTAAATAATAATATAATAATTATAATAAAATTAAATATAATATAAAAACTTATAAGAAAGATATAAAAAACTTTAATTAATTAAATTTTAAATAAATTATACCTTTTTTAACCTTATTAATAATAATTAATATTAATATATATATTTAAGCAATTTACAGCAAATTACGTTTTTAATAATATAATTAACATTAATTAATATTAAATTTAATTAATTCCTTTGCATTAAATAAGTGTTAAAGTTAATAGAAATTAAGTAATGTTGCAAAAATTAATTATAGGGTGATATTAGCTACTTGGTAGTAAATTATGTTAAGTATAATTAGCATTAATAATAATTAAAGTAGCTTAATAAGTTAAATCCTTAAGGAATAAGCTATATTATATTTATATATTATAAAGATAAACTTTAGCATTCTTTTTATAAGTAAATTAACTATGTATAATTAGAATTAAGTGCGCAGTTGTTAATTATATTTTCGTGGTGATGATATGGCTGGTATTTGGGTGCCGGGAGCATTTGGCTTCCTGGTCATCCCCTCTACTTGGGGTAGGCCGCCCCAGGTCTACCGCTGGAGCAGAGACTATTAGGGCTGAGAGCCTAAATTCGTGGGCTTCAGCCCGCCAAAACGAGTGTGACTGAGCACCTGGCGCCCCCATTTTCGCCACCCCCTTACCTAGGCATAGGGACATTAGGGGATGCACCCTAACACACTCACCACAGGCACAACCCCTGGCATTGGCGAGAAGTTGACCATCACCCGCTTGATACACTGACTTTCTGCAAGTCGCTCGGGGTGAAACGCAACACCCGGTTTGCAGACAGGCATTTTCAAGCATGTCGGCCCTCGCCAGTGCTGTTGCCGCTATTGACAGCCTGCACACGATCCCCCCATTCACGGCCGATGATGAGTGGAGGTCCCTAGGTGCTTGTTCGTCCCCCCAACCGGTCAATCCACCCACCCTACCGTTGCCGTCCCGACTAACGTCTCGTCTCATGAACGGTAGCACTGCCGGGTCATCTCAGCTTGACACGGATCGCAGAGGAGATACCAGCCTTGAAACAGACGGCAGGTGCAGGGGAATGCAGAAACAACGTCGGCCTTCGGCTAACCCGAGCCTCTCCAGGATGCGCGAGCAGGCCTTGTGGCAGTCCTCGCCTGTCTGAAGCACAAGCCCAGCACACCGCGGCAGCCAGACGACGGCGCCTCGGCACAGCAGCTCTGTGACTACGTTGGCCGCATAATATCTCCATGTCCGGATGCTGAGGCCGGCCAGATATCAGGTACAGCGGATGAATCACCATGTGATTGATGCTCTCGGCTCCCTAGCTGACCAGACTACAGACCGTGATTACCCAGAGTACGAGCAGGTTGCTCACCGCAGCCGTGAGATAGCACCTTATGGTCTCAGTATTCTGCAGGTTTTGCACAATAACCACTCAACCAAGTTCAGCTTGGACACGCTTCTCACTGTCATCTCGTTCACCAATCCTGGCGTGACAGACCCATGGACAATCCACGAGGCATGCGATCTCGCACGAGACTTGCTGTCACAACAGCTCCTGCACCACTTCCACCAGTCCGACCTGATCGAGACCATCTTGAAGGACTACCTTCGCCCCGCCTTCTCAAAGTCACGGCCAAAGGCCGTCACCGCGTCAGGAAGGAAGGCAGAGTTCCCCGAAGAGGATGATCCTCATCGAGGTTTGGCGGATGAGACCAAAGAGGTGAAGCCATGGAAATATGAGGACCATCGAGCAATTGCAGTATTTCACTGGGTGGTCCTGACCACAGACGTGAGTTTGGCGACCAGCCTGAGCACCTGCCTCGCTCTCGGACGCTCCCTCACAGCTAACAAACTCGTACAGTCTGACCTGTTGAGCAAACAATGGCCCCTCTTCATCCCTGTTCTTCTGGCACTTCTAGATGAGGCTACCACGAGGATTCGGACGCGCGGCCTTCTCATCTTGGACGCTTTCCTGGAGAAGTTCCCGGCAAATATACTTCGCGATACCGGTCTAGCCAGCGTTTTCGAAGACGCGGTCTTCCCTACGTTACACTTCCTGCCCAACATCACGCCAGAGGAAGACTCCATTATTCTTCTCGAAGCAGCGTACACAGCCTTGCTGAGCCTGGCCAGAAAAACAGAACCGAAGGCCGGAAAGGCGGAGGCACACAGCAGTTCTGCGAAGGCGAAGCTCCTCGACAAGATACTGCGCGACGGCGTGTTCTCAGCGTACTTCCATGTCAAAGACCATGTTCGCATCGTAGAGGTGCTCTTGATCCAGACAGCCAAGGTCGTGGATGAGATGCAAATCCACGCCGTCAAGCACCTCAAGGTCAGTAACCCATCATTGCCCGGTCGCTCTCCTCATGCCAACGCCGACAACACGCTAACCACGCCGCCAGGACCTCATCCCCATGCACAGCGAGGTGCTTTCAAACCCCTTCGCCGCCCTCGCCCCTGCCACTTTATCCGCCGCGATCGCGGGCCTCCAGGCCATGATCGCCAACTGCTGGCCGCGCCTCGCTACCCCAGCTTACCAGGACGAGCTCATCAAGGCCCTTGTCGTGTGCTACCTGACTGTGCACGACGAGCAGGACCAGCTGGGCGCGCGCTTCGAAACCATCGATGCCGAGCTCGTCAAGACGGCGTCCATGCTCACGGTCGCGGCGAGGGGCGCCGGCGGCGAGGTCGTGCAAGACCTGGCGGACAAGGCGGCGCTGCTGGTTTCGAAGGAGCCGCTGCTTGCTGGGCTTTTCAAATGAACGAGCTCTCCCGCCAACATCTACCTTTCTAGATTTGATGAATCCCGGGGATCGCATGTGCCATGCTCCATCATCGTCTACTCATGAGATGGCTAACTTCACGTTGTGAGGTGCGATACCCTGTGTGTTAGATTTCCGTGTTCTTTACACGGAGCCCCTGACACATTTTATCCATGCTCAGACTTGGGTACTATAGGCTGCGTCTCGTCATTGAACTCATACACTCACCACCCTGGTTGGTCCAGCTTGGAAAAGCCGAAGTGACGTCTGTGGATATGCACATCTCGAATGTTGGGGAGCTATTCGGAGTCCATGCTGTGCTGAATTCTTTTCCGAATTGTGCCCCGGAATCTGATAAAGATCAAATCTGGTGGAAGTCGATATTAAAAATCCGATAATGCAGTATTGTGTACTTCAAAAGGGATACAATGCGATCAGGACTGTGGACGCCGGCTTTCCGTCCTCTTCTTCTATCTCGTGCGCCTGTGCTCCTAATCTGCGTCAGGTTCATCATATTCAACAGTATCTGAAATGCCAAACCCCGTGTCTTCTGGTCAATCTTTTGGCGACCGACTCTAGGAAAATGCGCCAAAACAAGACGAAGCGCCGATGACTTCAAAAAGGCTTCGTTACCACTTCGTCGATTGTCCTCGTACTCTCTTCCAAATCCTCCTCGCCGTCCTCGTCCGATGAAACCCACTTCTAGTCGATCGGCTGTTGCTTGAACAGCGACTTGCCGCGCAGCCATTTGCCGTAAGCCTTGTAACGCTTCTTCTGGGCGTCCTCCTCCTTCACAGTGAGGGGGTCTTCTCCCACCTTGAGGAGATCAGAGTACATGTGGTAGTAGTCCTCCGCGTTGCTCGTGCCTGGGGCGCCCGACGAGGACCCCGGAGGCACGAGGAGGAGGCCGTCGCTCTGCCACGCCCCGTTGAGGTACTCCTGATACTCGCCTTCCACTGCTTCAGCCGGAGTGTCGGCGGACACAACGAGGGGCAGGTTCTGTGGGTGGCTGATGTAGCGATCATAATCCTCTGCTTCTTGGTTACTGACAGAGGGGTTGAGAGATTCATGCACAACTTTGGTGAAGGTCCATTGCGCCTGCCGGGATTTCTCCAGTGGCGTAGGCTTCGTTTTCGGCTGGTTGGGGTCTACTGGTAGCTCGACATTGCCATTCACGATGGGCGTCGAGGGCTCCTTCATAATGCTATGAGGACTACCGTTGTGGATGGCCTTGTCGTGAGCCACAGGTTGGAGCCATCTCTGTAGCGATATGCCGCCTTTGTTTGTACTGCCTCCTTTTCCAGACATGATCGAGGCTGTGTCGTCGTCGCCATCGGCCTTGGCAATCTCGTGGGGGTCCAGGATGGTGACGCCCTTCTTGTGTCGCCTCTTGTCCGGGGAGTCTCCGTCGGCGTCGGTGCGAACACGAAATGGGCTCAGGTCGTAGCGCCCATCCTGCGTGGACTTGAATGGAATATACTTGATGGTTGAATTCATCTTGTATGGGAACATCTTCTGGAACGATGAAAGAGTCAACGGGCGATAATACTCCAGCCAGTAATCGTCAAAGTAGGAGACCGGCAACTTGGCTTCGGCACCCTTTGGTGGGTGATAATCAGGGAGAGAGCGCTCCTTCAGGTACTCAGCAGTGTACCATTGAATATAGCTCCTCTTGCTCGTCACTGACCACGTCCTCGGACTAGCATGATGCAGGTAGTAGTCCGTGGCCAGATCCCACAGCATCGGCTGCCCCTGTGCGAAGATATAGTTACCCAGAAACAAGTTGTAAGCCTCCTGCCGCTGTCCATCCATGAAGGAGTTGTTGTAGTACCGCTTGAAGCTCTCGATCATATCCCGTGAGTGGCTCGTCCACTGGTTAATTTTGCGGTATGTCTCCATCGTGTTGACGAGCTGCGAACCACCGTATTGCACCGCGATCGTGTCTCCATGGTCGTGGTACATGTGTGTAAACAGATTGACGGCGTCAGTGTCATATTCTATAGCAGTGTCGCCCAAGATGCCCAAGGCATGGAGCTGGTGGCCCAGGGCACGTTTGCCGATGACGAATTGCGCGGCGTTCGTGCGGTCCAGGCAGTCGATGCAGTTTGTCCTGGCCACGCCATTCTGCACCCGGGTCGCATTGATGGTCCCATCGCCGTTTTGGAAGAACCCAGTCGTCAGCACCACTTCCTCAGCAATGTTCTCCAGGGTCTGAATAACATCCTGGTCTCGGGCCTTGGCGGCGCGGGACATGTCCCAGTGGCGTTGGATAATCTTGTGCTTTTCAGGTAGGAACTGATTAAGGTACGTGATCGCTTTGCGATATTCCTCCAGCAGCTTCGACTCGCGCGGGGTCCGCTCCTTCGCCTTGACCAGGTTGAGCACATATATGGGCGAGCCATATCGCTCGAACAGGTTGTCAAAGTGCAACGCCGCGGCGCTGTAGAAGGGGTCGACTAAATTCAGCTCGATGGGCGGTTTCGGCGTGACACCCGTGTTGTCTTGCGTCCAGTATAGCGGAATGGATCCTCGGTGTTGCACGTAGGATGTGTAATCGGGACTGGCAAAGAGCTTGCCACCGGGTGCGTGGAAGGAAGTGGTGAGGGCCTCCGAGACGATCTGCTCTGTCTCAACGTCGTTGGCCACATAGCCAAGATCGTTCGCCCCTCGCTTGAGAAAGCGTGCTCCTGCAAAATAGCGAGACCGCCTGGCGATGATTGTGATGAAGGCAGTCCGGCCGTAGATTGATACAGAGGCTTGGTCTACGTATCCGTGAATGATAGGACGGCACCAATCAAAAGGGTCCTTCAAAGCGTCCACGGCGGGCTGGAGAAGGTGGCTGTTCCAAACGAACATGGTGTTGTGGTTATCGTCCACGAAGCAAGGCAGCCCATTGTTGAGGGCGTTCCGCTCCTTGCTTATGTTTTCTTGCAGTGTCCGAGTGACGTCGTAGGAGTAGCTGTAGTAGAAGGACCTGGCAAGGTCGAGGTTATTCAGAATAGAAAGGAATCGAGACTCCTCGGAATTCCGCTGGTCAGTCTTATACCTAGCGGGTGTGAGTGGGATGAGCTCTGTTCCTTCGATCTGGTAGACGTAGTGGCCGCCGACCATAGCCACGATGCTCCTCTTGGTTATCAGCAGCATGTAATATGGCCCCGTGAACTTGATGAACCCGAGCAGGCCCCAGGTGGTGCACTTGAGCCTGATCCCGCCCGTTCCCTTGTTTCCATCGTCGATGGTGTCAAGGAGCTGGTTCATCTGCTTCTGAGAGTAGACGATCTTGTCATCGGTGATGCTGAGGTCGCTATCGTCCACCGTCCTATCTATCTTCAAGATACGGTACCGCTTCTCCGTGACGTCCCCGCCCACAATGTAATACCTGCTGGCCGTCTCGTACAGGCTGAACTTGTGCATCTTGTGCACCAACCTCCTCCTCGGCCGGCCATCCTCGCCGACGTCTTCTGGGCCGGTGGCGCCGTCGTACTCCTCCTCGGATGCGGCGCCGGTTCCACCTCTGCTTGCCGGGTCCGGGCTTGAGGTGCGATGGAAAGGCTTTGCGATTGTGTGGTCATCTCCATCGTCAACATCCTCTGCCGGTGGAGCCTGAGAGGTTGACTTGGGGGGCACAGGCCCCGACTCCTCGTCAGGATCGTTGCGCAACTGAGGAAATAAAGCCTGGTCCCCAGCTTCGACTGGTGGTTCCAACACAGAAGCAGTCGGAGGGCTGCCAGTGCCAGGTCCAGTGCCAGGTCCAGTGCCAGGTCCAGCTGCAACAGCCCCGTTTGGGCTGGTGACGGGTATAGAGTCTGGTCTGGCATCGCCAAATGAGCTGTCCATGGCTTTGGACTGGCCCTGGGCGGGCTTGCGTCAGAGGCACAGACGGGCAGACGGACTCTGGGACCGCCGGGTCCTGGAGCTCCCCTGGTTTTCAGAACATCAACAAATAGAGTGGTGGGAACGGTGAGCTGCTTTGTATTCAAATGTTGTGTCCGTTGAGGTTCTGGGTGTTTTGTTAGACCCAGGCAATGGCGATGGCGCTGGGGGTTGGAATGATGTAAGACTGGGTGCTAGTGGTGATAAGATGCTCCATCCCGCCTGCAGGGTTTACCTAGGCACCTTGTTGGGGTCTTGGGGTATGAGGTAGGGGGCCATCTATGGGTTGGTAGATTTATGTAGACGACTGCTGCACTCAGCCATTGCAAGTCTGGCGACATCACCCCCATCCTGCCGCAGCTCCCGATGCTCAATTCCTCCCGCGCAAACTGCATTTGAACCCAGCATGACATCGAGCGCTTAGATCTACGGAAGACTCATGAGCCTGCTCCAAGCCAGGCTGGTCCAGTACATTCATTCACTGCCGTCCTGTGCCGCCAGCCCGCCCCACCAGCGAGTCCCCAAAGAGAAGCGACAACGCCCCAACCTGGACAGCCCACCACCAAGCCCGAGCCCGCGCTCAAGCCCGCAGCTTCGCCTCACGCCGCGCAGGCTGGTCAAGCACGCAGAGCCATATCCTCTGCTCACACTGCCGATTCCAGCGCTGCGAGACCCCAGCCGTTGCCTTCATGCAGGACAATGATCATGGTCCGGAACCCATCAGCTCCCCGCCTATGGCCGCATCCTCCATAAGGCTGCCCAAGAGGCAGGGCACCCTCGACAGCATCTCTCTCTCACAGTCCGAAGCCAGCCTCCCGCAGCGACGCTCCCACCCCTCCGCCGCCAGCCTGTACGCCTCCACGCTCACGCCCCCGGGCTCTAGGTCCATGTCCCCCGTCGGCAGAGGCTCCCCCGCGCGACCATTCTCCAGAGCAAGATCCGGTTCCGTGACCCTGACGCACTCCCTTGTCGATACCGATGCCGCTGCCGAGCCCGGCAACCCGCTGAACCTGATCCTCAAGGCGTTTGTCCCGCATATTTCCATATACGCGTCACCGGATACGGATGGTCTAGTGAAAGAGAAGGGTTTCGACCGTGGTCTTTGGGAGCTCCTCCGGCCGTTCGGCGAGCGTGTGCCGGGCAAGGTGACTGTTAGAGACAGCAACGGGTCAAGCAGGTCGTGGGATGATTTCTCGGTCCGATTCACACGGTTTGGACAGAATGTTGAGCCGCCGGACGGGCTACTTAAGGCCCCCAACGGCCAGGCGGCGAGCCCAGCAATATCGGGGAGACGGGTGGCAGACGTCGAGGAGGTGGTGAGCAGACATCTGAACTATGCAGAGCAGTCTTTCTCGAACCTCATCCAGCAGCACGCCGACGACACATGGCCTGGATATGGATGCGACGTCTCCTTACTATGCGCTGTACCTCCGGCGGCTGCTTTCGGGCATACCAATTTCTGCGCATGAATCTTGGGCTCACCCGGTAGCCTGCGTGATCGCTGCGAGCTCACGAGAGCCTGCCCCAATCGAGACGTTTCGGAGGCTTTACCACGAATCCTCCAATGGCGACAGGAGGTTACCACCATGGGTGGATGGTGAATACCTACGCTACTACGTACTTGTGCATGATGAGGAGAACAGTGACATCACCAAGACCATGGCTCTGTTCGACCAGATGAAGAGGAATCTGGGTCTGCACTGTCACTTGCTCCGGATACGGAGCAGTCAAAGTGTCGAGACTGACGACGACAGCATACCACTGCCCCGTAGCGAATGGATGTCTGCCCAGGAAGAACTCGTCGACATAGAGAGGAGCGAGGCCCAGGGCGGGCCTGTAGATCTAACGAGGTACATCTATGAGTCAGACGCGACAGCGATACGGACATTCATCCGCGAGATGGTGACACAGTCCATAATACCGACGATGGAGCGCAACATCTCCGTTTGGAACGATCAGGTTGCTTCAAAACGGAAAGGCATCAGCGGGAGGTTCATGACCCTGTCAAAAAGATGGACGGGCTTCGCCAGCGGGACTAGGAACTCCACTGGAAGCTCGTCCTCGAGCAACTACGAGGCGTCGGGGTATTACAGGCCGGACACGCCCGAGGCCATCATGCGGAAACTGGCCGATTACGCGTTCATGCTGAGGGACTGGAAGCTCTCCATGTCGACGTATGAGTTGCTACGATCCGACTTCAGCAACGACAAAGCGTGGAAGTACCATGCCGCAGCAAACGAGATGACCGCTCTCGCGCTCCTGATTATGCCGCAGAACATGTCCTCCAAGACGCGGCTGGACAACATCGTATCCATGCTTGACCAGGCGTCATACTCGTACAACACGCGATGCAGCTCACCATACGGCACGCTGCGGTCCATGGCGCTAGGCCTCGAGCTCCTCCGCATGCGGGGCGGCTCTGCGGTGGACGAGGCAGTCAAGTGGGGCACGCGCATCATGGAGAGCCGCATCACCGGGCAGATCGGTGATGCGCTGTTCAAGGAGCGCATGGCTGTTTGCTGTGCTACGAAACAAGGGGTAGGCTCCTTGGCGTGGGGCAGCTGGCGGAGGAAGTCGGCATTCTGGAGTGTCCTCGGTGCCGAGGCGTGGACCAACCAGGCCAAGTACATACCAGCTCAAAGGTGCCTCAATGAGGCGAGGAACATGTACAGCCAGCTGGAGAGCGAGGATGGGATCGGCGGGTGGGCACTGGCGAGCGAACACATGGCGCAACTCCACCTGAAGCTCAAAGAAGGGTTGGCCCTCGATGGGCTGGAGGACGCGCCGGCCCCAGAGGCAGAGGAGATTGAGCTGCTGGAGGAGGAGGAGCCGGAGCGGTTGAGCAAGAACAAGCGCATGTCAAGGAGATTGAGCCTGGCAAGTCCTCCCGGCGCAGGGGCCGTTCTGGAGACGGCACCGCTGGCGGACAGCGGCGACACAGGGAGGAACGAGGCCGATGACGGCTTTACTTAGGGCGGGCAGGGAGGTCACGGTACTTGTCATCACGCGGATATGCATACTCATGATAGATCCAGACTATAATCTTGCGAGATCAAGGGCGTGGACTCGGCGCTGAGGAATAGAGGTTGCCGGCCCAGGCTAGGCCATGCCAACTGAGGAGAACACACCTTGTTCCTATTGTAGCGTTGCTTTGTGTGAAGAATTGTTCACATCTGGTCGTAGATAACCGCAAGACACCCAAGACAAGATCAATCAAAGAACCTCAAGCCTTGCTCTCGCTCAGCTTCTCTGCCGCGAGACCCACCAGCCCGTCCAGGCTGTCGGCCAGCGGCACCCCGTACCGGCGGCAGACGGCCTGGACGTTGCCCCTCTTCCAGTAGCCCGGCTCACAGCCGACGACGGCCTTGCCGGAGCGGGCGCAGAGGCCCAGCTCCAGCAGGCTGACGGGGGCCTTGCTGTCGGCGTGGAAGAAGACGGCGACGGCGGCGGCCCTGTCCTGGGCGGCGAGCTCCCAGTCGACCTGGGCCGCGAACCGCGGGTCCTTGGCGACGTCCTCCCGCCACGTGCTGTCCCACCTGGGCTGGAAGGGGTCGAAGACGGTGATGTTGGTGGCGGTCAGGCGCTGCCTGAGGGCGGCGATGAAGCCGTCCCGCCAGGGGATCTCTGTCGGCCCGGCGAGGAAGACGGACCGTGTGGGGTAATGCGGCTGCTGCTCCGGGTCGTTGGGCGTGATGACTTGGAAGACAGAGCTTGAGGCCATGCTGGGAAGGGGTCCGAAGAATTATACAAGGCGGGTGGGAGGCAATGTGCGCATGAACTTCCCGAATGTAAAGGGTGCCCTGGCAAGGTTTATCTTCGCCTCCTATCAATGTGTGCTTGGTCTGGAGTTCGATGGGCCCATGTCGTATGCAGAGGGAGCCTCGTTCACCCAATTCAGCCTTGTAGGGCGCCAACCCATGCTCACCGGGGAGCGTTCAGGCGGGCTACAGCATCAGCATGGGAGTGACGGCGGTTGGTCGTCATCCCAGTCTGTGGGTCATGATTGATGTGTACGTGATAGTCCAATAAATTGACATCCGAGTTAAATCCAAGGCCCCAGGTTTCAATAACTCGAGAAAATGTCAGGTAATCCCTATCTTGTCCTGTCTTTGTACCGCCCTTATCTCTGAGCAGCGAGGCGGTTGCCGGAATATTAGTGTCATCGGCTGCCACCGCTCCCCTTCAGCGGGCGGCGCCGAGACCTGTAGGTCTGTCTGTTCACTCGCTGTCCCGTGTCACAGACGCAATGATGAATCCCTATAAGGGGGTCCGACGTCCGGCGCCTTCCTCATTCCTCGACTCCCCCTTCTCTCCTGCACCACTCAACCGTCTCACTCAAGCAGCACACAGTTTTACTCGCGAGATTGACACTTCCTATTTGCGCCTCCACATTAACTGCCTAGAACTTTTCCCTACTCTTGCCACTAATAGCAATGTCTGCCATCACCGTACAGCCCTTAGACTTCTCGGAGCGGACGGTCACCGCCAGGCCCCGTCTAGGTGCCGTCGTTTCAAACGTCGATATTGAAAACATCACTGGTAAGATTCGGTGACACTATTGATGCAAACACTGTGGCATGCATTTGCCATGCTACATTTGTACAACGAGAACTATACCCGTAATGCCCATCCCAGGGCTAATCGGTAACCTCGTCGTGAGTATCCTTATAGCGCGCGCCTTCTCGAGTACTGGCTGACCACTCGATGCAGATGCCGACTTTGCTGTCATCCGTGATGCACTCTTCAACCACCAGCTCCTGGTCTTCAAGAACCAGGGCCATGTGACCCCCAAGGCTCAGTATGAGCTCACCCGGCGCTTCGACCCCGAGGCCAACTCGTACGGTCATGGGAAGACCATCGACGCCAAGCGGTCCATCCTGCACCCTGATCTCAAGACGGTTCCATCCCAGCCGCAAGTTCAGGTCATCGGAAATGGCTTCGTGTCTGAGTACGAGGGTCTGAAGGACTTCAGGCTGCGCCATCCCCACCACAAGACCTTCCACGCAACCTCGATCCCGCCGGCGGACGACCTAGACTTCACCCGGTTCTACAGGTGGCACGTCGATGCCGCCTTGTACGGCCTTGCTCCTCCTATAGTCACCACCCTTCTTGCTGTCAAGGTGCCCGGCGGCCGCCGGCAGACCTGCAGATACGACGATGGCACGGGCGATGAGCTGGATGTTCCGCTGGGCACTACCGCATTCGTCAGTGGTGTCGACATGTTCGACCAGCTATCTCCCGGGGACCAGGAGTTCGCCCGCACCACGAAGGTCGAATACGCGCCTCACCCATACATATGGATGAGCAGCGCCAAGTCGCGGTCCACCGGGCTCGGGCTGGTGAGCGAAGACAAGGAGATCCCGCTGGACCAGCTCCCCGAGATCGAGCAGGACAAGATCCAGATCTTGCCCATGTGCTGGCGGAACCCAGTCACCGGGAAGCTAGCTCTACAGGTGCACCCTTCTGCTGTCAGGAAGTTGCACCTCAAGGACGGGACGGTGGTGGATAACCTGGAGGAGGTGCGGGAGACCGTGTACCGGCTGCAGAGGCCTGGTATCGCCCCAAACAAGGTCTACGCACATGATTGGCAGGAAGGTGACTTCGTCCTCTTCCACAACCGAGGGCTGCTGCATTCCGTCGTCGGGGCATTTGCTGAAGACGAGGTCAGGCTGTTCCGTCAGTGCAATGTTGCCGCGACCCAGCTTCCTGAAGGCCCAGTACAGGCTGCGCAGGCTGCTTAAGTTGCAACGCTGGGGGTCCAACCCTTTTTTTTTACACTTTGTTGATAGCCTTATAGACGAATAAGAATTCGAATTTGTTTCCAAGCCCACCAGCCTAGTCTTCAAATTCTCATGCTACTTCCAGCTCATAGTTTATCCATCATCTATAGCTGCACTAATCATGAGATGTCATGATTCATACTTACCTACTTCTTAGGACGCCGTGTGTTTAACCCAAAAGCTCAACATATCCTATATCCTCAGGGAGGTTATCCCATAAGAGGTTATCATATAAGAGGTCATCCTATAGAAGGTTGTCCCATAGGAGGTTATCCTATAAGAGGCTGTCCTATAGAAGGTTATCCCATAGGAGATTATCCCATACCGGGCTTTCCTGTGTTGAAAGGCAGGCGGTTGTGCCTTTCCTTTCTCTTTTCCTCAGGGATATACCTAATGCCTCAAATTTGTTGAAACCTCCAGGTCCGCTGAGTCTATTCGAAACCAGCTCCTTTCATCCCGTCTTTGCTGAAGAAAACCGCTAAACGCATCCCTTCCCTTCCTGTCTGTGTAGCTCGTGACAAAAGAACACGAGCAAACAATGATTTACTTGGGCGAGACTAATTGATCGTTTGAGGAGTGCCTGCCTTTAGGAGGAAATGCAGAAGGTGGTGAAGTGAACACGTACCAGATCTACTTCGAGAGGACTTGCACAGTTCTACGCCATTCTCACACTTAAGAACTCTTCAAGTATCCACTTCATGGTTTTCTGCTTGAACGAAGTTGATGCAGCTGGTCTTGTCCAACGCCATATATCTTTGTCTCCCTGTCCTCTGTGCATGTTGAAGACACCACCTCGACCTAGGCAAGCGGTCTTGGCCTGAGTCACATTCTTTCTTCAATGTCAAAGAGCTGTATGAATCAAGCATACAGGGGGCCTCAAGTAAAACACAGAATACCACTTTACAGGCCTGATTTCCTTGGTTTAACTCTCAAGGAATCAGATTGCGTAATCGACACTTCATACATAAGGTTAACATCTTGCTGTCTTCCCAGACTCTTCGCTTCCATCAATGTTGTCCAACTCGCTTAGCAGCACCGGCAAAACTGTGTCACCACACCAGCATCTCATCAAAAACACTGAGCCACAAGCCGATTGAACGCACTCACTCGCCAAGATGACGAGGCTTGAGTATCATTGCTCTGTGAAGCACGACGAGCGCAACGGCAACAACAACTTGATCACAGTCGACCGTGTCTTGCCTGAGACGAAGAAGCCTCAAGGCCTTGAGATCTCCTTCGAGAGGACCATTCGCGTTCCCGACAACAAGGAGTTGTCCCACCTCCCTCCTAGTCTCGGTTCCTTCCCACTGTACAAGGTCCAAGACTATGCCCACCGTCTCCCCCAAAGCATGGTTGACAAGGGAGGAGTTTTCTTTCCCATGCACCAGAAGGAAGCCATGTGGATTAATTCAAGGCCACCGCGCCCTTCATGATCAAGATTTACTGCGGATATATCAATGTGGTGTCAGGCGAGCATGCCGCCGAGCGCACCGAGACCAAGCAGCGGCGGGCGAAGCTTCTTGAACAAGGTGAGCTCATCCAAGACTATTTTGTCCTACCGGAACAGCCTTGGATCGACAGCGTGGCCATCAAGCCTGCGGTTCGTCGCGTAAGTTGCCCCACAAGATCACCCTCATGGTGACTCTCGCGTCTTGGATTGCTCTCAGCCCAGCTTCAGTCGGAACGCGCCATTTCGCTTCCAAGGTGCTTCATGTGAATTGCTAATCGTAACCTAACTCTATCTAGGATGCCCCTCGGACAGGGCTACACAGTTGAAGCTCAGATCACTGGCGAAGAAGTTGTTGGGGGACTGACCTTTGAGATTACACCTGGCCTTTGTAAGTGCTTTTCTCATGCATAAGGGCATCTTCCCTGCTGACCACCCTTAGGCGAACTTAAGAATCAGGGCTCCGTCGAAATCTATATTAAGACTCTGACAGGATGCACTCTTACTGTGCGATGCTTTGCAGATGATGATATCGATACCATCAAGAGTCGAGTGCAAGAAATGGAGGGGATTGCGCCTGATGAGCAAAGGCTCATATATAAGGGCCGTCAACTGGAGGACGACAGAACCCTCCGTCATTGCAGTATTCAGAGGGTGACAATCCTTCCCTATACATGTGTTATCTGCTTTCAAGATGGCTAGGATGAGGTTTTCTTGATTATCCACAGTAAAAGCTAATAGAATTACATCCAGGGGGACACATTGCATTTGGTAAAGAGAGTGCGAGGGGGTGGTGGGCCTGTGCTGTCTGAGCTCGGGATCGCTGCTGGTGGATTGATCAAGCAACACATCCGGAAGGATACTCGCGGACCCAAGGGATGGGTAAAGGGCTTGGCTATCCCCTTTCGTGTCCAAATTCGTGACAGTTCGACCTTCCGTCAGGTTACAGGCGAGGAGCCGCCCGCATGTCCGACTGACGCAGAGGCTGTAAGTCCGCCTGAGAAATTCACTACCTCTTCTGTATTTTGTACACGAGAGTCTCCTGTTGCGTACCTCTATATCATACGAAAAAGCTGACTCGATATTTCCAGTACGCCAAAGCCGGCGTCCCTTTCTTCGACTTGTACGAACAAAATCCTACCGATGTCTCTGGTGCTGAAGCTTTCGGAGCTCTCCAAAGCATCAATGTGACTGACACATCCTCAACCACACCGGCCTGCTCCGCTACGCCGATGAGGAGATCTACCCCTCGGCAAAGGCAGCCATGGACGCAGGGTCTACCTGGGTCATTGGGGAGTTTAACTCAATTGCCTGCTCTGGCGCCCCTGATGTCTCGGACACATTCGCGCAGGCACTATGGGTGGTTGATATGGGACTGATATACGCCGCGCGGAACGCGTCCTCGGTCCACCTGCACCAGGGCGCCACTCTCGTCTTCCAGAGCGCCGACCAGTCCAACAGCGCCGGTGAGAACGGGACGCCAGGCTTCTCGACTTACAGCTTCGTCTACCCGCGCAACAGCTCCAAGCGGGGTGAGCCGCGGGCCCTGCCCAGCTTCGTCAGCCTCCTGTTCATCACCGAGGCCCTCGGGGACGGCTCCGGCGCCCAGGTCGCGGCACTGGACACGCCCGCAGGTCTCAGCAAGGACCATTTCTCGTCCTATGCCTTCTATAAGGACGACTTCCTGGGCAAAATCGCTCTAATCAACCTGAAGCCATTTTATAAGAACTCGACCGAGGACTTCACCGTCACCGTCGACCTGTCCCAGTACACCCAAGACCTGAAGTCCCCGGCCCAGCTGAAGCGTATGACGGCTCCGCACGTCGATGAAGGAAAGACGGAAAAGACCACCTGGGCAGGGCAGTCTTTTAAGAACGGTGAGCCGACTGGGGAACTTGATATTGAGGAGATCGGCGAGGACGGGTTGGTTGAGGTGAGGGGAAGCGAGGCCGTTCTCATATTCCTTGACGGTAGCTCTGTATATGCCTCGTAGAAGTTCACCTTCGACAAGCGTGTGCATTAAACATTCTGTACACCCATTGGTATCTCTGATTTTGACTGTGCTTCTTCAACAACCTTTGTCCATCCTCCAACCAAGTTTTGTCTTGTTTCCCGCGGGCACACCCCCACGATGCTCTGCATTAAGCACACGACGTCCTGCAAATTAGTGGACTGTGTACTGCTCTTCTGGGCAACGGTGAAGGTAGCACCGGAGTCAGGATTTTGAAGAACCCAGTTGAAGATATCACTTGATGATACCTACTCCGGGTCAGCCTAATCAGCCCTTCTGGGATAACGTCCTAACCCCCTATAGGACAACCCCTCTAAGACCACTCCCTCTTGGATAACACGCTATCAGATAACCTCCCATAGGATAACCTCATATAGTATAATCTCCTTTAAGATGACCTCTTATAGGATAACCTCCTATGGGATAACCTCCTGTGGGATATAGGATAACCTCCCAGTGGTTGGAGGAGTGGAGGAAGACAACAGAAGACTCAGTGCCCACTTCTTCCTGAAAACGAGACAAAACACTGCCCGATACTGAAAATCGTGAGCGAAGCAGGCAGAATTTGAAAACAGCTCCTTAAGTTACTGTTCAACAGCTTGCCACACAAACACTCAAGTGCTTGAACTTTACGCCTTGAGAGAGTCGGTCTCGGAAGATCGTAAGCTGCTGAAAACGGCAGGCCTTCATGTCTTCTTCGTGTAAGTAACAGGGCTTCGCGCTGAAATTTCTCTTTTAGAAGAGTCAGATCGACCGAGAAACGCGCTTCTTCGAAACTGCGTCCTCCTAAAAGAGTTGTTTTAGCTCACAGCTGAATCTTGTCCTCAGATGCTGTCCTGAGCGAACCCAAACCCGTTCTCGCGCCCCTCCACTACGCACTTTTTCTGAGCCAGAGACAGACCATTCCTCGTCTATTTGTAATCCATGAGAAAGGCATTTATGGCCAAAGGTGAACCAGGGCCTTTCAGCCACCTAAGAAGGGTCCCAACAAGGCGGTTGGGTGGAGGGGGGTTGCTGGGCCAAACACGGGGCTGAGATAGACGAGTGTGTATTGACTGCCTCTCCAGGTCATAGCCTTGATATCCCTTTCACCTGAAAACGTTGTTCCGCTCTAGAAGACCGTCCCAATAGTCCCAGTCGACCGGCCCAGCAGCATCCAAATCCCCGCTGAGGTTTCGGAAAATGCTATCAAACTGCTGGTCGAGACCTAGTTGAAACGAATTTGTGGTCATATCAGGTGCCACCCCATACATGTAACTCATATTGCCGTATCCATTCCTCGAGTCAACCTGCGTGGCCACCCCGGCCAGTTGGTGAAGAGCAGATGTCTCAGGCTGCACTGATGTCGGGGTGGTCGAAGTGGCCGAAGATGTTCTGGAGGGCATGCTCTTCCTGGATTTCCGTTCTCGAAGCTCTGCGATCACCTCAGGTACCGGGATCGGCTCAGCGTTGTCATGTGCAATCTTTGCCTCCCGCGCCTCCCACGCATGTAACGTCAGCTCCCTTACAGCTGCGTATAATTCGTTGTTACTGTCTTCTAGGAGTGATGATCTGTGCTTATACATGTCAGACACTAGTTTCCAGGCCTTGTTGGTCAGAGTTGCTTTGGGATCTTGGTTTCGGGAGGAGATGAGCATGAAGACGAAAGCGTCGATTTGGAAGGCATTGTCGATATGCCACGAGAAGTTATCGAGGGTCTTTGTTGATTTTCCGAGTACATCATACTCGACCATCTTGACGCTGACCTCGAATAGTATATCTCGCTCGGACTGAGGTATCGATTTCCCCCTATCGGGATACTGAGAAGGATGATGAGCCATAAGCCTCATCTTACAGGTGGCAGACCGCACACCGCCATCAGCCATGAGGTGCAGTGGAATAGCAGGGTCGAGATGCTTGAGGTAGTTCTCGTCCATGTGAGCTTCGAATTGGTCGATGAGCTTGTCTTTGTCCTGGATAGGGACGGCTGGGTCTTGGAAGGTGCTTCCATGTCGAATCATGAACTCACCAACCTCGTATCGGCAGAGACAAACTTGGGTTGGAGGTGTTAGCGGTTGGAAACGGAACGCGTAACATTACTGGAGAGAGATTCACTCACAGGTCATTTCTGTTGGGCCTTTGTGTATCAAGGGCATCTCTTCCATGTGGGGATTGAGGTCAACATCATTGAGATTCTCAGGCAGGGGAAAGGCTTGGACGCCATGGAAAGGAGGTCGTAGTCCAATGTGGTGATGGCTGCGGCCATCAATCCACATTATCTGCCGCCAGAGACGTCTTCGTAGTTGTGACACGTAGACCGAGTCATTGGGCGCGTCGTTGGAAGTGTGTGCAGTCAGCCTCAGGCCCAGCCTCACTGCGACGCCGGCCAGAAGCCAGAAAGTCTGTTCATCGTAAATCTGGCGGGCAGGAAGCTATATGACAGTGAGCATTGGCACGTTTTGACGAGAAGAGGCCACCCTACTAGGAATATCACAAAGGCCTGGAGCGTAACTAGGTTCCGGGATTTCATGAAGGACGCTGCTGCCAGGGCTTGTTGGCATGCCGAAAAGTAGCGGGTGAGCAGCAGGGGCTTGGGCGCGTCGAATTGTGCCTGACAATCTTCCTCCTTGAGAGACATAATTGCCGCTGCGTAGATGGCGAACAGTAAGGCGACCGATGGCTTCGGAACGGTGTCCAAGTCCTTGCTTGCCTCGATGATTATGGGCTGGACCGAGGGGGCGTGTATGACCTTAGACATGGGATTCACATTCTGCAAGAAAGCCTGCCAGAGCATAAATGCCTGCATTGGAGGGGGATGGAAGTCCCGAAGATCAGCAACATTGCGGAAGGCGGAAAACAGCAGCGAACTAGGGCTCATGCTGGAGCCATATTCTGCTGAACTGGGAGCATCATCCTCGCTTGAGGACTTGGTGGCCCTTGGGTCTTGGAACTGGTGAGAAAGGGGCTTAGTTAACGAGTCTCGCGCAGACAGGGTACGTCCAGGTGCTGGACACGAACCTCGTCGTTCAACCCGGTCCATAGGCTTCTATGGCAGGAAGCAAACATCAGTAATCAGCAAAGCTCTACGGCCGTGCAAGTGACCGATGACGGTGCATGCCGAGAGAAGGGAGCTCATACTGGCCAAACGTTGGCACTTGCCGCTGGGGACGTGATTCCTCAGGGCTGGAGGTGCTGTCGAGGGACCTTGAGGATGCCGAGTAGAGCCCACCAGATCGTTCCGAAGTCTGCGCTCTCTTGAGGTCGCCACCTTGAGCATGTTTTCGCCGTCGTTTATATGGCTGCCTCACCCCAGGGAGACAGGACACTCCCGCGCGAACGCAACTGCTGCATGGATCGAGCCGATCGCAGCGGACCTTGCGCTGTTTACACAGGACACACGAGTACTCCTGCTTGGTTGCAGGCCCTCGAGGCTGCGGTGTAGTAGTAACAATTGCTGCCGTTTCCGGTGCGGCTGGTGGTGAGGTTGAAGCCATGTTCGATGGTCGACGCAAGCCGCTGCAAGTGGGCGTGGAGGGATGGTGCTTGGCCTGCATTCAGAACTGGTATGAGGCACGATCCATTTCGATAGACAATAGTCCAGATAGAGACTGTAGATGGCTTGCCCGGATATTCGTGGCTGCACTCGACCATGCCAGAAATATGTCGGGTAAGATGCAAGAGAAGTCCGGCGATCGGTGATGATGGATGCCTGCTTCTGAGACCTGCTGTGGTCCAGACAGACCCCGGAGTTCCCACTGTACCTCTGATAATGCGATGCAGCCCCACCTCAAATCAGGTATTCAGGATATTCCACCATGTCGCCAGCATGGTAAGAATATAGTCTGGGCCATAAGCGGTACCTAGTCTACAAAGTATTCATTACTCCCTTTCCTGAAATTCATCCCTCGAGTTTTGGACACCCATGTGAGAGATGGTGGGTTGTGCTCAGGGGGGCTTGCTGTACTCTCATATGCAATCAATCGTTCCATTTTGGCGCTAGTGACCTGCACATGACACCTCACACCCTTTTTTCATCACACTTCCATTTTCAACTATTTTCACCTCCCATATAATAAATACTTTCTTAATTTAATTATACTTTATATTAGAAAATAGCTATTTCTTTTTTGCTTCTTTTAATATTTATTTAAAGAAAGTAGAGGGAATATTAAATATATAAGATATATTAATATTTAATTTTAAAAAAGAATTTAAAATTTTAAGGTAATAGTGATTTTAAATAAATTTAGTTAAATTTATACTATTAAGATTAGTGATTTTAATATAACTCTTAAATTTTACTACCTCTTTAATTTCTCTTTAACTTAAGTTATTTTTAACTTTAATTTAAATGCAAATTTCTCCTCTTTTATATACCTAATTTAATAACAGAAAAAAGAAATGAAATTAGAAAAGAAGCAGCTTTCTTTTTATATATATTTTAAATAAATTAAAGTAAAATTAAAAAGTGCGTATAAAAAAGGTATGAGGTGTTAAATGTAGGTCGTTAGCGCCAAAATGGAACGATTGATTGCATATGAGAGTACTGATTCGTCGTCCCCTTTCCCATCTCATCTCACCCTTCTCATTTGCGTTCGCCCTAGAGGAACATGTCCGAACCCAACCCGCCAGTCGACGGCCCTAACCTGCAGTAGGACGGATGCTTTTGATCAAAGATGCGTTCAGGTCTTTGTTCTTTCTGCTCTCGGGCCCCGCTGTATGGCCATAATGCAGCCAGCTCCGGGCTCCTTAGTTACCCCCACGGACTTCTCCCTCGGACCCCGACGGAGCTAACCATCTGGCTTGACGTCGTCTCATGTGAGAAGATGTTGTACGAACACGTAAGACAAGGAGCACGAACACGCGGAAACTTACGTTGCGCCTGCATCCTTTTCGTTTTCCCGATATTCCCAGCCCTGAAATTGAGACCCAAGACGCCGCCATCATGGTCAAGATCCTCTGTTTGCACGGCCAAGGAACAAGCGGCTCGATATTCAAGTCGCAGTCAGGTTCGTATCTCAACTGAGGGTGCCCCACTGGTTGCTCGTCTACCCCTTGCTTTTCCCATGGCTGATCAGGCCTCAAGCCTCATTCCGCGCCAAGCTGCCCTCGGAGTGGGAATGGGACTTCCCAGATGCTCCCTACTCGGCCAAGCCGCACCCTGGCATTGATGTCCTATTCCGTAGTCCAACATACGCCTGGTGGTTGGCCTCACAAGACATCGTGAACGCCGTGCGCGCTTCTCACTTATGGCTTGATGAATACATCGAGGAGCATGGTCCGTACGACGGGGTCTGTTGCTTCTCACAGGGTTGCTCCCTCGTTAGCACTTACCTCTTGTACCACGCAAAAGAGAGCCCACAGCTTCCACTCCCCTTCCAATCAGCGGTTTTCATCTGCGGAGGGCTGCCGCTGCCAGTGCTAGAGGACATGGGTCTCGATGCGCAAGGGGCGTACGAATTAAACCAAAGAACGGTGGAGCAGATGAAGGCCAAGAGCGCAGTGCTTTATGATACTGCAAGTTTACCCAAGGGTCAGGGGTTATGGGATTACACTGCGGATTTAGAGCATAAGGCGGACGAACTGCCCGATGAGGCGGACTGCTTCGGACTTGATTTCACATCGTTTCCGGAGGATGTCAGGATCAAGATACCAACCGTCCACATTGTTGGGGCGAAAGATCCGAGGTGGTCCGCAGGTGTCCAGCTAGCCTACTTCTGTGATGATCGCAAGATGTTTGATCATGGAGGGGGTCACGATATACCAAGAACAACGCAGGTATCTCTGAGTATTGCGGAGTTGATCAAAGGCGTTAATGGAGTCTAAGGTCGGTGTTCCGGTTGGAATCATACCAAATGTATTATCAACGATAGATACAAAGCCCATAGAGTATTTAATCTACCGATCTCCATAGTCTACACTAATTTCACCATGAGCATTCAAATGAAAGAACGTATAGGCTCTTAAAGGAGTGCAAGTTTATGTGCCCGAATGACTGAAGAAAGCGTAACAAGCTGACTTTAATCTCTATGCTCTGGTGGACTCGGTGGACCTGATGAGTTCTATAACCTCAAGAGCAGCCGGAAGCTAAATGTGGCTTTTCAAGGTTGATTTGAGATTCCCATTCTCGTCCCATTCAATCTTCTTTCCCGTCCTCAAGCTCTGCTGAAGCGCAGAAGCAATCTCCATGCCCTTGACAGCCACGTCCAACTCGTAAGGCAACGGCTTGCTGTCCAGCACCGCTTCCGCGAAGACCCGCAGCTCGGTCAGGAAAGCCTTCTCGTACCGCTCATAGAAGTCAGGCATCACGTCGTTGCCAACGCCGTTCTTGTCACCGGCGGTGATCAGGTCGCGGTGAGGGTGCAGGTTGACCTTGAGCGCCCCTTCCGTGCCGATGATCTCGGTAGGATTGTCGAAGCCGTGATGCATGATCCGCGAGAAGAAGTAGTACGAGATGGGAGCAACTGCCCCAGGCGAGGGTGGATACCACTCCACGCAGCCGGTTGCGTTGTCTACATCGGCAATCTCGGCCAGTTTGTGGTGTCGTGAGATGTTTCCGATGGCATGGCATGACTTTGGGCGTAGGCCGTTGCCCATAAACGCAAATGTCAGGTCAATGTCGTGAACGCCAGTGTCGATGAAGATGCCAGGGTTGGCCATGATATACGGTGGTAGAAGGTGCTGTCGTCGAACTTGTCCCTTGTCTCACTGCGGACCACAACTGGTGTGCCAATCTTGCCGGAGGAAATAGCCTTCATGGCATTGAGGTATGAATGGTCAAATCTCCTCGAGAACGCCGTCATAACTTTGAGGTGTGCGTTCTCTTTCTTCTGGGAAAGCTCGACAATATCACGAGCTTCGGGTACGGTCATCGAGAGCGGCTTTTCGCATAACACGTGCAAGCCGCGTTTGATGCACTCCTGAACCTGGTCGTGGTGGAACTTCGTAGTGGATGCGATAATGATCGCTTCTAGACCTGGCTCCGCGACCATTTCCTCGAACGTCTTGTAAACATTGACGCCGTAGGGAATCAGATGCTCGTCAGCCCACTCCAGATCCTGAGGGGCCGGTGAGCAGGCACATAGGAGCTCAGTGCGGTTGACATTGTGCAAGGCATTAAGAGCGTGCTGGCGCCCAATACGGCCAATGCCGACGACACCAACAGCAAGTGTTCGAGGCTTGACTCTCTTGCTTCCTGAGGCCATGTTTGTTGTTGCTGAAGCCGGTGGAGTGTTGTATAGCTGGCGCGGGGTACCGATGTGCTCAATGAGTCAAGCGACAATCCAGTGGAAAACAAACACACAGCTTACATGGGGAATATTCGCGCAATGAAGTGATCACCTCTGATCAGGAAAGGGGCCCCAGGAAAGTGTGTGGACAGCAAAATACCTACCTAGGTAGGTATATTGTGGTGTTATGAGACGGTTAGCGGCGGGGTATGGCGCCGGTCTCGAGATGACCCTTAGAGCGCAAGTTTCACACAAGACAAGAAAGAGGTCAATGCAACTCCCACAGAAGAAGACATGTCTTGCCAATTATTATAGGTTTGACTCCTGCACCAGAAGAAATGCAACCCGAGGATGATCACATGCACAGACGGTACCAAGTATAACTACCCCAGAGTCGTAGTAACTAACTCTCAAACTCGCATTTGGCAATTGTCGGCGGAGATGAATCGCTTCGGGAACCTAATTCCGATTTTCATCGTTTCTCGCACATTCATACCCAAGAGGCGCATACAGCCATGTGACCTATTAGTTTTTCTACAAAGAGCAATAGTCCTCCTGAGCTCGATTTCGCCTAATTGAGAAGCTCACATGCAGCAGATGGGAATGTTGGCATTTACCTCAAGTGGAAGTCTTGGATCTTAGTTCAAGGGTTAAGCCCTATCGAGTGGCAAAAGGGCAGACTAGTCTCTACTTACTTTGTCTTGCAAAAGGAAATCGGCCTCCAGTCTGAACCAACTCCGGATTCTGGGGCCAACATTTCCAATACTATTAAAGTCCTGTGGCATCGACCGCTACTTGAAGAAGGAAATCAAATAAAATATTCCTATGTGGTCTGCACGACTCCAAGTGCCGCTCAAGTCCTGGCAGAGGTATTATTTCCTCACAGAATAGGCAGGCGACAATATGACCTTATCTGTAGGACCAGAGTAGCAAAATTTGTCGTGATGTCCTGATCAGAGCTCTGCATGAGGTACAAAAGGCAGGAGCAAAGTGCCTCGGAATCGAAAAGTGACTGACGCCGATGTTGATAATCCTGCCATTACATGCCAATTGCCATGATATAGAGGTGAACATGTGACGGAGTTGTGGCAGTCCGGATTGATGAGACGAAAGGGGAATTTAGGTGAAATTGAGTCTCACGCCTTGATGAATGCGCCATACTGCCAAAAGAATGACCCCAACATGCTGGAGTGTGCCGGGACCAGGCAGCGGCTCCCTCACCTGTCGGTTTGAGCACATGGTGAAATAGTGTGAGAGGAGCGAGGGCAACACGGACGGCCAAAAGCGAAGTCACCACCGCATAAGCGGTGATGGGGTGTTCCGAAGATCATCCATAGATTCATAAGTTTGGCTACTTCGCTGTGGTATATCCGTTTGTTTTGGGTTATAAAGCTGATCCCATTTGGCTTGTGCTGACGTAGAGACCGTGTGGATGGCTGCCTAGAGCTCACTGAGACCAACACAGCCACTGGACCTGTCCAATGCTACATGGACTCCAAAGTTGCTGAGGGATTCCCGTGGCTTCTTGTGCTACAGAAAAAGCCCCCAAAATGCTGCTCCTACGCAAACCGAGTAGGCGCCTGCGAGACAACACTTGGGCGCTCTCGGGCAATGGACAGCAAAGGCCTCCGGTGAGACTGGCTGTATTTGTGGGACAGCCTGATTTTACCTACGTACACATGCAATGAAAGTCGGCCAAGTGCCGCTGAACAAACGCTACTTAGTCTACCTCCGTTCTACAAACATTGCTCCTCATTGACTCCCATATTTTGCGCCGTTGATGCTTTCATGCAGGAAACTTGTATAGCCCAAAATCTTCCCAATGCTGTTACCCCCCGGATTTCGTGATTCATGACATGTTTTGCAGAACGACACTGATGAGGGCGCTGAGAACCCTTTTCAATGAGCCCTCGAAAAAGAGGAGCAATGTTGTCCTTTACCGTTTCTTTCCTCCTCCTCCACCCATCTTCCCAAGTGCCGGGCTAACCACCATATTACCAACAGCCACTTCAGCGAGGTGTCGCATTGCCGCGTACTTGACACCACCCCGCTTGTCGGGCTTGAGGACATGGTCCACGACCGCAGCCCCGAGGGCAGCGCTCGCGATCTTGGTCCCCTTTGTCCTCCAAGGCATCTGTTCCGTCCCCACCTTCATCAGGGCGACGCCCCCGGCCTGAAATGCGACTTTTGCGGCGTCCTCCCACGGAAAATCCTCCCAGGGCATCTTGTTGGTGGTCTTGGGCTTCGGTTGTCGGCTGTTGTGGGACAGACTCCTGACCGGACGAGGACGGGGACGGGGACGGGGCCGCGTCCTGGACGCGGCCTTGAACGATGACCCTGCCCTTCATTTGTGGACGGCGAACAGCGCTCAAGTAGGACGAGCTGGCTCGCGATGGTTTGGGCCGAGGGCGGCTGGCATGTGACGATGGCTTGGAAGGAGGTTCTGATGACTTGTGTTTGTCGTCGTGATCATTCTCGTCGGGGTCCCTTGAGTGGGAGTGAGAGTGCGAGTGTGAATGTGAGTGACGGTGTGAGTGGTGGTGATGGTGATGTCCATGAGAACTAGCAAGAGGGCGGGAATGTGTATGTCCACTTCTCGATGATGAGCCAGGTTGAGAGCTGCCATGCCTCGAATGGCTTTTGTGTTCTCTTCCCAACTGGTTCCTCGCCGTCTCTTTCTTCTCGGGTACGTGCGAATCCAAAGGATCGTCTTCGCCCGACAGATAGTATTTGTCCCTTGGGTCGTAGTCCGTGTCCCATTCAAACTGGCTGTCGTTGTTGTCGATGTTCTCGGCCTTTCTTTCCTGTCTCATGAGGGAAGTCTCAGAAATGCCTCTCTGCAGCTTTGGGCTGTAGCCACGCGGCCGAGTCGATCTCCGATGACTCGAGTCATCGTCGCTGCTGATGTGGCCATCCAAATAGTCAACGCTGGTCTTGGGACGTCTCGGCGAGGGCATCACGGAGAGAACGACTAGAGAAAAGAGATATGAAGGGAGACAATCGAGAATCGAAGCAATATTCTTGATAGTGGGCGGGTGATAAATCAAGGCCTTTCTTGATATTGCCTCTGGTACAGCGGGAGGACTCTTGTGTGGTTGGTAACCCACCCTACTGAAGAACGGCAGGGGGTCTTCTTCTTTTGTAGGAACTATATCAGCAAGTGTGCGCCATGAAGATCTGCATCAAGGGTCCCAGCATCGGGGTGAGAGGACGCCTGCTACTGGACAGTGCCGGATGCAGGCTGATGCAACGCATGAGGAGCATGCCAGGCATGTCACCAGAGCCCCAGCCCCAACGATCCGGTCCCTCCAACGCGGCAAGAGGCGAACACCATCACGCCAGCCGGCATTTGCCAGGTAAAGACAGGGGTTCGTAAGGGCCACAAAGACCGTAGGGGGAGCGAGTTGTGGCGTGGTTGTGTGGTTGGCTGCTCGAGCGCCGGGCAGCAGGGTTGGCCGCGGAACTGATGTCATCCCGCGGATGGTTTCTCACCCTTCCTCCATCCTCCACGAGCATCCAGCATCTTCCTCATCCAACGGACGCTCTTCTGCTCTTCCCCTCCCAGTCATCCCAGAGGGGTTCCGAGACACAATCTAGACTAGTCCGTTGTCATGATTGCGAAGCTTGTCTACGGGGGTGTCTCATGCCATGCGGAGCCAAACACCTGGTGTAGTTTCCAAGTTCTGGAGCGACACTCGCCGTGGTGGTCAGTGGCTGACTCCCGACGAGGTGGTTCCGCGATCGTGTCGCTCATAGAGATCGGTCCCGACTTGTCTCTCCCCCAAACCAGCATGTCAGAAAATGGGTCGGGGTTCTAGACAAGTCGGTGCAAGCCTGGAACGTCCCCCTTTTGTTTTGACATCATGTGTCCCACCTCCGGGCTGCAGCTCCAGCCACTCCCATCTTGCAGCTGCAGCGGTGCATTACGTTGCATTGCATTGGCACCTGCTTGCAGGAGCTGGCTTGCGTCCCCTCTCTTGACTGAGCTCGTGTGTGCTGAGTGCGCTGCTTAGCCACATTGTTGTTATCCGATCGAAGGAATTCATATCAGACAGAACCCGTACCAGGGATCCGAGGCACCTCACGTCTTCTCCACCGCTCTTTCGACGTCAAGCTGCATCTTCTGCCACACGAGCGGCCGCATCTTGAAAGGGGACGCAACACAATCGAATCGTGTGCTATGCACGAGCCGGCAGCTGTTTGAGCATCACATTCCCAAGCAGACATGTCGAAGGCGATGAACGCGTCGTACACTTTGCGTTCCTGGGAAACAGCGGGGTTCCTCCCTGGTCGTTAAGGTTTGCCAGCCGTCCAGCCGGCGCTGGCGGCTGTTGGACTGAAGTGTCAAGCTGTCGGATCAGCCGCTCTAGACCATCTGAAATGCCTAGGCGCTGATTAGACTCGTTCTAGTTGTGGGCAGGCAGTGTGAGCTGGCACAGGTGTCTTTTCTTCCCAGCATCACCATGTGACAGCCGGGCTGGCGTCAACACGAGCCTTTCCCAAACACGACGTCGTTCAGAAACAGCTTCCCGGTTCGCCTCAACTTTATTGCGCCACGAATGTGGCACTTCGAGACTGGCAATCCTCGCAAATTCGCAGGCGCAGGATGATTACTTGGAATAAGTGACGACGACCTGTTACACACTCGTGCAACGGGAACTCGGTCTTGTGACCATAATGACACAGCTGCCAATGGGGCCAAATGACTTTCTGCGATCACGGCCGCTGGCCCAAATCGACGACACGGTTGTCATCCGGCAACAGCACGCTGTCGCACGCTGTGTCGTGATAAACTGAGTATTTCGGTCTGGGCGCTCTCGAGGACCAAGACACATCCAGGCCAGTCCGTTTTGCCAGGTCTGGGCACCCGGTACAACATCCTCCTCGGCCGCAGCAACTTGACAGCGGCGTCATGGGGCTCATCTTCCTCGGGAATGTTAACGAGGTTGATTTTCGGGCCATGTTAGACAGCAGCTTTGTGCAGTGCAGCTTGTCCCACCGGGTTGGCCTGCTTCAAGTCCATGTCATTGAGCCTGGTGTAACGGGAAATTCACCATTGCGCCGGCCCAAATTCTTGGCCCGGCCCGACCGGTGGGTCTGCCGATTGACTCGGCTCCGGGGCGCCTAACCGGCACCGGGACAAAGCGACTTTGACATTGATGTTGCAAGACATTAATTTCTTGGTGACCATTTGACCGCACACTATTCGTCCTAGTCAGCGCCATCCCCAGCGTTGCCCAGTACGATCTAGCTTATGCTAAGACCATGCTTTCTCCGGGACGCAAACTAGTCTGGTAGCAGCGCGCCAATGTGGAATCTGGCATGGCCAGTCGCCTCAGTTGCTGCTGTCACAGACAGTTGGTGTCTTTTGTTAAGCTCCTAAACCCAAAATCAAGTTAGCCCCAACGCCATTATGCAGTCCCTCAGTCAGCAACGCATGGTGGACATCACCCTTAACGCCTTCGCTCTGCCCAATGAATGAGAGCTTGTGGTGCAATTTGGAATTCTGATGGCATCACATAAGTAGGTCTTATCAGGGGAGCTCAACGGGACGTCCGTGTGCTGGTCCAGAAGGAGAACACTTGTAGTCAAACTTCCCGCCCATGAAAAGCTATCTGATGGAACTTCAGGAAGCAACAATACACATTCCCGAATAGTGAGATTACCTCTTGTGCAGTGTCAACATGCCTCTTCCTATGGACGAACACGTCTTGGAGACTAGCCAAGGATTGGTTGATACACTCCACGGTATCTTTGGCCCTCACCCGGGCTACCGACCAGGTAGGCAGTGTCAACGCCCCAGTTTAGAACCGATTTAGTAGCAACGGGCAGACACTTACCAACTTTGCTTGTCCAGCGCATGCAAAGGGCATCCTACTCCAAGGGGATTTCACCCCAAGTGCAGAGGCAAAAAAGCTATCTATAGCACCACACTTCAATCAACCGTCCACCCCTATCATCGCTCGGTTCTCGAACTGTGAGTGGTCCCGCCCTCACTCCCGAGTCCTCTGAAAACTTACGTGGTGCCGAACAGCCACTGGCTTGCCGAATATCCCAGACAACTCGTCCAATGCTGGACCCCGTGGCTTCGCGCTGCGGTTCCAGCTCGCCACCCACCCTCGACGCGTCCACACGGACATCATCGCACACAGCGTGGATGCCTTCCCGGGATCCAACGGCGACGAGGCCCTCGCTTTCTTCAAGGCGCTGAAAGACGGTACAGTCGAGTCGTTCCTCGGCACGCACCCGAAGGCACTGGCCTTCGTACAGGCGCCCAAGCCGGCCCCGGAGAGCTTTGCCAACGAGCAGTTCTTTGGGGTTAACGCATTCAGGCTGATCGACTCGGGCGGGAATGAGACATATGTACGGTACAGAATCGTGCCAGCTGCCGGGCTGAAGACATTGGGTGAAGAGGAGCTCAAGGAGAGGGGCGAGAACTATTTGTTCGAAGAGTTACCGAATCTGGTTGAGGCTGGGCCTGTGGCGTTCAAGTTGAGAGCGCAGGTCGCTGAGAATGGCGACGTTACAGATGATGCCTGTGTGCACTGGCCTGAGGAGAGGAAAGTGGTGGATCTGGGGACAATTTCTCTCAAAGCACTGGTGGAAGATGATGCTGCAGAACAGAAGCATGTCATCTTTGACCCTGTTCCGAGAGATGTCCACGGGCTTGAACCATCCGCGGACCCCTTGTTGGCAGTCAGAGCAGGGGTCTACCTCATCAGTGGCCGGGAGCGTCGTGCTGCATGATCCTGTCAAGTAAGTAAATATTATGCAAGGGGTATTATTTCACATAAATGAATACCTTCTGAGCCTGGGCTGGAAATCTGCCCTGTCAGGTGGTATATGTAAAGCTTCTTGTGAACTTGAGAGGTTGCGAAGGTGAAAGACGTTGTATTTACGCGTCGGAGGTTCCAAACGGGTGTTGCTGTGACTTGGGCAGATAAGCGATAAGGCTTGGCCCAAGATCGGAGAGCTCAAGCACTTGGAATGGACCACGCGTCTTTGCTTGCAACCCCCACTGATCTTCCACACTTCACATTGTGGCAGCTCTCGTTTCCGTCCATCGAGCGTTGCCACGCAGCTGTCTTTTGTCACTAATATCGAATACTCGCTGTCAAAAGGGCAGCACCCTGGACGGTCTGAATACCGGCACGACGTCATCCCTTCCAGAGCCCGTTGCCAAAGTAACCAACCGCCTCCTAGTACGCCGAGGCGAGTGTATGTTGCAGAATGTCGGACGCCCTCGAGTGGCTCATTGAGCATGAGCCGGGCTTTCGCAAGTCAGCAGACCTCACTGCCACCAGAGGGCACCATTTTAAGCTGACCCTCCTGATACAGAGCACGCGTGCCAGCCCTCTACTCCGACTTCCGCGGTCTTCGCTCCACCAATCCTGACGGATACCAAGCCAACATCTCCGCGTGGAGACGCGGCCTCGCCGGCCTCGTGCGCGCTGGCCTTGCTCCCACCGGGTCTGGCTCGTCGCCTAATCCCAACCACGTTGTCCTGAAGGCCGACGAGTCGTTGCTGCGAGCTCTAGAGAGCAAGCAATATGGCCGACCGCTGGCCCTTGGCGCTGTTATCCGAGAGGCGACACAAGAGAGAGACTTAATACCAATGCAAGACTTCTTGAAGGCCAACGAGAGCATATACTACAAACCATGGAGCTCGATACCATGGGGCATCGCCTCGTGGGGCTTCAGGCACCTGGGCCTGACTGGGGCCTTCACTTTCGGCGGGGATGACAGGCTGCCAGGTGGGCAGTTCGTGGTCGTCGCGAATGTGGAGGCTGCCTCTAAGGCGGCACTCGAGCAGACGGCGGGACTGACCTCGCGGTTCGAGAGGACATTCTCGAAAGTTCAGTTCCAGGCGGAATTCAAGGATTCTATACTGAAGGGCCAGCAGTTGTCCGAGACGGACATGGAGGTCCTGCTGCGCTTCATGTCGAGGGACCAGGGCGTGCTACTCTACGACGGCAAGACAGTCAAGATCAGGAATCCCGACGACCAGGAGTCGGTGATCACAGCGGAGGACGAGACAATAGCATCGCTCAGGGAGCTGGCCGAGTACCTGAACCATCAGACGACAGTGCTTGATAACAAGATCGAGGAGCTCACCATGACAGCAAGACAGGCGGTGGCTAAGAAGAACCGCGTCTCGGCCATGGCAGCTCTGAAGTCCAAGAAGCTGGCAGAATCATCCTTGCAACAGCGGTTCGCCACACTCAGCCAGATCGAAGAGGTCTCGGCGAAGATAGAGCAGGCATCGGACAATGTGCAGCTGGTGAAGGTCATGGGCGCGAGCACCGAGGTCCTGAAGACACTGAACGCGCAGGTCGGAGGCGCCGAGCGCGTGGAAGAGGTCGTGGACCATATGCGCGAGCAGATGGGCCAGGCCGATGAAATAAACAGTATCCTCGCAGAGCAGGGCCCCGCGGTCGACGAGGAAGAGCTCGACGACGAGCTCGAGGCGATGTTGCAGGAGCAGACGAGCAAGGAAGAGGAGCTCGAGCGGTCGAGCAGGGAGGCCGCGGAGCAGAAGGAAGCGGAGGACATCGCGAGGAGACTTGCTGATCTGGATGCCCCGCATGCCATCGCGGACAGGAGCCAGGAGACTGACGGGCTCTCAGGGGAGATGAGTAAAATGTCGCTCAAGGACGAGCCCCAGAGGGAGGAGGCGAGCTAACGTGGGCCGCAGAGCATCATGATTGTATCAAGCTGAGGGAATCTTGAGCAAGACGTCCATTCATGATGTTTACAGATCCATGGCTACAGAGTGAGTGGTCGGCCCTGTTCGACGTACCCCTTGTACATTTAGTCGAATTTCGGACATGTGCTCAGCAAGGTTCTTGCGCCACTCATGTCACTGAGTAGACTGGTGAAGGGGGTTCTATTCTTTGCGCAACCTGGCTAACATTTGTATATGCAAGTTCTCGAAGTCGGATTCGGCAGGCTGCATTAAAAATCAAGCGGGCGCCTCCTGATCAGGTCAGGTAACATGGCTTGGGACTGCGTTCATGGGTAACGCAACTCATGAACAGGACGGCTGGGAGCAGTTAAACGACATTACACCAAAGGTATGTGGCGGCTGACGCCACCGTTGGTGTTCTGCTGAACGGCTTAAATTATTTGCGACATCGCATTCCAGCTTACCCGGCTTCAAGTCCGGAGCGCATACAGCTTGGAAACAACCGCCCAGGAAGTCTCTGATGGGGGCGATGATTTTCAGGCGTACCTCTCCAGGTGTGCTGCAGTGCACCGTACCTGTGGCTGGCTGATCGACGATACACACGCAGCCTGTCAATAACCCAGAGCGAACTCGGCGCTGAATTCTTTCAGGGCCTGAGGTCCGTCTCATCGCAGGACGATCTGGAGGCTCCTAGTTTTGAAGGGATTTCTACAAGCAGTTTTACCCGCGCCCCCCGTCCTCCCCCCCTCCCCCCCAGCTCGCGAGCAGGTATGGATCTACGAAAGCACTGATTACTGTCGCTGGAAGCCAATGCCTGCTTTATTAGTGGCTCGTCTAAAACGTAAGCTGGATGACTGGCGAGATTTGGATTACACTGGCATATCCCAAACGTCCCCAAATCAACCTGAGTTTCACCATAAGTTGGATATATATCGGTCGGAAGAGTCGACGACGGCGTTGATGTCAAGGGTATCAGTATAGAAGGAAACCCAATGAAGCAACCTGCTGGTGGATATGCGGCGAGAGCGAACGAGGTGTTGAGTTCTATGGATTGCGTGCGCTGTTTTCAAGACAGTGCGAAATACGCCAACCCAGCGAGCTTCCCCCAACGATCAGCACTTTACGCTCTGATCTTGCTTCGGTCTTGCTCTGCAGGTCTGGAATAGACACTTTTTACGGCGCTATCGTCGTCGCGCTTCCAGAGCTAGATATGTTTTCCGTATGGGAGTGCAACTGTCGATCCTCTGATACAGGTCCTGCGACTCTGTCATCGACCGACCCTCGAGGCGACTGGTCTGCTGCTATCTGGCTGGATGTGATACTTGGATCCATGACTGTGTCAGAGTTTCGTATTGGATAGCCTTCAGCATGGTCCTGTCCATTGGTTATGACATCTGCCGGCTGTTCGGGGGTCACGTTGCTGGCGGCAGGAGATTGGTTCCGAGCTTCATGGGATGGCTCCCGGGTCGTCCCAGCTGCCTTCTGGCGAGACTTGCGCGCATTTGCGATCAGGTCCTTGAATGAATCGCTGTGTTTTGAGGCCCATCCCAGGCCGTCGAATTCCTTGTCTTTGATCTGGGCACCCAGGTTGGCCGAATGAGAGTTGGGAGGAGCGCTGCCACCTTGCGTCCGTTCCCAAGTGTCAAGGTCTCGCAGAAGTTCCGACTTAGCTTTTGGTCGCGCCGAGTCACAGTTGGCATTCCATATCATAACCCATTCCCTGTGTCTTTTCTCGAGTAGTTGTCTGGAACCCCAACTTGAAAGTCCCATCTCTACAAGCCTCTTTCTCAAAGCAGTCTCCTTCATCATAGAGTAATTCAGTGGCGACAACCTCTCTTGCGGTTTAGTCGAGGTGTTGGTTGCAGGGCGAATATTGGGAAATCCGAGGGTCCTTGGCTTTGACTCGCTTGGTTGTGGCCGTGGCTCTCCAGGACAATCGGTATCTAGGTGCCTATCGACTTTCTCGGGCTTCATTCTCCATGAGCAGATTGGGCAAGCAACGAGGCCATCGTCTGTCTGTTGCGTTAGTCTCCAGCACTCAGTTGTCCGTGAAGGGGCAGCGCAGCAGCCTACCAGGCGTGTACTCCTCTACCTCGACCTCCTCCACCTCTGGTACTCCCGCCTCTTCTCTCATAATGGCCGATGTAGCCTCCGCTGCCCTCGCACTGCTCGACCTGGTAGACATCCTGGTCCTTTTCGAATAATGGCCACCGTCTTGTGTACCGTCACCTGCTTTCCTCTTTGGAGTCTGTGCTGGCGCATCAGTCGCAGGAGCTTGTGGTTCTCGTGCGAGCCTGAGCATCGCATCTCTGCCCCGGCTGAAGCTCTCAACAGCCTCTCTTATTGCCCAATTCCCCCTCAACCTCGACTCCTGGTCCGTAGCGCGACACAGTGGACACTTCCCGTCGCTGGCGAGGGCTCTTCGTATGCAGAGGGAGCAGAAGGTGTGGCAACAAGACGTAACCATTGGGGAGTTGAAGAAGTCTTTGCAGACATGGCATCGCAGCGACTGTTCGACAGGCATCAGGCTTGCCAGAGGCGTTCCCAACCAGTCGGTTGGGTCGGATACGTCGTAGGCATCGTCCTTTGTGACGGGACCCGTGTTCCGGGTGTCCATCCTATATCGCTCAAGTTGTGTAAGTCGTCGGACCGTTGCCTCGTATCGATTGGCGTGGTTGTCTCGGTGGTCCCAGCAGGCAAAACAAATCAAAACTCAAGAGAGCGTTGGTTTACTTTTTTGCGAAGTCGCAAGGAATGTCAAGGAAGGGCCGCCACTGGGTCCGCTTTTGGGGAGGCGCGACCTGCCGTGAAAGCGCGTAAAGAGCAACCCCGACCCCTGCAGGTACGCGTCCAACAGAAAGCAGGCGCTCTTCCTGTCTACGCTTACCTCTCCAATTCATGGCCTTTCATGCCAAAATTACTTGCGCAGAGCAGCACACCAACGTGTAATCGCTACCGCCTCCACCATGGACAATTACAAGACTTACCTCGCGGAACAGGTCCTATCTGAGGACAGAATCGTAAGCGTCTTGACCCACGGCTTCACCTGGTTCCAGACCACAAGCTAATATTTCCCAAGGTCACGTATAGGACTTTGAGTCGGGCTTTGAAAGTCCATGTCAACACAGCCAAACAGTGAGTATGGCCGCATGCATCAAAGGCACACATGCTCAATGTCTGTTAGGATGCTCTACGAATTCCACAATGAGCAAAATGTCAAACGCTCAGGATCCGTCCATGCAACCTACGTGCTGTATGGCATCAGGAAGAATGCCCAAACCAACGGCCACTCCCAGCAAGACGGTGATGTGCACATGACGAGCTCTCCCCCAGAAATTGAGTCTGCGGTGGATGACAATCCCGTGATCACACTGACTCTTGTGGCCGAGGAAAGCCTCAAAGGTAGACTGGACGCATGTGCCCCTGTGACCTCTGGATCCTTAGCTGACCCGCTTACAGATGTACTTTCGCAATATGAAAGCGTCAGTTCCATTCATATCTATAGTCTGGGAACGCACCCTGTAAAGGTGAGACTCGTCCACTTTGCTTGTGGCTTGCTTGTTATTAAGCATTACTGCAGGATCTTCATTTACTCGCGGAGGTGTCGAAACCCATCCTTGACGTGGCGGCTGAGAACGATCCAACCGACCGTCAACACTCACTCGGACCCATTCGCAATCCACATGTGCGGCGAAGAGAGCGTCAGGGGGCAGCCCTCAGGTCCAATGTGGCGGTCCCCAAAGCGTCTGACGCGAAACCTACTACCTTGAAGCAGGCGCCCGCTGCACCAGTCAAGGAAGAAGCCGCGCCGGAGCAAAAGTCGGGCTCCAAGGAATCCACCCCGGTGCTGTCCGGGTCGAAGAAACCGCCACCTGCTCTGAAGCGCGGAGCTTCTGGAGGTATCATGCAGTCTTTCGCCAAAGCTGCATCCAAGCCCAAGAAAGCTGGCACTCCTCAGCCAACAGCGGCAAGCGCCGCGGATGATACACCTATGCAGGAACTTTCGGATGATGGAGAGGACGACACTGTGGCCGAGCCCAAAAACGAAGACGACTCGGCAGCATACAAGACCAGAAAAGACCGTCAGGAAGAGCTGAAGCGCATGATGGAGGAGGACAGTGAAGACGAGGAGCCTGAAAAGGAAGACACGCCGATGGAAGAGCCAGAGGAGGAGGTCCCAGCGCCAGAGCCTGAGAAAGAAGAGAAACCAGAGCCAGCGGAGGTCATTTCGAGTGCCAGCAACGGGCGGCGCCGTGGAAAGAGGCGGGTGATGAAAAAGAAGACAGTCATGGACGACCAGGGTTACTTGGGTAAGTCACGGACAACCACCTGCTATAGAGATTGGAACGCACATGTTGACAGTCGAGACAGTCACGGTTCAAGAATCTGGTTGGGAGTCTTTCTCCGAGGATGAGCCAGCGCCGCCAGCTGCGAAGAAGAAGGCGGAGGCCGGGTCACAACCGGCGAAGCCCAAGAAACCAGCTGCAAAGGGCCAGGGCAATATCATGTCGTTCTTCAGCAAGAAGTAACCTTGCGAAGAGAACAATGTTTTCACGGTTATCACTTGTGGAGGATGAAGCGGATTGGGGGCGCAGGGTCTTGGTCATCGAAAGTGTTGTAGACAGAGCTTGAGACGCAAGACAAGCTGTGAGCCTGTCTGGAACAGAAATAGCAGGCCAGATCGTGTGGGTCACAGACGACCTCGCAATTGTCTTGCGCGTTTGAACCCATCTTAGAACCGCCCCCTTGTATGACCCCTGAAAATTAGACGCTGGACCCCTGAAGGTGCCAGGGTGCCTCGAGGGTGCGACGATCAGTGTGGGGTAATAAGCTTCCTGTGCGTGGGAACATCGACATCCGGGAATTTGGCATTCCCTCGACCACCTGGTGCCTTTCCCAACCTCTTTCTCGAGGTTCCTGTTCGTTGTAACGTGTGCTCTTCACTCGCTGGGGCCGTTCCGTTCAGCGCAGCTCCTCACCGTCCCTATTACTCCTGTGCGCCAATAAATGCTTCAGGGAACCGCAAGGATTGCTTCCTTTGCTGATACGAGGAACAGCCACGATCTGCTGTTTGTACCGCAACAAGCGCTCTGCTAGCAAAACCTCACCGTACCATTGGCGCCCCTTCTCAGTCGCTTAGTCTCGTTAGCATCGACGTCCGCCCAAGACGATGGGCTTCCTGCGCTCTTCTTTCGTCGCGGGCCTCCTCTTCCAGCTGGGCGCACTCGCACATGGACCGCTCGGCTATGCGCAGGAGAAACCGTTGGTAGGCGATGCCAGCTTTGACTACGCCGAGGCATGTCCAGACTATGCGAAATACTCAACAAGTCCTCAGTAAGTATGGGCCCATGCACCAAGCAGACAAATGGCTAACTCTACGCAGTCCTCCCAACAGCGAGGGTCCTCTGCAACTTCCGTTCCAGCGACCGCATCCCAAATGCCGCACGTTCCATTCCGACGCCGTCGAGAAGGTCATTAAGGATGTCACCTCACGAATGAAAGACCCTGACCTGGCCCGCCTATTCGAGAATACCTTTCCCTCGACCACAGACACGACCGTTAAATTCCATACCGATGGTACTAAGAAATTCAAGAGGAAAGAGTACGGTCGGAGCGCTCTGGACGACGGCGCATGGATGGGACCGCAGTCGTTCATTATCACTGGGGACATCATTGCTGAATGGCTCCGGGATAGTTGCAACCAGCTGTCTCCATATATGCCGCTTGCAAAGAAGGACAAAGACATATTTACCCTGATCCTAGGGGCGATCAACACGCAGTCCGAGTACGTGATCGAGGCGCCCTACTGCAACGCGTTCCAACCACCTCCGATTTCTGGCCTCAAAAATACCTACAATGGCCAGGACGATTTCGTTCACCCAACCTATGAGCCCTCTTTCGTCTTCGAGTGCAAGTACGAGCTGGACAGTCTCGGCCATTTCTTGACCCTGGCCAACGATTTCTACGAGACGACCGGCTCTCTCGAGTTCGTGAACCTGCGCTGGCTGCTGGCCCTCGAAACCGTGTTGGAAGTGTTGGGTCAGCAGAGCCAGCCTACATTCGACCCTGCGACGGGACAGTACCAAAGGAACACTTACACGTTCAAGCGTCAGACCTTTGTTGGCACTGAGACTTTGAACCTAGACGGGGTGGGAAATCCTCTGAACAACGGAACTGGTCTTATCCGCAGCGCTTTCAGGCCGAGTGACGACGCAACCATCCTCGGCTACTTTATCCCGGCGAATGCAATGATGGCGGTGGAAATGAAGAGAACGGCGAAAGCTCTCAAGGCTGCAGGCGAGACCCATACTGCCGAGAAGTTCGAGAAGTGGAGCCAGCAGATTACAGACGGTATCTGGGACCACGGCGTGGTTCAGCACGCCAAGTTTGGCCGCGTTTTCGCATACGAAGTAGACGGCTACGGCTCCCACATCTTGATGGATGACGCAAACTACCCTAGCTTGCTGGCTCTTCCATTGATGGGCTTCGTCCCACCGGATGACGAAGTTTACCAGAATACGCGCAAGATGCTACTGAGTCGAGCGTCGAACCCATACTATCTGGAGGGACAAGAGTTTCGAGGCATTGGAGGTGAGAGTTCACACCTGCGGACGGTTTTGGGTGGCCGTGTTTGCTAACGCTCGAAGGTCCTCACATTGGCCTCCGGAACGCCTGGCCGATGAGCTTGTTGATTCAAGCGCAGACGACCGACGACGATGCTGAGATCATGGGGTGCCTGAACTATGTGCTGAAAACTGCCAAGCTTGGACTCATTCACGAGAGCATCGACGTAAATTCGGGATACGCATATACCAGTGAGTTTTGCTATGGAAATCATGTACACGGGTTAAATCGAGCTGACTTGTTGTGTGCTTTTTAAGGGAGTTGGTTCGCTTGTAAGATCTACTCCAATACTCATATCCAACCCTGCACGCTTCTGGTACTTGCAACTAACAACATTTTCTAGGGGCGAACGGTGTTTTTGCCGAGACGATATTGGACCTGGCCAACCGCAAACCGCATTTGATATTCAAGGACACTACGCCATACGATATATGGGAGGACTGAGGGAGGTGGGTGCGGAAACTGTACATACCGGCTAGTGACAAGGCGACCTCCAACAGACATTAGGATACCCTATAAAGCATTTTTTATTTCCTTCATCTCTTACAACGTCACTTACGCACCTACTCATGTTTGCAGACGTTTCATTACGTTTTCCCAGACAATGCTCATAGACCTCAAGAAAACGGCCACTGCACTGTTCTCTAAAACTGTTCAGGCCTCTGAGATATCAACCCTCTCAGTCTAGTGCCTTTTCTGCAAGCTCATATCAAGAACTAGTAGCCGTGCCCAAAGCAACGCCGTCCCCAAAGCAACGCCGTCCCGTCACTGATTTGCGATGTTCTAGGAGTCAGACAGAATGGGGCGCTCAGAGTTCAGGCCCGAAAGGAGATGCGCGCTGCGCAAGGGAAGATGTCGGTAAGCAATGGAGGCTTCCACGCAAATCAGCTCTCGCTTGCCGGGGCTGACTGTAAGGTCGGAAGCGATAACGAGAACGGTGTCGAGCTGCAATTCGTCAGGAGCAGACACCCAAGCAGCTGAGCCCCAATCCGCCTGGAGACCTACCGCTGCCTGATGCTTTAGTGGGCCCCAAACCCCCCTGTGAAGGAGGCCATCTCCGATACCCAAACGTCGACAGGCTAGCATCATTGGTCCCGGATGGCTGTGCTTGGCCGTTTTTGGTGTGTTTATGTACAGCCATGATGCGCAGGATGATGGAGCTGGTAACGGCAGGAGTCGGTTTCGCTATCGTTTACACGTCCGAAGACTGCGGTGACCCTCATACTGATGTTGAACATGCCCAGGAGTCTATAAGAGCCAGAATTTGCCTCTTGCCAAGGAGTGCAATGCCATTATCCCAGGATTCAATTCATCCAGGCCAGCCTCGCTCAAGTCAAGGAGGTCTTTCTACTCCATTTTCAATCAATTATCTGATTATCAACCATCTTGTAAGACAGAGAAAATGATCGGCAGAGGGCGCGGCCGAAGAGGTGAGGCAGGAGGTCCCTTGGGGGCCCTCGTTCAGGGTGCTGCTGCCGGTGTTGGTCTCGCCTCAGAGAGCATACAACACCACAAAGCAAAGAAGAGAGCACAGAAGCAACAGGAACAACAGTCGAACACACCTGGGCATGCTACTTCACAGGACGAGCGAGAGTACCGCGAGGGTTTGCCGGAGGAGTGCGATGAGGGCGCTTGGCGACTGGATGAAGCGCAGGATGATCTTGCCGGGGAAGGAAATCGAACATCAACTGCCAACACTCAGAGCGCCCAGGGCGATGTCTCACAACTAGCAGATGACTTCGTCCGCACTCATCAATCCGAGGAGCTACCGGTGCGCAGAGGGCGCCTCGACCTGCCCGTGGTCATCACCCAACGCCGACCGAAGGCGCGTACGCGTGGGTTCATCCAAGCCTACGCACCGCTCCTTGAAAACGCCGCGATCGATCAGCCAGCGTTCCTGGACTTCATCGAAAAAATGAACAAGGCTGTCCAACCCAACCCATGGCTCCAGGCGATCAACCTGGCCTCACTCGCCGCACAAAACGTCCCCGAGCCCGTTACACTCGCAGTCTCGATCGCGACAAAGATGGCGGCAGATGCTGCGTCCGAGATACACAGCCGCGCCAAGACAAATGCCTTCCTTGATAAGACCAACGAAGAGTACTTTAAGCCAAGAGGACTGGTCGCGTTGCTGATGACATGGAAGCCCCAAGACTCTTCAGTCGTCACGACGGTTGATTTTGATCTTGGCACAACCATCACGAATCCTCCGACAGGGAGTAAAGGAATGTTTGGAAAGCTCCAAAGCCGCATGAAGTCCTCCTCTGCGGCGACCAGCTTCGAATTCCCCGAGACAGCGCCACTGGTCTTCCCAGCGCTCGACGAGCTCGCCGCCACCACGCCAGAGAGCCCCGGTGCAGAGGCCAAGAAGCAGAATGTCATCAAGAGGAGCGGCAGCTTTCTCACTGACTACCTCGACCGGCGGGCCGTCGCGAAGTGGTCTGGCGACAACCCCCAGAGCAAGATGGCAAACCTGGCCCCCAAGCCTGAATTCCGGTCCCGGTACGCAGACCCGAGCCACCCTGCATCCAGCGGCGATCTCCTGGCTTTTGTCACTGGAGGCAAGGTCTCGGCGGGAATGGCTCGCGAGCAGGTTCAAGACGCGGTTGACGGAGGTCTCGGTCGAGGAGCCCTTGTGGGTATGCGTGGTCGGGGTGGCATTCGTGATTTCAGACGTGCTGGCAGATCCGATACCCACGCACCTCGTGGTCCTTATGGTGAAGGCAGATCCACAGCTGATTGTGCTGGGTCATTGCTCTTGGTCGGCGGGGTGAAGAAGCTGTTGCAAAAGGTAACATCTTGCCGCTGTTCAGAGTTCTGAGGTTTGACTTCTCGCTGACATGTTCCTAGGATGTGTTGTATCTCATGATTGTCAACCGACCTAGCGAAGAGGAGATGGCGGCCTCTGCGTCGGTCCTTGGTTGAAGAGACACAGGATTTGTTATATCCAGGAGGGCGCCTGGAGTTGTCCGCGTGGCTGTAATTTCCAGCCATGACCTACGCCGTTGCGGGCTACCAGGCCCAATTTCATGCACGAGATACAGCAAGAGTGTGATAGCTGAAATGGTAAACCATAGTCTGCAGGCTCCTGCAGCGGGCCGCGTGAGAGACGCGTGCATTGAGGCTCAGCAGCAAGTGTATCAGGAGTGTTGCTGTGACTTCACAGTTAGCGCTCCACTCGTACAAATGATGGTCAAGCTGAAGGTATCCACAACTCCACAGTGATGGCGCGGCCATACTTTCGTGTGTTTTCGGTACCCGTAGAATGGAGCAAACAATTGGGATACAAGTAAGGTTATGCTCGTGGCTCTGAACTTCCTTGAGATCGGGTTAAGCAGGCTCTTGGGGTAGATCTGGCCAATTCATTCAACAGAAGCTCACAGCCACTAAATACGTTGCCATCCCATCGTATAAAATGCCTGAAGTCAACCCACCTCAACAACAACAGCCTATGGAGGCCCCTGCCCCTGAGGACGTGGTGGTTACTCGCCAGCCCGTAAGTCAACCCGACCAGGGAGGAGAGACTCACTTGTCGAGAGTAACTGTGGATGCTTGGCTGATCATCCCCAAAGAGACCTCTGAGCCTCAGATGGAGATGAGCTTGCGCGGTGGTTTCGAAGAAGAGTGCGGCTGCTGTGGCTGCGAGGAGTCGTGTAGCTGCTGCGGGTCGGACGAGCATGAAGGTCCTCCCGGCGGTGGTCCACCTGGAGGCGGTCCTGGTTTTGGAGGCCCAGGAGGCCCTCCTGGACCGTGAAGAAATGGAAGTTCACACCAGAGATATAATCTTGACTCGTCCAGAGCAATTCAAACGTTAGCTTGCAGAGACATGTGATTCGTCCGGCATGAAGTGTGTGAGTCGGCCGTGAGAACGAAAAGCATGGCACCCCAGTCTCGAATGTCGAGCGTGGTGATCTTGTACCCGGGTTGACAAAGTGGGCCGTCAGGATGCGGGCCTGTCAGTTGCTTGAACAGATAGATCGGCGCGAGGTTGAGATTCGGCCCGCAGCGCTGAGAAACCGGCTCAGGCACGCCGCTACGGATGTTGCGTTGGCTGAGCTTTGGTTGTGCAATGTACCTACAACAGGCTGGCGGGAGTGACGAATTTCCATTATTTCCCCGCAGCCTTCCAAATATGTCTGAATATCCACTTAGACCTCGCAGATACTATGTAGTAGTTTGAGTTACACAATAGACCTAGGTACATTGAATCTCACGGCGGCCGTCAAAGCCACCGCCGAAAGCCGGACAACGGCCCCTCTCCACTTCCACTACCATCCTCGAGCTTGGGCGCCCGATAAAGAACCCTCATTTTCGTTGATCATGTGAATTGACGACATACCTTTGGACGCTGGCTTATCCAATGCTTGTCTCCTGCAAATCTGCCAGACATTTTAAGTTCCGTGGCCGACCTCGCATTTTCCCAGGTACTTGCTTTCAATACCAACGAACCTCTTCTTCCCTCAGGATGACGCCCTCAGAACCACCACCCGATGAGCCAAAGAAGCGTCCCATCAACCTTCTCCGTGGCTGGCCGTCGCCTAACGTATTACCAGCAGAGACACTTAAGGCGGCGGCCAATAAAGTTCTGTCTGATCCCGACATTTTTGTCCCAGGTTTGTTAGAATTCTCGAGGAGAGAGTGCCTTTCTCACTTGTCTCCTATCCTCTTCGGTCACACAGGCTTACTTTCAGCAAGGTCTCCAGTATGGTCCTGACCCTGGCTACCAGCCTTTGCGTGAGGAGCTGTCCAGGTTTCTGAGCAAGGCATATGACACAGAGGCAGACGCGGAGAGGATCTGCATCTCAGGCGGCGCAAGCCAAGCCCTGGCATGCATACTTCAGTCTTACACCGAACCAGTGTATACTAAGGCCGTATGGGCGATTGCACCCTGCTATTATCTGGCCTGTGCAATCTTTGAGGACTCTGGCTTCAAGGGGCGGCTTAAAGCAGTCCCCGAGGACTCCGAGGGCATCGATCTGGAGTGGCTTGAGAGGGGCCTTGAGAGTTTCAAGAACAAGACCGACCCGGACGAGACACCCGTGTATAAAACACCCGAGCTCAGGAAGGTCTACCGACATGTCATTTACGCTGTCCCCTCCGCCGCCAACCCCTCGGGAAAGACAATGACGCTGAAGAGGAGGGAGGCGCTCGTTCGTCTCGCACGCAAGTACGATTGCCTCATCATTTGTGACGATGTCTATGACTTTCTGCAATGGCCTGTCACCGAACCGTCCTCCGTTCCTCCCTCGGGAACACCACCAGCCAAGGTCAAGATACTCCCGAGGCTATCAGACATCGACTTCGCGCTCGGCCCCAGCACACACGGCCAATCCCAGCCAGACGGCAAGTGGTTCGGCCACGCGATCAGCAATGGGTCCTTTAGTAAAATCGTCGGGCCGGGAATAAGGACGGGTTGGGTCGAGGGGACGCGGGACTTCGCCTTCGGGCTCGCGCAGACGGGCTCGACCAAGTCCGGCGGCGCACCCAGCCAGCTCTCCGCGACCATCGTGTGCGAGATGATGAAGGGCGGCGAGCTGGGGCGGCACATAGACGGGGCGTGCAGGCCGAGCCTGCAGAGAAGGCACGCGCTGATGATGAAGGCCGTGCATGAGCACCTGGACCGCTTCGGCATCGAGGTGCTGGACTCGAACCCCACGGATGGCGGCGGGAGGGCGTACGGGGGCTATTTCGTGTGGATCACATTCCCGAGGGGGCCGACGGCCCAGACCATCGCGAAAAGAGCATTGGAAGATGAGAACCTGGTGGTTCCGCCGGGGGAAATGTTCCAGGTCAAAGGTGACGAGAAGGCGGTGCAGTTCCCCAACAGCATCCGGCTGTGCTTTGCCTGGGAGGAGGAGCGAGATCTTGTCGAGGGGGTCGCACGCCTCGGCCGCGCTGTGGACTCACTCTGGAACAAGGAGGAGCCGGTTAGACAAGGTCGTTCCGGCGGTGGCAATCTAGACGCCTTCTACTGATGCCCTTGGATCGCCAAATTACATTTCCCTGCTCGAGTGGTGGTTGGGTTTTTTTTTTTTAAGCCGATTGTGGCCTCTGAGCCAATGAAATACTTTGGGAACTAGGAAAACACATACTGGCAGCAAATCGCAAACCCAAAGGATTGCATGACACCGGCTTAGGTATCGATCAAGAGCCACAGGCTAGAATAGCGATTGCTATGATTCTGATGAGGAGTTTACTGACTAGGCGACTGTCCATCGTGGAAGATCAGGGATTCTCATCGAGAAATTACTCGAAGTTAGGCTATGTCAACAGTCTCAACGTGCTGTGTCAGGTATTTCACGGCAGCAGTCATTCAGGAAAGAGCATGCTTGGTAGACTTTACGTGTCGTTCAACGCCAGTTGAGACGGTCTGTGGGACCTCGTGATCCAAGTCATGCTCGAAAGGGGTATCTTATTTCATTGCTATTGCTGGCTAGAAGGTCTAAAGTTCATGTGTGCACCCGATAAGTGGATTTCATGCACCTAGTCTACCAGCCCCATGTCCTGTTCGAAGCTGTGAACACAGGCGGCTTCCATTGGATCAAATCCGGCTTGATCTCTCTCCATAGCAGCTTCTTCCTCTTCTCCAACCGTTTGTTGTGCGCCTCCATTTGACTGTTGGGCACGACAATCTTGTGCTCGCCCTTGTGGTAAACTTGCATCTTGTATGCCTGGAGCGTGTGCTCGACGTCCTGAGTCGTCATGGCGAGGGCTGAAGAGATCTGCTCTATGCTGCACCTATCGTCTTTATCGTGGTACTCGAGCAGCATATCCACGATGTTTTCAATCCAGTATTGTCGGTAACTGAGGAGACCCAAATCAGAGAGGGGTTTCTCAGGCGATCCTAGCTTGCCCTCGATCTTCGATAGCTCGTAAGAGAACTGGATCAACAGCCGGCCATAACCTTTGCGTTGGTACTGAGGCAAGGTCAGAATACAGGCCACATTGTAGCCATCCGCACTCTCCTTCTCTTTGGAAAAATAGCCGACGAGATGACAGCCCTTGTCGGTCCGCCTCGTCATGACGTAGAACAGAAAGGGATCCACGTCGTAGTAAAGGGTCTTGTGGTCGAGGAACATCTTCGATAGCAGACAGAGATTCCTGCACCAGGTCCGCTGCCTCCGCCCATCAATCTCCCAGAACGACACCCAATCGTCCCTGTAAATCTCGTTTCCGGGCGGATGTTGCAGCGTGCACTTGTGACGGTGCCGTTTAAAGCTGGTGAGATTGCCGTAGTAGTTGAGGCAGAACTCGCAGATATAAATAATATCTTCCTGAGTGAAAACCTCCGGATAGGGCGAGAAATACCAGGGGAAAAGGTCGTGTTGGCCAAATTGAACCGTCGAAATGTTTCTGATGCGGGCGATCTCGGTCGGATTCTGTGTCATGGAACCCGAGGTACGCAGCTTTTCGATCTCATCCTCTCGACTGAACGAGTCGGGTTTTGGCGTCTCATCGCCGTCGACGTCCATCTCATCTCCGGCCGCGGGCGTAGCGGCGCCATCCTGGATCGGGGTGGCCACCTCGGGGCCGTCGTCCCCAGTTGGAGTGCCCTTCTGCGTTTGCGACTGGGAGTCGACAAAGTCGGTCCATGGGTGCGGCGTCTGGGCTTCTGAAGTGATCGACTGCTCCCGCTTCCCTGGTGGAGGTCGTTTCTGTGGTCTCTTCCCAGGCTGTGCTTTCTTGGACGGTGCCACTGCCCCCTTCTTGGTCTTGCCGTCCTTGGGCTTGTCTTTGTCCGGATTTGGCCACTCGACGTCTTGCTCAAAGTCGATCCTAGAGAGAGGGACCCATTCGTCAAGTCGCTTGTTGAAGTTGTCAAAATTGCAGTAACACTGGCGGCCGCTCTTTGTATCCTTGATGCCTAGGATTTCTGCGCGTCGAGGGAGGCCATTCTTCTCCACCATGGCAATGCACCCGACCCTATATGATAGTACTGGTTAGTGGGGTTGAACATTTGCGCAAGAGAAAGGCGACGGATTCATGTTTGCCTACACGAGTGTATCGGGTGTCGCCTTGCCCTTTTTTCGCGATCCATCGCTGCCAACGACAGGCTCACCATTAGGAGCGCCAGGACTCATGATAATTTTCGGCAGCGTGGACTGGTCGTGGATGGATTTATGTTTGATGGGTCGATTGATTGAATGAATGACGGGCTTTGCGACCGCAGCATTTGTAGCGCCTCTTCAGAGCCACTACAGCAGGTCTTGTAGAAGGCTGATCTGGTCACTAACAGATTTCAGCCAATCGGGGCCAGACATCTGATAAGCGTTTCTCTACCGGCCGACGCTCGAGTCACTCAAAGACAACGGCGCGTCCCTCGGCAGGCAACCTTGTAACCTCTAGCATGCTTTTTCAATGAGACCCCAATTCTCTATCTGACAGTCCTCAACCTCACCCTGAGAACCAGGGGCATAAACGCCCTCATAGCACCATTTTTGAGCATTCAAAATGGCTGTATGATCGAACCAACATCTTCCATACTACCCAGTGGATTGGTCTCACAAATTTGGAAGATGGCGCCTGAACTATCGTCAAATTGGAAACAGCTGCAGGCCAAGATCAAGCAAGAGTCGACCACATCTCAAGGCCAGAAGAGGAAGGCCGACGACGGCGCTGAGGCCCAAGCCTCACAACAACCCTCGAAGAAGCCCAAGGGCAGCTCATCGGGGCCCAAGCCGAGACTGAAGCCTCTGGGTCCCAAATCTAGCGCCTCGAAAGCATCTAGAAGGCCAAACATGGGTGCCTCGCAGTCCCAGCCTGGCACATCAGCATCCCTCGCACTCTGGGCAGAAGACAACGACATTTCGCCAGAGGCCGTTTCAGAAGCGTACGGTTTGGGTGCTAAGGACAACTCACTGCTTACCGCCTCTGCTGTGCGCCCGAATGAGGGCCTGGCCCCTGACTTCGAGGTTGGCAAGTACATTGCCATCGACTGCGAGATGGTTGGCATTGGAGAAGGAGGCTACGGACACGCCCTCGCGAGAGTCAGCATCGTCGACTTCCACGGGCGTCAGGTGTACGACTCCTATGTTCGACCCCAGGAACGAGTAGTGGACTGGAGGACAAGGATCAGCGGCATAGCTCCAAAGCACATGACTACGGCAAGGGAATTCGCATATGTGCAGGCTCAAGTGGCGCAGCTTCTACATGGCAGGATCCTCGTGGGCCACGACCTAAAGCATGATCTGGACGTCTTGATGCTTGATCATCCGCGAAAAGACATCCGCGACACGGCCAAATTTTCTGGATTCAAGAAGTACGGCCACGGTCCTAAGCCAGCCCTGCGAGTTCTGGCCAGGGAGATTTTGGGGGTTGAGATTCAGACAGGCCAACACTCCAGTATCGAAGATGCCCGGGTCGCCATGCTACTCTTCAGGAGATACAAGCCGGGTTTCGACGTGGAGCATGCCAGCCGGTACCCCGACTTTGTCCCAAAGACAATCGAATCTAAACCCAAGGCAAAGCCCAAGAAGACGAAAAAGAAGCGGCGGAATTGATCGACCTCGCGCAGTAATTATGTTCATTAAAACTTCGACTTCGTCTAGTCTAATACGCGGTATGCGCAACCGACACGGCGTAATGCTACAGCTGAAGGGATGAATCGAAGAAAAATGCGTGAACACGCGTCTCGGATCTCGCCAAATCCATGCACTCGCGACGCAATGGGGTGCCTCATTTGGGAATGCCCTCCATGAGCTCCATGGCGCCGTCTCGTCCAACAGAAATGATGACATCCCCCAAGGTCTTGGCGAGAAAGCCGGCTTCGCAATACCTGAAGTAATACTGTCCTCTTGGTCAGCGGGGATCAGTGGGGTTGCTTCCAATGTGAGACTCACCTCCCACTTCCTCCTGAAAACCGAAACACCTTCATCTGTCATAGCTCCGTGCTTCTCAAGAAGGGCAGGCTTGATCTTGGATTCGAAGTTGTTCATAAAGCTTTCCCTCCACAGCCTCAAAGTCTTGGCATAATGTCCTCCAATATTATCCACTTTCTCAACAACAAGTGTTCCTTCGGATTCTTTGCTGATGTGGTCGATTAGTTGCGTAATCGAGGGGAGATAGCCACCGGGAAAGATATAGTGATTTATGAAGCTGGACAACGGTTAGCACCATGACCTGCACCTTACGATCGGTCGCGACTCACTCCTCGCTCTTCGAGTATGCCTCATGTCGTCCCTCGGGCATGGTGATGCATTGAAAGACTGCGATCCCGCCATCTTTCTTTAAAAGCCGGTGGATGCAAGCAAAGTAGGTCCCTAGAAACTCCTGCCCAACTGCCTCCAGCATCTCGATCGAGACGACCTTGTCATAAGGTCGCTGGGGTACGGGCAAGGCTCGATAATCCATCAGCAGCACCTCTATTCGGTCCGACAAGCCAGCTTTTGCAATTCTATCCTCCGCAAGTGCCTTTTGTTCTTGCGAGAGCGTCAGGCTGGTGACCCGGCATTTCGTTTGCTGCACGGCTAGAATCGCAAAAGAGCCCCAGCCAGTCCCGATTTCCAACACATGGTCTGTCGACTTGATGTGCGCCTCATCAATGAAGACCTGCAATTTTCTGATCTGCGCCTCTTCCAGTGTCTCTTCGGAGGGGCCGAATTTGTCCCAAATTGGACAGGAGTACGTCATATCTGGTGACAAGAAGGCCGCGAACATCTCATTGCTAATGTCATAGTGGGCTGAAATGTTGAGCAAGGAATTCGACATGGTGTTTGTTCTTCGGGCCAGCGCTGAAGCGTAGCTCGAGAAGGTTGATAGTAGGGTCGTTCCGTTACCTAATTGCTCTCGATTCGCCAGGAAGAGCTACACCGCGCAGAACTATTAGCATGGCGTGGTTGCTGTATCCGCGGACAGAGGTGACAGTATTACCTGGAAGAAGGCCGTCAAGTCGGTGCAGTCCACCTCTCCCAACATGTACGCTTCCGAGAAACCCATGTCGGCGAACAGAATGAGCCGCATCCAGAAGGCGTTCTTCTTGACAACCAGTTCCACCCTAGGAACACTGACCGCGCCGTTCACCACCACCCTCCCCGGCAGCTTGGAAGAGCCCAGCTTCTCGCCAAAGACATGATTGGTGCCGTCGACCTCGTCCACGAGCACCAGGGTTCCCACCTGGATATTACTGAATAAAGAGTGAACTGCCCATTTCGCAGCAGACACACTTGGACCCCAGGTGAAGCCTCCTATTGTGCCGCGGGCTGACTGGACCCATTGGCTGGGCGGTCGCGTGATGAAGCTGGGGAGCAACGGCATGGTCGGCGGGGAGACAGGCCAGATCAACAGTCTAGGAGTTCGCGCGATGAAAGTGCGAGCTCGGTTTAGCAGGTGGGACAATTCAAGTGTTGGCGACCCAGCACATTATCACAAGCAGCAGTGGGGGACGGACAGAGCAGGAGAGGTAGGAGGGGCGCGGTCGCAGGTGGGATGCAAGGCTTGCGACAAAGTCGCATGGCGGCATAGAAGAGGAAGGAGTGCCCATATTACTCTGTCGCAAAGCAGGGGGAGGTACCATCGGCCTCGTTGACCTCATCGCTCCGCTGTGACTGTGCGCGTCCGTAGCAAGCTCTTTGCGACAAGGATATGGGCAGTTCCGACGCACCGTGGTACTTCGGCTGTTTCTGCATTCGGCAAGGTGCTGGAAGGTCACGACCAGATTCCGGCGGGCTTGCAGACTTGAAAGCTCGGGAAGGCCAGGGCCGGTAGTCGATTTGCGATGCCAAGCCATGTCGTTGGAGCTGTCCATGCCGCAGTGCTTTGGTGTTTCTTCCGGGCCGCACCCAGCTACACACGATGCGCAAGACTCATGTGTTTTTTGTCCTCTCTAGATGCCTGACTGGAGGGCTCATGATTGCGAGAGAATGTTGCAAGCAGAGCAGCGACATGTGGGTAGCGAGCAAGCGCCGTGCATGCGCAGTCTAGGGTACCGGAAGTCTACGCATCACTGCCCCGTCCCTCGTACCTGGATTCCAGTCAACCGAGACATGCCGCAAATCCCAACCGCAGGGACCCCTGCGACCGCAGGAACTGTGCACGCTGTTTTGCAAGGGGGTGCGAACCGGAACAAAGATGGTGTGGTGGGGCTGGGCCAGAGCTACAGCAGCTATCAGCTTGTCAATATTCTCTCGCATGGGACTGTCTCATCGAGCTCGTCGAGTGGCCTGAGGGGGCAAGGGGGCAGGGGGGCACGGGGCTGGGCTGGGCTGGCAGGCTGGCAGGCTGGCTCGCCCGGGTACCTCCCACGCCTCCGTGCAAACGATCGACATTCCTAGAGTCCTGAGCGCGAACGGCAAATAGCAAGCTGTGGCTGCTTGCCCCAACCCGGTAGTGTTGGGGATGGCCCATGGACCGCAAACTGTCCCCCACATGTACTGTACGTACTGCTTGTATTAAGAGGGGCAAAGGTAGTCTACTTGGTAGCCAGCTCATTAGGCTGCTGATATTGACAGGACTGACTGTACTGATCTTTATTAAGGATGCCAAGCTACAACGTCTCTAGAAACAGATGGTAGCAGCATGGGCACACAAACAGTTTGATTGCCGAGTGCGGAGCTGTCAAGCATTGGAGATCTCGCGAGGATCAGAGCCAAATCCTGCCCCTCTGAGTAGGGTGTGGTCGTGTGGTTGCAACGGCGCCGGTCCTGGCAGCATTTGGGGGTCCAGGACATGCTTCGAGAATCTGGGTAGCCACGACATCCGGGCCCCCTTTGCGCACACCGCTCCACAGACTACAGCCCGGCACAGTCTGTCACGGAAAGAGAGTCCACGATACACAAATCTCACCGTCGGATGTCCAGATAAAACGAAGGAGCGGCGGGGCCCACCTCGCAGTGGCTCATGCCGAGCAACAAACATCCATGACGTCAAGACTTTGCGCCGCGGGATGCGATGATGTTCGAATAATCGTCTTCGGCCTCGTTGTTGAGCCGTCTCGGACAGAACAACTGGCACAAATGTCCGACTGTGCGGCTTCGAGCCATCCGTTGTATTTGAAGCAGTTTGGGAGTGTATGTGGTGAGACTGGTAGCCCCGCGCGCTACACAATGCCTAGAGACAGACGGCGAAAGACCCAGGGATGCGACGGGATGCATTGCATCTTCATGGCAGGGGGTGGCACTCCTGGTCTCACAGAACCCTGACCCTGGCTTGTCGAGATAAGGGTTCCCTTATCGCGCATCAATTTACGCGTCTCGAAGCAAACACGCTCCATGTGGAACCGCGCCAGATTCGACTCTCCAACGCTAGGACTGGATTGAAAGTACATAGAAAGTACAGTTTTCCATCTTCATCGAAGCCACAATCCGATATGGAACAGCCAATGCTCTCAGTCAGCCAGCCTAAGGGTCCTTCTCGTGACAAGGCAACGCCCAACGTCCTGCCCTGCAGGATCCAGCACGACGGTCCCACCAGCGAAGCAGAATCGTACTGGAAACCATCGCAAGAGCCAGGTATTTGAGTCTCAGTCATTGCGACAGGGAAACATCTGCTGATATTGTCACAGACGGCAAGAGGGTGGCCTATTTCAGAGGCCGGAAGCTGCATGGCAAGGAGCTGAAAGTCCCGGAGGGTTACCGAGGCGTCGTGGTCGACAAGACAGAGCCCCCGGAGCCTCGAGCACCCAGACCAGACGAGCCCGAGGTCGTCGACCTAGATGCCGAGGATGAGATGCCACTGGGTGCGCTGGACACGAGGGCAGAGTTTGACGAGATGGTGATATGGGGCCATGAGTCTATGGCGGACACATCATCTGATCCGTATGTTAGAGGAATTGAAGAGTGGATGAAGGTGGCCGAGAAGGTGCGTTTAATATGTGGATGGAAGGTGGATGGAAGGTTTACAGCTATACTGACGACTTCAGATACATTCTTACGAGGAAAAGGGGCAGTGAACTGGTACTATTTTTTTTGGGGGGGGGGGGGGGGGTGGAGGGTCAGGCAAGATTCATTCTCCGTCTATCTTGCTTGTGCGTGGAATACCCAGGAGTCTGAGACTTCAACATTATCTTTGGAGGAACGAGCCAACTATGAAGAAATCGCTTTCAGACCTACTTCAGGCACACAGTCCCATTAATGCTAAAGAAGAAGAAGTCAGGGGTCAGTGCAGGATATTGGTTGGCCAAGGCATATGGGAAATGAAAACAGACTTCCAATTACGGCCTAGCCTTCATGCAGCCACTTTATCGCCGCGTCTGACACGCGACGCGCCTTCTACGCGTTCCACAATTAATCGGGCAAGGCAATTGATTGCACTGCGGGCGCCAAACTCTTGCATATCCAGACTTTTGACATCTCAGCCTCCTGCCGCCCACCCCAATGCTTTTCCTTCGTGTTTCCCTACTCTCATAGGCAATCGGTATCAAAGATGGCAACAGCAGCAGCAGTGTCCAGCGATGCTGGCTTTCCCATGTCCGGTGGCCCTTCCAGAACCCCAAAACGGCGCGGAAACCCGTCGAGTTCTTCATTGGGAGGCCGACCCCGCGGTCCTCCTTCTGAGAGCAATGGCGCGCCTAGTGATGACGAGGGCAATGAAGGCTTCGAGGATGACCAGATCCCCAACCGTCGCCCAGCAGACACACAAAACATCCCCAAGGTCGAGGACAAACTCGGAGTGCTGGTCCAGAAGCACTTCGAAGACTTCATTGAGGGGTATGAGACCCTTTGATTTCCCTTGTCGCTGTTACGATCCGCGCTGACAGGACGATATCCAGGTTCATAGAAGATCCTACCTCTTCAGGGCCTCCCACATCCAGCGCCATCACCACAGACAAATATTACGTCGCCCAGATTCACGGCATGCGCGCATACGCACTGTCAACCTTTTACGTCGACTTCAAACATCTTCAGACATGGACAGACGGCACACTTGCGGACGGTATTGTAGATCAGTACTATCGGTTCTTGCCCTACCTCACCGCCGCGCTGCACAACATGATCGCAAAGCACGAGCCGGCGTACTTCCGCGAGCATCGCCAGCCCACCGCGTCCAGTACCATGACCACCTCCGGAGCCAGCAATGTTGGCTCTGGCAGCCAGTCAGGCCCAGGCAGCAAGACCACGAACCAGCAAACCGACAAGGTCTTCTCCATCGCCTTCTACAACCTGCCCCTGGTATCCAGAGTCCGCAGCCTCCGTGCCGGAAACATCGGCCAGCTTCTCTCCATCTCAGGGACCGTCACGAGAACCTCTGAGGTGCGACCTGAGCTTTCAGTTGCCACATTTGTGTGCGAGGCGTGCCGTGTTGTTATCCCCAACGTCGAGCAGACTTTCCGCTACACCGAACCTACACAATGCCCCAACGCGACTTGCAACAACCGCCACGCGTGGCAGCTCGACATCCGCCAGAGCACATTCGTCGATTGGCAGAAGGTCCGGATACAGGAGAACAGTTCTGAGATCCCTACGGGCAGCATGCCTCGGACTATGGATGTCATCCTGCGGGGCGAGATCGTCGACCGGGCCAAGGCTGGTGAGAAGTGCATTTTCACGGGCGCTTTAATCGTTGTGCCAGATGTGAGCCAACTGGGTCTTCCAGGCAACCATGCCCAGGCCTCTCGTGACGACCGCAACAACCCTCGCGGTGGTGATGCTGGTGGCAGTGGCGTCAGTGGCTTGAAGGCACTTGGTGTCCGTGATCTGACATATCGTCTGGCTTTCCTCGCCTGCATGGTGGCTCCCGACACGACGAACCTGGGTGGTGGTGTAACTGACATCATTGCATCTCTGAATTCTTCGAATAACGAGAATGCGCAACAGGCCCAAGAAGCGGTCCTCGCTTCATTTGGACCATCAGAGATCGAGGACCTTCGGAAAATGGTGCACAGTGACCACATCTACTCGAGATTGGTCAACTCCCTTGCACCAATGGTCTACGGCCACGAGGTGGTGAAGAAAGGTCTCCTGCTGCAGCTCATGTCTGGTGTTCACAAGTCCACTGCCGAGGGGATGCAGCTGAGAGGCGACATCAACATTTGCATTGTCGGCGATCCATCTACATCCAAGTCACAGTTCCTGAAATACGTCTGCTCATTCGCACCTCGCGCCGTCTACACGAGCGGAAAGGCGTCTTCGGCCGCCGGTCTGACGGCCGCCGTTGTCAAGGATGAGGAGACTGGCGAGTTCACCATTGAGGCCGGTGCACTTATGCTTGCTGACAATGGTGTCTGTGCTATCGACGAGTTCGACAAGATGGACATTGCCGACCAGGTCGCTATCCACGAGGCCATGGAACAGCAAACCATCTCTATTGCCAAAGCTGGTATTCAAGCCACCCTGAACGCGCGGACGTCGATTCTGGCTGCTGCCAACCCTGTCGGCGGTCGGTACAACCGCAAGACCACTCTGCGCGCCAACATCAACATGTCCGCGCCCATCATGTCCCGTTTCGATCTGTTCTTCGTCATCCTCGACGAGTGCAACGAGAAGGTCGACCGCCACTTGGCTGAGCACATAGTTGGCATCCACCAGCTGCGCGATGCCGCCGTCGAGCCCGAGTTCAGCACTGAACAGCTGCAGCGATACATCCGGTTTGCGCGTACCTTCCGGCCCGAGTTCACCGAAGAGTCCAAAGAAGTTCTCGTTGAGCGGTACCGCGAGCTACGCGCCGACGATGCGCAGGGAGGCATGGGAAAGAACAGCTACCGGATCACAGTGCGTCAGTTGGAGAGTATGATCCGGCTGTCCGAGGCCATCGCCAAAGCGAACTGTGTGGAGGAAATCACTCCAGACATGGTGAACGAGGCGTACAATCTCCTCAGGCAGAGCATCATCTCCGTCGAGCACGACGACGTCGAGGTCGATGAGGATGACGAGCCCGTCGAGGACGCCGAGACACTCCTCCGCGCTGCCTCTGAGGCTGCCGGCGTCCCCGCAGACCAGGACGGTGATGCCGAGATGGGCGAGGAGCACGCGGACGAGGAGATGGCCGACGCTGGCGAGGGCTCCGCCCAGCCGGAGAGGCGCAAGCAGACGATCTCGTACGAGAAGTACATCAGCATGGTCAACATGATCGTCCAGCGCATCGCCGACGACGAGGCCGGCAGCGGCGAGGGCATCGAGGGCGAGGCCCTGATCCAGTGGTACCTGGAGCAGAAGGAGGACGAGCTCCAGGGCGAGGAGGACTACAACAAGGAGCACGCGTTGGCGAAGATGGTGCTGAAGAAGATGGTCAAGGTAAGCGGTCCCTTCCCGAAATCCCTTGTAATGAATCCATATCATCTAACACTCGTTTTTCCTTCAGGACAACATCCTAATGGGCATCCGTGGTCAAGGCATGACTCCCGCCGCCGAGGATGCTGCCGGAGGGTCTGCGGCGCCGCAGGCGGCCCAGGCCCAGGATATCGTCTACGTGCTTCACCCCAACTGTGCGCTTGAGGAGATCAGCTAGTGATGTCCATTCGGCTGCGGGGCGTTGGCTACCTTTGTTGGTATTATCCCGGAGTGGAGTTTCGGAGTAGGGGATCATGAACGAGACATCAATCACGAGACGCGTCATAACGGAGGGAGGGCAAGCCATGATAATGTGTGTATACTGCTTGAGAATGCGTTTATTCAGTTAGAGGCAAAACTAGTACTTGCATTGATGCTCACACGACTTTCTGGATGACTTGTTAATGTCTGCCTTGCTATTTTTCTGACACCGTCTTCCCCGATACACTGGCAATTGCTTGTCCCGTCCAGTTGCGCATCATTTCATCCGAGTCTGCCGTCTGTTTCTCTTGATGCTAACTGTCGCTGCTGACTATCAATCAATATGTAACCCTCATTGTGGCGACCGTGAGAGTGGGGCCGGAAACAATTTGTTGTATTATACGGAGAGCGGTGCCATCCGGCAAGAAGTGAAATGAATGACACCGCCTTCTTTCAATTCGGAAGCATGGCAATAATACAGCGGCAACACCACCAACAAACAAATCAAAGGTCAACAGAGCATTTTTGAATCATTTGTATTGTGTTCCTGCCTAGGATTGAACCGGTCCTCAAGGAACAATATCGACCATTTTGCTCAGTGCTGTAGAGGTTGTCTCACGGCCATGTACTTGTGTGTGTGTGTATGACATGGCCACTTTCTTTCCCCCGTGTTGCATGGAGCAGTTCGGTCTCAACATCTTGATCGAGACCGCAGAATCAGCAACGCGCTGAGGGAGTTATGTCCGCATTGGGGACCCCGTTTCACACGAAACCCAATTTTTCTTTTTGCCTCACACTTATGTCTTCCTGTCCACTGCTCCACGAGACATGTCTGATTTGTTGGGCTTCTCTCAATAACAGAGAGATGGTCTCACTCTCCGCTGCTTGTGCCCATGTTGGCACAGAAGACAATCGGCTGTGGTCCATTGTGAAAGGCCGGACCCGAGTGTTCCATCAAACCACCCCCTTGCCGGTGTGACCTTTCCCTCTCCATTTCCAATTGGTTTTTTTTTTCTTGGACGGTTAGTGACAGGATCCGACCAGCCCCTCTCCCTACGCCTTCACCATGCGATAGGTGAGTTTTGTGAACTCATCCATCCGCAGTGTCGTCGATTCGTCGCGTCCGTGGCCAGCAACGTTAAAGACCGCTCGCAGTTGCATGCATAGAAAATGCCAAGAACGATGCCGTGGCCTGAAAGACATTATAGAAATTGTACAAGAACTGCTCTGGATCAGAACAATTTTGAATCCTAGCCCAGAAGCGAACAGGAAAATCCGCCAGGAGTGTTTCGTTCCATTACAGATCCACTCTGGATGAAACGAATAGGTGTGATCGCTTGAGGTATCCGTCCTCAGACGATCATTCTCGACGCATAGCGTTATGCTGTTTACTGGGTTTGAATGGGTGTTGCTGCAGCACGGTTCCACTCGGATCTGCCACGGTATGAACCACGGCCACCTCGGTTAAAGTTCGATCCTGAAGGGGCGCCCTGCTCTGACGAGTCCCGATTTCGGTTGCCGCCACGATACGAAGAGGAATATCGCGAAGCGCGTTGAGGCCGCCGGCCTTGAGGGTTGTTCACAGATGAAGCGGCCATGGCAACCATTTTGCGCCCTGGCATGCTAGGCAAGAGAATGACATAGCTTCTTCCCTCCGGATGGAAAATCAGTGCCTCAGCACTGGTGGTGAGTGCTTCCTTGAGCCTCCGATCTTGCCGGGGTGGCGCCTTGGCGGGCTCCCAAGCCGCCTCTGGGACCTGCGTCGGAAGATGGACAGGCGGAAGTGACCCCATCTCCTGCTCCTCGAAGCAATCTTCATCCATTATCTTGGTGGCAAACGAGCCATCATCGATGGTTGAGCTTGGGGCGAAGATGGTTGGCAATGAGACAGTGGCTGCCGCACGGTGGTTAGGTTGCGCCAGACTGGTTCTGCTCGACGAGTCCACGCTCGACGGGTTCGATGAGTTGTCTGCCAAAAGATTTTTGATCCGGTCTTGCCAAAAGTTTGGTGCAGTGTGATTGGAAGCTGCTCCTGAAGAGCTGAAGGGCCGTGAGGAATGAGGCTGGGAAGTGGATGCAGACCGCGTAGAGCTGGACTGACCGGGGCGCTGGGACGTCGCGAGACCGGAGGGCGCTGCAGGCGGCAACTTCACTATAGGCCTAGTCGGAGGCAGCGACACATGGGGGTGTGCCATGTCGCCGTCAAAAGCAGGATGACCGGCCATGTCAGGAGGCGGAGGAGAAGGAGAGTGAGATCTGCCAGTCTCCGGGGCGAGCGGGGCTGCCTGGTCCACATCCCGGTTGGGTGGGAAGAACCTTGATCGCTGGGAACCAGGAGCCGTAGCACTGTTTTGGCTAACAGGTGGAGGCACGAAGCGTGCCGCAGAGTCTTGTTGGCTCAAGTCGCCAGCCCCAGCGGTGTTCTGTGCATTTTTGCCGCGTAAAACCCATTGCATCGAGTCACGCACTCGCTGTCCCTGGTCATCTTCTTTGGTAGAGGTCCACGCCTCGTTGATGGGGGCAGCCAGGTCAGAGTAGTCCAATCCTCGAGCTTTCATGTCCTGCTCCAGGTCGCGCTGCTGTTTCTGGCGTTGCAGTCGAGTGTCTTCGTCCGACGCCAGCACAGCAGACGTCCATCTATTCCTTCTCTGAGCATTATCATCATGACCTTGTGCCCGTGGGGGGCCGATCGGATCCGGCTGTGAGGGCAGCCCAGGTTTGGAGCTTGGCGGAGCTATTGGGCCAGGTCCGGGTCGACCACTGCGCATCTGGGCCAACTGCGACGGCTGGGTCGGTACCGAGGTGAAAGTTCCATTTCCAAGAGAGCGGTCGCTGGTCGGAGGACCCCAGACATTTTTGGATGCCTGACTGCCTGCATTCCATGTGAGTCGATCGGGCTGGTTCTGAGTCTGTACCCGAGGATTCCAAGGGTGCGCATGCTTGTTCTCTGGCGCAGGGGGCTGCTCAGCAGCGGCTGCAGCCTTCGTTTGAGTTTGACCGTCCTGATCAACACCGTTGGGAAGTGAGTCCTGGCTGCTCTTGGCCAGTTGGTTAGGTAGTGTTGTAGTTGGCTTGGTTTCCTTCGACTCCAGCGGCGATGGAGCTTGGTGTGGGGCCTCGCTCAATTGGTCCGTTGCTGCTAGCTCTTTAGGAGCCTCCTTCTTCTCGCTCTTTCGCTCTGGAGCCGGGCCCAATGCCTCCAACTTCTTGCGCAGGCGCTCTTGCTTCGCAGCCTCCTCCCTAGCCTCTTCTTCCTGCCGCCTTCTGATCGCTTCCTCTCGGCGTTCCTTCATCAGTTTCTTCTGAAACTCAACATCGTCAACCACAGGGGCCGCTGGGGGCACTGTCTGCATCTCGCCGCTGCCTGGGACTTGCGGTGCTGTATGCGAGAATGCCGGCGAGACTCGGTTCTGCCATGGCGAAGCACTGGGCTGTCGCGGTCCTCCATGATGACCAGAGGGCGAAAAGTTGCGTGGAGACGCAGGGTGGTCACTGGTCCCGGTGAAAGAGCCTCGCCGAGGGTCTAGCAATTCTGCAGGTGGTAGACCCTGCTCGTAAGGCCTGCCCAACCTCTGGAAGCTGCCGCTTCCGCCACTGACGTTGGAAGAGCCACGCCTTCTACCATAGCCGCCGCTGGTGTGGGATGTTTGGAACGCAGCCGAGGGTTCTGCTGGACCCTGTGACTCCCCATGCGAGGATCGCTGAAGAAGGGCCGGTTGTCGCGGCTGGTACTCTGGCCTTGCTGGCATACCCCGGCGATCGGCGACAGGCTCGTAACGACCTGAGTGAGAATTGTAGAGCTCCCGGTGATCCCGTCGCGGTGATCGACTGAAGTCATCGGCAGCAATTTCTCTTGCGGCAGGCGGCGTCACGCCCTTCAAACCGTAGGCTGATCCGGGTGGTGGGAAGCCTCGCTGCGGTTGATCACCAGACACTTCCATGGGCGAAGCCTTCTGAACGGGTGGAAGCGCAGCCCATGGACTCTTCACCGGAGTTGGGGGCGCCGGGGGTTTTGCAACAAGTGTAGGCTTCTCTGGTGCGCCCTTGAGAATCAATCCCTTGCCCGACGGTAAACTAGGCTTCACTGAGGGGGAACCTGTTGGCGGAGCTGGCGACCGTGGTTTGTCTAGAGGTTTGTTTTCCCTGGCCGCGGGCGCAAGGACAGGTACAGGCGCTGGCGCTGGCGCTGGCGCAGACACGGGTGGAGTTGGCTCAGGCGCGTTCGTGGGATCGTCTGCATGAGGAATTGTCGTCTTGGTGCCATCGGTCCAAGTGATCGTCTCTGGTGCATCCCATTCGTCATCGCTTTCATCAATATCGGCCCAAGCGGCCTGGCCCTTTGCCACGTCAGGTTGTAGTCTGTTAGCTACGTGTATCCCAAGCTTCAACAGCTCCTCGTCCGTCATCTTCTTAAGGTCGGGAGTCGGAGGGGCTACAGGATCGTGAATGTCAGTTGTTTGCAAGTCTGGGGCAAAAGCGCAGGTCTTGTAGGAGGTGAGGCGGTCAAGCTTACGTCGATTCTTGTTCCATACAGCATTTCCATCTGGTGCGGGTCGGCCATTTTGGGCAAGCGATGACTTTGAGGCATCACGCAGAGTTCCTGTGGTCTTGGCAACCAATCTCGGCTTGGGCGTGGATGATGTGCTTGGAGGGCCTGCGGTCGACGACGCAGTCGAAGTAGTCTTCTCTGGTGCTTTGACCGCGGCACTACTCGAGGCGAGCTTGGCCTGAAAACTCTTGTTGATAGGGACCGACTTGAACGACGTGGGCTTTTTGACCGAGGAGGATCTGACATGGCCCTTGTCGTCATGCCTTGACTTGGAGGCTTCGGTGTCGGATCCCCCACTGACGCTGACCTCGGCCGAATTGACCACCTCATCGACGATGTCGTTGACCAACTTGTCCACGGCGACGTTAGCGGGGGACTCGCCGTTCAACTCGTTCTCGGGCGCGGGGCGGGCGTCTCGCGAGACGGCGTCAACGTCGTGAGTGGCATCTTCTGGCTGTGGCTTGGTTGGAGTCAGCATGTTTGCAGGGGACAATGGGGTTTCGGGCATTGCGACGCGGCGGGGGCGCCTGCGAAAAGGAAGGAGGAGGTCCTTACAGGTTGAGCAGCAGCAGTCGCAGTAGCTTCGACGGACTGGTCTGGCGTGGGTTCTGCCGCCATCATCCGACAAATGGGTAGGTTGTCAATTCCTTAAAGGAACAGAAGCGCCAGCTGCGTCGTCGAGTCACTTGGGAGGGTGATACGATGGTTGTCGCAAAGGCTGGGCTCGAGTGGTCGGGGGAGCAGACGCGGTCGGGTGGAGGCTGAAGACTGGAGTCGAGTGACGAGTGACGAGGGTGCGCACGCAGGCTGAGCAGACTAGTCAGTCAGTCGGTCGGTCGGTAGGTAGTCGAGTTCGGGGTGACGCAGAAGAGCACACCCACAAGACGGGCGCGGCCTCAAACGCCAGCAGGGTCAAAAAAATGCGACCGGAAAGGCTCTTCTCTCGATGAGAGCGCCAACAAATGCACTAAAGAGGTGCGGTGTCTTCTTTTCCCCGGGAGAAAAGGAAAGGTCGTCGGCAAGACGAGGGTGTTGTTGGCTTTTGCGGCTGCCACTTCTGCTGCACTGACGGGTCTCATCAGGAGGAAGGAAGCTAAGCTGATCCAAGGGCGCTAGGCTGGATTTGGCCTCGCATCCCAGCTTCTGCTTGTACCACAACCCATCTGCCTCGTGTGCTGTGGGGCCAACGGCTATTGGCCGTGGGGTTGGCGGGTTGGCGAGCATCCCAGGGCATCTCATCCTCAATGCCACGCATATTCACTCAGCCCTATTGTTATTTTTGAAATCCCACTCTATTGGGCAGAGAATGCAGCAGGCTTAAGTTTCACGATCTCAATGCCTCAGCAGTATTGATACCCTGTAGCTAGAATTGTGCCTATCACAAGCTTGCTACAGACCTTGGTGGTCTAGCCCAAAGACAACCTCCCAGCACTTCTCGCAGATTGCAAGTCCAATTGTGCAAATGACAGTCACTAAATTCCATCGAGTAAAGGCGTGTCACTAGCTGTCATAGTCACATGGAATTTCAAATCTCAGAGGAATCACTGAAGCACGCCCCAACGGACTGCACGTGCTTGGACGAAGCCACCCTTGGTAATGACAGCGCCGTTCATAGCTCATAGGCCTCAGCTGCTCATCCAGTCGCTATAGTCATTGACGGTGTCATGAGACAATTTTCGATAGCAGGGAACTCTGCAAGCAAACGATTCTGCCGCCACACACTTGGTTGACAGAGGCGATACAGGGGACGCGCACGGCACTCTGGAGACCTTCTGTACATGGCCGATCGACAACCTGGATCTGGAGAGATTGGATCACCCAAGGAAATTTATTGTATGATGATTCATCCTCACTTCGTCTAATTCCGATATCTACACAACAAATTCCGGGCGGAGCCCCTGATCCTCAGCACAGCGTTCGGTCACTTTAGTGAGCGTTGTTCTTGTGGTGACCTAGAATCCCATGTCAATACCATTGATATCACCATCCAACCCCTCCTAGATGGAACTTACGCAGGTGGAAGTAGTAGTTCTGGGCGTATCCAACGGCAACGAGGAAGACCAGGGCGTGGATGATAGCTGTTTGACCAGGCGTTGTCAGAATCACAATGTCTAATCCATCCACCCAGAGACATATCCCCATAGTACTTACGCTTGGCCGATGAGTTCTTGCCGAAGTGCTTGGCCTGGTAACGACCGAGGATACCAGTGGCCTTGACCTCGGGGGCGGGTCCCTGGGGCAGCTTCTCGTAGAAGTTGACGACGCGCTTCATCGCGATGGCGTTGGGGTTGGCACCGATCGCCTGTGTAGATAGTCCGCATCAGCTCCGAAGTCCCGGTCTCGGTATATCAAATGCGGGTACGACATGTCGTCTCCAGTCGCCGACCCGAGACCATGCATCCGTGTAGAAAATGAGCCGTCGCAAGCTGTCGGGCATCCTGAATCTGCGTCGAGGCATCCGCCGACCCTCCTGGCTTCCAGCTCTTTGCCTCCCAACTCCTGCAGGTATCACGAGAATGGTAGGGTGATCGAGTGTTCCGGACGTACCTTGGGCGAAGCAACCTATGTACCGCAGAGTTAGCATGCTCCTCCGCAACAGGACATCGCGGCGACTCGGTTTACCTTGGGAGGGATGAGCGTCGAGAGCGCTCGGCGTGTAACGAAGCTCATGGTGACTGCGATTTTCGGATCGACCTTTAGATAAAGAGGGGAGAGACTGTCGGCGGGTCAATTGCGCGCTGACCTGGTCGCTTCAATTGACGTTGTTCTTGCGAGATGCGGGTTGACGTTCAGCGTTGGACGGTTGAAGCCGGAGAGAGGGTTGCAGACCAAGGCTGCGTTGATTTTCGCCCAATCACAGCCCGCCAATCCGGCTTAGCTCATCCAACGTCACGACCTCGCTCCCGGGCGAAGCTCGACGACTCCCGCAGCAGCACACCAGTTCGGTATCACGCCCCTACGTTGACAGGATCGACTTGGCAACGTGGAATCAACCCAATCCGCACACCATGGCTTCGCTACGCACACCACAGGCAGCTCGTCTGCTGCGGGCCATCTCCCAGACCCCACAGCTCACCGCCCGACGCTTCGAGAGCACCCAGCAGTCCGCCTCCATCGTCAAGGCCAGAGCGCCCGTCTCCGAGCCCGCCCCTCCGGCGCCGTCGCAGGGAGGCAGTAACAACCAGCCCGACTATACCGCTCGCATCGACAATGCCACATCGTACGTGTACCCTCCCCAGGCTGTGCCCCTCTGCCCAGCCGGGGTCCCATCGTGAAAAAGCGACGGCCCAGCTAACCCTCCGCGCACAAAAATTACAGCACCTTCACCCCCGCCCCCAAGCGTGTCCTCGACGGCTCCGAGGAGAGCGAGATCCTCCCCGCGGCCATCACGTCCGGCGCCCCGATGGAGCTGCAGGCCCGCACCGTGCGCATCTACAAGCAGGTCAAGCCCGCCACGCAGTCGGGCGACTGGCAGAGCAAGAAGTGGCGGATGGACTGGGACGTGCTTCCCAAGGGCCACAGGTGGGAGAACCCGCTGATGGGCTGGCAGTCCTCGGGCGACTACATGCAAGGCACCCATCTCAACTTCAAGAGCAAGGAGGACGCCGTGCACTTCGCCGAGAAGCAGGGCTACGAGTACTTTGTCCAGGAGCCCAACGAGAGGAAGTTCACGCCAAAGGCCTACGCCAACAATTTCCTGTACTCGCCGGGCAAGCTGAAGCATATCAGGACGAAGTAAAGTGGGAGAATGTGGTGGGAGTCTGGACCGGGCGAGAGAACTGTACATATTCGGTAGACGATCGGGCCCGAGCAATGGGTTTCCCAATGAGCAAGCAGTGAAACATTGCATTCATTGTCTAACAAGATACGACTAGGATTCTTTGCGCTGCCCATCTGCTCCAGGTATAAAACGCGCTTGTGGCTGCAAATTTGCTTCATGTGAAACCAGCAGTCCGCCTTGATTCTGCGTATGCGCGTTGAGACTGCAGGCACAGGACCAATGAGACAGACGAAATGTTGCTTGCCAATGACCAAATCAATTTGCAGCTAGGCAATATTCCGAAATCGAGTAAATCCAGACGATAAGCCCGCTGCCCTAGTTCAGGCTTTCATAGTCATACAATGTTCCCGCTGGTCAGACCCCATTCCGCCAGACTTAGTTGTCCACAACGCCGAGGGCTTTGCCCTACTCGCTTCCCAACCTACAAGGACCCTGAAAATCAAAGAAAAAAGTAACGCCGGATCTTTGTCCCTGCTAGTCCACGTCAAATAAACGGCGAGTGTTCACCCAACCGTAAAATTCATACGTCGGCTATACGGGCGGCCCTAGTTCGTAACCATGGGTTCGGATCCATTCTCATGGGAGCTGTCCTCGCCGTTCAACCCGAGCTCTATCCGGTCGGGTAGGTTCTTCCTAGAGCTCCGCGCCGACTCCTCGGCCCAGGCACGAATTTTCACAAGGTGCCGAATGGCAGCCTCGCGCCGTTGCGTCTGACGATGCAGGATGGCCTTGTTGACCATATCGGAGACCTCCCTCCGCAAATTAGGATGCATGATGGCCGCCTGTTCGGGCTTCAAGCTGTCTCGGGGATACAGCAGGATGGCCATAGTGTTTTCAAGCGGCTTCAGGAAAGCAGGTTGTCGCGAAGCCCTAGGACCAAGCTGATCGCGCGCAAACTGAATAGCAGTCATCACATTCTTGTCACCATCGCTACTGTTGCGAATCAGCTCTACAAGCTGGAGCCTGAGCAGCGCAAAATGCAGGTGGGCATCTTGGTCCAGGATCTGAGACCGGTCAGTGTCGGTCGTGCAAGAGGTGACGGTTAAACAAAGATGCGGGATGGGGAAAGTGCTCATAAAAAAAGTGGTTGTTTATCATCAACGACCCGAAGGCCATATGCGTGGTGCATGTATAAACTCGTGTTCTAATCATAGTGCTGGGCTCGAACGACAAGACAAGTGGAGACAGTTGACATACCTCTGGGTCAAGGTCATTGAGAGACTCGATGGCGTCCTGGATGTGTCCTTGGTGGATCAAACTCCTGATTTCCTGACGGGCTCTGATAGCAGGGTCCTCTTGCATGGGCTGCAGATTTGCCTCCTTAGAAAAGTTGGCAGCTGCTTGAGGGTACCCCTCCATGGTGAGGTAGTCTAATATCAAGGCATTGATATCACTATCCGTCTCGGTCAGCGGCATGCTCACTGAGGTGCGAGAAGGAGTTTGAAGAGAAGTGGGTTGGGTGGATGGTCAGAAATAATTTTTGATATATCTTCTTCCGCATTCTTGTCTAGGAGAGATTCCCATTGATATGTGTATAACATCATTTGACCCAGGGTGAAGTGCTTGTGCCATGGAGGGGAAAGGCACTGTTGGGGGCAAACAAAGACAGACTAACCTTTTTGGCATGGACATGTCCACGACGCGTTGCTCGAAGGCATGCCGAAACGGCGTGGCAGTAGACGCTGTGGACGTCTGCAGGGCAATCAGGTCAACAATGCCATTCTGCTCAACCCATGACTGCGCAAACGGTCAAGTCCGTACCATGTTGCCAAATCTGTTTCGAAACTCGGCAGCAACCCTCTCCCAGAAGGCCAGGTCATCTGAACCGGGAGGTTGGAACTGGATGGTTGGAGGCCCACTAGAAGACATTCATAGCTTGGAATGAGGCGACACCACAGAGGCTCATATGAGGTGATGAGATCCGATGTGTCGGCACTGCTTGCAGCCTGCTGCTGCGTGTGTTTGTGGGTGTGTGGATGTGGACGAAGGGTGGTGGGCACGGGTGCTGGTGATGGTACGGGATGGAATGCGAGTGTGAGAGGAGGGAAGGACGAAGAAAGATGACGGAAGCTCCAGAGGTTGGAGGTTTTGGCGGCAGAGCCTTGTAGTGCAGAAAACGCCGGGACGGCCCACTCATGGCAACGATTTCTGCCTGGTCTTTCCGCCCTGGACACAAAGCTGCCACCACCTGGGTACCGCACCCCAACACCGTGTACCTTGGTACCTGGGCACCTGGGTTGCTTAGGTGCGGCTCCAGACACCTGGGCACTGCGGGTGCGTCGCACTTGCGCCACTGAGGAACCTGCACACCCCTGTTCGAAGCACGGCTCTCGACCTCTTCGAGTTACCGTCCCTGTACTCGGGCACGCGCGCTGTTGATAGTGCAACCTTGGAATTGATAAGTAGCAAATCGTGTCACCCACGGAAGCCATTCCTGCCCTGAACATCCAAGCACATTGCCAGTGCCTCACTCTCGTCATTCTATATACATACTCTCGCTCTCGCCCTTTCCAATTCAATATCTCATCATACAGACATAGCTAGAGCCAAATTGCCAACTGACATGTTCTAAGTGAAGAAGGTATCCTTGCAGTTGATACCCAAAAAAAATGTGGGCGCGCACCTTTGGTGATAGACTCGGGGGGCCATGCTAACTTTTCGCAGCTCGCCCGAGGGCACATTTGTCCTTTTTGCCGTGCGGCGGCAACTGGGGGGGACTTCACTCAGGAAGCTTCAAGCTCACCATGGACTCCGCGACCGCAGCGAATGTCATCGCCAAGAGGGCTCACTACTCCCCTCCATGGGCTGATGTCTCCCTCGTCGGGATAGCTGGTAGCTCCGGCTCGGGGAAGTCGACATTGTCAAGGGCCATCGTCAACAAGCTGAATCTGCCATGGGTTGTGATTCTGTCCATGGTGCGTGGAACAAGGCTGGCAAAGGTGGAAACGCCGTCGCTAACGTGCGAGCGATGTAGGACTCTTTCTACAAGAGTCTGGACGCGGAAGCATCCAGGAAGGCCTTCCTGAACGAGTATGACTTCGACTCTCCAGATGTCAGTGTTCTGCGGTGCTGTGCAAGAGTCTCTGGCAGTGGGCTTACTTGGGTCTCCAGGCCATTGATTTCGACAAATTAGTGGAGTGTCTTCGAGACCTCAAAGCTGGGTGGGTCTCATCATGCGGCCCAGATCTCCTTAGAAACGGCCACTGGGACTTATGGATATGACAGAAAACGCGCCGAGATCCCCATTTACTCGTTCGAGAAACACGCTCGAGTAGACAAGACCACTGCCATTTACTCGCCCCATGTGTTGGTGGTGGAGGGGATATTTGCCTTGCACGATCCGAGAGTCCTGGAGCTACTCGATATGAAGGTCAAGAGACCACATAGCCTGGTCGAGATCGATCTGTGCTGACGAAAGCCCAGATTTATTGCGAGGCGGACGCGGATACCTGTCTGTCACGAAGAATATTACGTGATGTCGAGTGCAGAGGCAGGACCGTGGAAGGTGTGATCAAGCAGTGGTTTATGTGGGTGAAACCAAATTTCGAGAATGTAGGTGCTCTCTTCGGACTTCGACTTCCTGCGGCGCCGTGGCTAACTTGTCCGTTAGTACGTCGACCCGCAGCGGAAGAATGCGGATGTGATTGTGCCAACACGGGTTGAAAATACGGTCGCCATCGGTACGTAGTGCCAGAACTGACCGGGAAAGACTCAAATTGACAATATCCTGCAGATATGGTTGTCCAGTCCATCCAGCAGAAGCTCGTTGAGAAGTCCAGGCATCATCGAGCCGCACTTGTCCAGCTCGAACTTCAAGCCCAGTCGGAACCCCTGAGCAAGAAGGTTGTGATACTGAAAGCGACGGCGCAGCTTAAAGGCATGAACACTATCATCAGAGATATTGACACATCCCCTGAGGACTTCATATTCTACTTTGACCGACTAGCCACCCTCATAATTGAGCAGTAAGTCCCACGATGCGGCACAGTTGGATGTTTTCTGACGACAAAAACAGAGCAATGAACAACGTGCGGTTCGCATCCACAACCGTGGAAACGCCGCAGGGATACCACTACCGGGGTCTCGCGCCACAAGGTGAAGTATCAGCAGTCGTGCTGCTCCGAGGCGGCGCAGCACTGGAAACAGGCCTGAAGCGCGTGATTCCGGACTGCAAATCCGGACGTATCCTCATTCAATCGAGCATTCGCACGGGCGAGCCAGAGCTGCACTACAGCCAGCTTCCCAAGGACATCGAGACCCATGAGAGCGTGCTCTTGCTCGACGCGCAAATGTCCTCTGGCGGGTCCGCATTGATGGCAGTCCAAGTCCTCGTTGACCATGGAGTGGCTCAGGACAGAATCGTTCTTGCTACATATTCGGCAGGTCGCATGGGGCTCCACCGACTGACTTCTGTTTTCCCCGGCATTACCGTCGTCGTTTGTAACATGATCCCCGACATCGAGGATAGATGGGTTGAGAAGAGATACTTCAGATGCTAGGCGAGGTGGCTGGTGATGTGAGCTCGAGGCTACTTGGTCAGGGAGGAAGCATACTGCATAGCGAGGCTGGGATACAGAACTAGCATAGTCTCATTTCAAAAGGAGTCAAGACCTTATTGACGTCGAACCCGCCATCAAGAGCCTCACCAGCGGTTCCTGAACTCCTGATGAGGGCAGTGTGCTGTGCAAGGTGATCAGGTACACAGGTGGACTTGACTTGTGCTACTTCGAGAGCCTTTATTCCATGCTACCCTTCTAGGTGGCTTGCATCTCGGGGAGGGTGGCGTGGCCAAGGCAACAAACGGCTGGGTCTCTGACTCTAAAGTACTAACACACAACTCGTGCGGCCGAGATCAAGACCGATCGGCGCGAGCGAGCGATGCTCGGCGAGTGCTCTCCGGAGGGGCCGGGCGCAGCTGTTCTTGCCCGCCTCCCGAAATCGGGAATTCGCTCAAATTTGGAATTTTCTCGGATGGGCCACGATGCTTGTCTCGGGGCCTATCATTTTCATCAGGAAATAACAGGCTCCTCAAGCTGTGCGAATATCGGGAGCGCCACGTACTCGCAGGCGTAGACAGAAGCAGGCCGCGGGTGTCGAATTAAGCACCGCGCTCCGATGACGCCAAGATGAAATGCGCTGTGGGTAGGGAACGATGACGCAGATCGTACAGGGGTGGACAGCACTGTACCTAGCTTAGCTCTCCTGTATCCAAGACAGGTAGCTTCTCAATTGGCCATGCGTTGTACATGTATGGACTAGGAAGGCCCAAGGCCGACAACGATCTTTGTCTTCTGCCATCTCCCACGCATTGCCTGCACCAAAGACTTTTCTTCTCCGTGTCTCGTCGGCATGCTCATGCCTTGAGTGTTTCTTGACCTTCTTTCGAGCGGAGACACGCAGACAGGCACAAGCCCCCATTCGCTATCGACCGTCACTCGGTGCTATCTATGCCTTCACAAGCATCACTTGGCACGCTGGCTGCCCGCGCCGGGCGCCAACGTGGCCTCGCGAGCTTTCGGAATGCCCCCTCAGCAATATCGTGGGCACAGCCCAGAGCGATACAAGCCCGTCACCTCAGCAGAAAGTCAAGAGCCGAGCCCCCTCGACCCTCGCCGCTGCCAGCCCGGCCACAAGACTTCCTTCGACGCCAGCCCTTGGCCGCCTACACGTCCAAGACCAATTCACGACTGCTGTCCGGGAGGCCCCTTCCACAAAGAGAGTCATGGGCGCTCAACTTCGCATACCGGAGCATGGCTTGGGTGGGCAGTGGCATAGTCTTTGTCGGCCTCGTCTTCGGTGCCTTTTTTGTCTACGATGCCTCCACCTACAACGAGCACGCCGTCGCCGCCGAGTGTGATGTCTCGCAACTTGCATTGAGCCCTCGGAGGGGCGGCCCAAAGAACCTGCCTATCGCAGACGTCCTCATTGACGATGAAGACACCGAGGAACACAAGAAGAGGAAGGACAAGCCAAAGCTGGTGATCCTCGGCGGCGGCTGGGGCGGAGTTGCGCTGCTGAAGGAGCTCAACCCGGAGGATTATCACGTAACCGTCATCTCGCCCGCCAATTACTTCCTTTTTACGCCAATGCTGCCGTCCGCGACGGTTGGGACCCTTGAGCTGAAGTCTCTCGTCGAGCCGATAAGGAGGATCCTGTCAAGGGTTAAGGGCCACTTCATCCGTGCCAAGGCCGAAGATGTCGACTTCTCAGGCAGATTAGTCGAAGTCTCTCAGGTCGATGCGCAAGGAAAGGACGTCAGGTTCTACGTCCCATATGATAAGTTGGTTATTGCCGTGGGGTCACAGACCAACCCCCACGGCGTCAGGGGCCTGGAGAACTGCCACTTCCTCAAGGATATACGAGACGCTCGAGTGATCCGGAATCAAGTCATACAGAATCTCGAACTAGCCTGCCTACCGACCACCTCAGATGAGGAGCGGAGACGCTTGCTCTCCTTCGTGGTCAGCGGTGGCGGGCCGACGGGCGTCGAGTTCGCAGCTGAGCTGTATGACCTCCTCAATGAGGATCTGACAAAGCATTTCCCAATGCTACTGCGCAACGAAATATCGGTACACCTGATTCAGAGCCGAGGGCACATCCTCAACACCTACGATGAGGCCGTGTCCCGGTACGCCGAGGACCGCTTCAAACGAGACGGGATTAATGTCCTCACCAACTCCAGAGTGTCCGAGGTAAAGAAGGAGACCATTGTGTTTACACAAAAGGGCAAGGATGGCAAGACGGTCACTAAGGAGCTCCCGATGGGCTTCTGCCTGTGGTCCACGGGCGTCTCCCAGACAGACTTCAGCCAGACGCTAGCTAAGAAGCTCGGCGAGTACCAAACCAACCGGCACGCGCTCGAGACGGACACGCACCTGCGCGTGAATGGCGCGCCCCTGGGCGACGTCTACGCCATCGGGGACTGCTCAACGGTGCAGAACAACGTGGCTGACAACATCGTGACCTTCCTCCGTGGGATGGCTTGGAAGCACGGCAAGGACCCGGAGAGTCTAGACCTGCACTTCACCGAGTGGCGCAACGTGGCCGCCGAGGTGAAGCGCAAGTTCCCCCAGGCCGTCGGCCATCTGAAGCGGCTGGACCGCCTGTTTGCCGAGTTCGACAAGGACCAGAGCGGCACGCTCGACTTTGGCGAGCTGAGGGAGCTGCTCAAGCAGATCGACAGCAAGCTCACCTCCCTGCCCGCGACCGCGCAGCGCGCGAACCAGCAGGGCCAGTACCTCGCCTTGAAGTTCAACAAAATGGCCCATGCTGCGCCGGGCCTCAGGGCCAACGATATCCGCGACGGCGATCTTGACGATGCCGTCTACAAGGCCTTCGAGTACCACCACCTCGGAAGCCTCGCCTACATCGGCAACTCGGCCGTCTTCGACCTCGGCGGCGGGTGGAACCTGACGGGCGGGCTGTGGGCAGTGTACACCTGGCGTGGCGCCTACTTTGCGCAGTCAGTGAGCTTTAGGACGAGGATGCTAATGATGATGGACTGGACGAAGCGTGGTTTTTTCGGCCGAGGTGAGTAATCTCCTACAGCTGCTTTATTGTGATTTACCGAGGAGGTAGCGTTACTGACAATATGAACCGCAGATCTTATGAGCTATTAAAAAGGAGAAAGAATACACGGTCTAGAAGCGAGGAGGGTGTTCACCAGAGGCATAGATAATGGCGTACCGGTGGGTGAGCGAAAACGGAGACGGTCCTGTGCTGTTTCGGTGAAATGTACTTTAACGGAGCGCCCTCGATTTCCAGTGTTGTAGCTTCCATTTGTCAAAAAGCCTAAATAAATAATGACTTCGAACCAAATTCTGTCAAACATTTGCCGGGGTCTCATCCTCCACTGCGCACCCAAGTATTGAAGAACAGCTTGTACAGGTCAACACTAGTCGGTGGTGCAAATCTAAGACGTGCTCAGACATAACCTGTTGTCGGTGGTTTACACGTGTAGCTCCTCGAAACACAGTAATATTGTCATTCTCGCAGTATATACAAGACCGTCGACTATTATCGAAATCCTTACGCCTAGCATGCAAAATGTGGATAAACTTCGGGGGAATCAATATCCATCTCTGGTTTTCTTTTGCCCAAATGCAAGTTTTTTTTTTTTTTTTTTCCCCGCCGGACCTGTTTGTTACCGTTCCTCCAAGCCCATAATTGGAATCAGTGTTCCCTTAGATCTACTCGTCATCCTCTTCCAACTCAGCAACCTGTGAAATGGTCAGTCATCGCCTTGATAGTTGCTCAAGGGAGGTGTAAGTAACTCACATCATCATGGAAGTTCTTGCCGTCCGTCGTCGCCTTGATCACGCCCTTACGGATACAGAAGTCACCAAATCTCTCGCCCTCCTCCCTCTCGAGAGCATACTCCTTCAGTAGCGGCTTCATGATGGCCAGGATCTCGTCCTCCTTGATGCTTGACCGGTACAACTTGTTGAGCCGCTGACCGTGGTAGCCACCGCCCAGGTACATGTTGTACGCGCCGAAGGCCTTGCCGACAAAGGCGACCTCAGCCAACCAGGGCCGTGCGCAACCGTTCGGGCATCCAGTCATCCTCATCACGATAGAGTCCTGGCGCAGGCCGTTCTCCTCGAGCGTGCTCTCCAGCTTGGAGATGAGCACGGGCAGGTACCGTTCTGACTCGGCCATGGCCAGGCCACAGGTCGGGAACGCGACACAGGCGGATGATGACAGGCGCAAACCCGAGAACTTGACGTTGTCAAGCTTGTACTTCTTCATCAGAGCCTTCATGGCATCCAGGTCCTCGTCGGCAACGTTAGACAGGATAAGGTGCTGGTTGCCGGTCAGACGGAACTCGCCCTTGTGCACCTTTGCGACCTCGCGCAAACCTGTCTTCATCTGGAAGTCGGCTGTGTCCTCAATTCGTCCATTCTCAATGAAGAAAGTGAAATGGTTCATGCCCATCTCGTCCTTCTGCCACCCGAACGTATCGACGTTGGACTCGAACTTGAACGGCCTGGCGGGGGCGAACTTCTTGCCCCACAGCTCCTCGACCTTGCCCCTGAACACATCGACACCCATGTCATCGATGGTGTACTTGAGACGGGCGTGCTTGCGGTTCTTGCGATCACCGTGGTCGCGCTGCACCAGCATGACCTTCTCGCAAGCGATGTGCACGTCTGCGCGCGTCACAAAGCCCAGCATACGTCCTGTTTGCGGGTAGGTCTTCTTGTTGTTGTGGGTGGCACCCATGCCACCACCAGCCATCAGATTGAAGCCGAGCAGGTGGCCATCATCGCCCTTGATGGCGACCAGGCCAATGTCGTGTGCGTACACGTCAGTGTCATTGTGTGGTGGGACGGCGATGGTGATCTTGAACTTTCGAGGCAGGTATGTGGGTCCGTACAGAGGCTCGAAGTCCTGCACTGCATCACCCGCAATCTGCGTCTTCTTATCATCATCATTGGTCAGCCAGATCTCGTGGTAGGCGGATGTTGATGGCAACAGGTGGTCGCTGATGCGCTTGGAGCAATCGTGGACTTCCTTGTGGTACTTTGACTGCGTAGGAAGCGAGCTGCACATGACGTTTCTGTTCACATCACCGCAAGCGGCGATCGTCGTCATGAGAGCCCGGTTGATAGCCTGCATGGCCGGCTTAAGCTTTCCCTTCACGACACCGTGGAATTGGAAGGTTTGTCGCGTGGTCAACTTCATAGTCTCGTTTCCAAGCTCGGTGGCGATATCATCCATCTGAACCCACTGCTTCGGTGTAGACACGCCACCTGGCAGTCGACAACGGATCATGAAGGAATACGCTGGCTCCAAGCCTTGCGCCTTCCTCTCGTCTCGGATGTCTCGGTCATCTTGCATATAGGTACCGTGGAACTTTGTTAGTTGCTGGTCTGCCGCGGAAATGGCAGCGGTGGTGGGATCGTTCAGGCCCTCCACGATGGTGCCACGAAGATAGTTGGAGGCCAACTTGATGTCTTCGTTCGTGATTGGTGGTGGTTCCTCGGGGAGGCCTTCAACGTTCGCAACGCCCAAAGCCTGCCAGATTTTCGGCTCCCAGTCATTGTATCCAGTCTGGTAACCATCCGGATCCTGATCATCACCAAGACCGACCTCAGCCAAGCGCTTCGCACCAAACTCAGACAACTTCCTGTCCAGATCCTTTCCAGGCTTGTTGTAGTAGATCTTGTCCTCTTTCCTCGGCCAGTAGTGGCTATCACCAAGGGCGAAGACGGAATAGTTGACCGTGGCCAGGTCCAGCTCGGTGCTGTCCTTGATTGCCCCCCAGAAAGCATGGCCGTTCTGTGGGAACTCTCCTTGACCAGCGGTCGAGGTGATAAAGACGATGTTGTCCTCCGTAGGCAAGTCCTCCACAGGGTAGTCCTCCATCGCCATGACGGTCGTCTTGAGACCGCGTGCCTTGCCTCGGTTTCCAATTCGCTTAGCGACGGACTGGGCGTTGCCACCATCCGAGGCGAAAAGGACCGTCAGAGGCGCACCTTGAAGGCCCTCGAGGAGCTTGTTGTACGCATCCTTGGCATTTCGCTTCTGCTGAGCACGAATTTCGGTACCAAAATCCTCGGAGAGCACAGGCGCAAACTTGGGCTCCTTTGCCATGAGCTGAGTCAGGTGGTTGTCACGGTCCAGGAATTCTTTCAGCTCCTTCTTGATTCGCTCAGAATCCAGAGAGAAGTTTGGCTGGCCCTTGAGCTCGTTCTTGGGGTTCCAGCGGTACAGAGGCCAGTAGCCAATGTCGACGGCTTGTTTCGTCTCCTGGAGAACTGTGAGGGAGGAGTCGTGCTCATCATTGTATGGCAGATAAGCCAGAACGATCGATGGACCGTCGAACTTGTCGGCCTCGTCCATGGCCTGCAGCACCTGCGTGTAAGAGCTGTAGACTGCTGTCGATGCGACGTATGCGTTGCCGAAGTTCATAGCGTACAGGCCAATGTCCTTCTTTCTCCGTGCGGCGTCGGTGGCTACTCGCTCGGAGTACGGCGTCGAGTCGATGATGAGCATGTTGACATTGTCGCCAGACGCCAGGACGTGGTGTACACCAGAGTTGCCCAGGTCGTAGGACCACGCGTCAGAGCCAACAAGCCACAGAGACTCCTTGCGGAAGAAAACCTTGTTGGTGAGAAGTTTGCGGGACAAGGTCGAGTTGTCGGTTTGGAGAGCGGAAACGGCGTCCTCGGCATACTGGTCGACCTTTGATGGGTCTTCGACGTGCGCAGCCCACTGGGCCAACGAGCGCTTGGGGGTTTCCGTCAGGAACGTGCCCGATACCGCAGTCTCCTTGACGTCTGCGATAAAATTCTGCCTCTTTTCCTTGCGCGCCAACAGAGAGCCGAATCCATACTCGGGGCTGGCAGATATCGTTGCCGAAGCTCCAGCATTGTCAGACTTGAGCGAGTTCGCAAGGAACACCCTGGAGCCAAAGAGCTGGTCCAAGATCTTGGTGTAGGCGGTCTCAAGCTTGGGCGTCTCGAGCTCGTAAGCTGTGGTCTCCTCCGGTCCTCGCGGAGAGCCAACGTCCAGATTCTGGATGGGCTTCTCCGCGATCAAGTTCTGGTAAATCCCGCGCAGCGCCTGTTGGACTGTTTCGTTGTTGATGTAGCCCAAGTGGTAGCCAACGATTGTGTCGACGCCTCCCATGCCGCTTCTGAGAGAGGTCAGAACATCGATAAGAATCGGCCCCCACTTGGTCGTCTTCCTGGAGATCTGCTCCAAGACGGCAACCTTTTTGACAGACTTGGGTAGGACGTCGATCAGCTTTACTCCGAGCCAAGGCCTGTACAACCGCGGCGTAATGATGGCGCAGTTAGCGAAACCCTCAGCTGGGGGTGCTCTGTCGATGGTGTCGCCGAACAAGCCAGCATCAAAGCCAAAAATGAACAGGCAGGTCTCGGCGGCAGGAGAGCCAGAGTACTCGAATACGTGGTACTCGCGGCCCAGCAATTTCTTGATTTGAGCCCAGATGAGGGTGACATAGTTGTAGATGTGCTCAGATGTGACCGCTGGAGGTTGAGCCTCAACGGTGGTTGCTGAAGAGACACTTGGCGGGCTGCTGGTGACGCTCTGTTGGCTCGATTTCTCCGATGTGACTGAAGAGATTTTGCCCTCCAACTCGGGTACGTTCAGCCCGTTGGGAGGTGGTGACCTGGGAGAGCCGGCCTCCTGGCCGAGGTCGATCAGGTCTTCGGCGAGGGCCACCCTTCCATCGTCGGCGTAAATGCCGGCTCCAGGAATGTTCGAGTTCTGGATCCGCCGCACGTAGTCCTGGTTCAGGATCTCACGCAACACGTTCCGCGTCTCAAACTCAATTGGCTTGTCGTTCTGGGAAGCCACGGGGCTGAAGAAATGAATCACACCTTTGCCTGACCGGATGGCGAGGGCGTGGGCGGTCAAGGCCATGTCCTGCGCCTCCTGAAGCGACTCGGACTGGAGGAAGGACCATCCTGTATTCCTTATCGATGTGATGGCGGAGTAGTCTGGGAACTGGTCCGGGTGGAGAGCCACGTGGATGACGACAGGGTAGCTGGCGAGCTTGTATAAGTGGCCGACCGAGGGCAGGAGAATCCTAGAACTTGTGGTGACGGAGACCAAGAGGCCATTCCGGGCAGGCTCGAAGACAGACAGCAAAGGATCAGCATTGTGTCTTACGGAGATAACCTGCGGTCATGTCAGCCGTGCGGTCTTGTTTGATGGTAGGTGAGAATGGCTCCTGGCCGGGGTTTGGGGAATTGGGGGTAAACGTGCCTCCGGGACACTGTCGACGTTCTTTGCGACCAAGCTCTTGTCTCTCCTCCCGTGATACCTCTTGAGGTGGACCGAGAACTCGGATTCGGTAGCAAGAGAAGGCTGCACGCTGACAATTACATCACTGGCCTGGTATGCGATTCGTGAGACTGGGGGCAGAATAAGGTGTTAGCACAGTGGATTCCTGCGTCGCACAAAGCCGAGTACCCGGGCCACAGGCCAATGCATCCTCTCCCATGGGCAGCCATAATTGCAGACAGAAGGGCGCCGACAAGACCAACAGGCACACAGCCGTGATCAACAGGCGCGGCATTCTGGTGCTGGGCGGCGCACTGGGTGGGGCGCATGATGGACTGGGAGGGTTGACAAGGAGCAGAACAGTGAATCAGTCAGGTAGCAAAGTGACATACCGGCCTCTGCAGGCGTCCGACAGCCAGTGGAGATTGGGGTTGTGGCCATTTCCTGCATCTTCCTCTGCTGCAGGGGCGACAGAGTGTTGTTCTTGCCGCGGGAGAGGGAGGTGGAGGTGTCGAGCTTAGGAAGCCTGTTGAAGAGGAAGGACATGGCGAGGAGAGGAGGGCCCGATCAGAGACCGAGCGAGGACGGCGAGGCAGTCTTTATCCAGAGGCTGTCGCCGGAGCGAGGATGCAGACGGTGCGAGAAAATGTGGATAACCGAGAGTTTTCCAGTACGAGAAGAGTGGCCAGTCGTCCAGTCATCACAGCATCACGGCACTGGCAGCACGAAGAAGCCGATGTTGCCCCGCCAGAATCGGGCAGAGGACCATTGGGGGGGCAGGAAAAAGATTCGAGATTCGCCATTCAAGCTTTCGGTCGCCGCTCAGAGGCCGGTGTGGTCGTGGCCGAGCAGCTTCTCATAGTCAGGGTGCGATTGCGTGATCGCTCTAGCGCTTTGATGGACTGGCCGGACTGGCTGGAACGAGCTGTGTTAGTCCAAAGGGTCCCTCTTTCGCCGTCCTTGTCCCTCCTCGCACGCCTGGGCGAGCCGGCCCATGATTCAACACAACCGGCCGACCACTGTCGAAACAACCCATCCGCCCAGGGGGGCAGGGGCCGCACCGGCGTCCCAGCTCCAGAATCTGGGGAGCACACCCTGTCGCAGAGCCCTGCACCCAATCACGCCGCGGGCATTAACACGGTAAAACGGGGCCAGAAGTGCGTCTGCAGGCCCTTGCAGGGTGCACCCCCACCGACTCCCGCATTACCGGCGGCATGGCCAGGGTGTCGGTAGCTTTATCCGTGCCAGAAGCCGCCCTACTTCGACATTGCGACGGTGTTTGAGTGCCCAAGTCCTGTGCAGTAGGGCGGCTGCAAGCGAGCCGCATGGGCTGTCTCTCTCTCTCCGCCAGCCCACCTGCATGGGGGGAGGATCAACCTCATCTTTCCAGCACAACGGCTGCAGGGCTGGCAGGCTGGCATGCTGGCACAGCGTGACAGCTGAGAGGTCAAGACCGGTGCCATCTCATTTCATCCCACCCTCCCACGAGTCTTGAGTCTTGGTCGACCCAGCAGCGAACACTCCCCGCGCTGCGATCGTCCTCTTGTCCTCGCTCGCTGCAACCCCCCGGTCTTGGTCTGGGCGAGCAGAGTCAGACGACCAACTGAGAAGCATTTCATGCACGTCCCCCGCTATGGTATTCCACAGACAACCTCTTGGCCACGAGCCATCGCCAAGAACCGTGAGCAGGCCACAGAAACGTGTGGTCAAACCTTCCCTTGCCTCCTTCTCACACAGGGCTTCTTCTCTATGTCTCCCACACACAAGACCTTCGAGATTTTTTCCAGACCTCCACACCTCCCCATGCCCAGGCTTGTCTTGGGTGTGCCAACCCTCCAGTCTGCCCGCCACGTCTCAGTGAAGGCAACAAGACTCTCGGGCGTCGTCAGAACAATTCATCCATTCAAGCGCTGAGCCTGACTTTGAGGAATAATATCTTCTGTTGTGAGGCTTTGAGGCAAAGTCAATAGGGTTCCCAGATGCCCTCCATCTCCGACAGACCGCGCCATAGCAAGAGACTGTTTCATGCACGCACACGCATCTGCACCGCTGAGGACATTGGCATACTGTGTACATCGTTCTTTCAAACAAGCATTTTAAGATCCGAAAAGCTGTTCTGGCCTGCCTCGACACCAGCCAAACCTTGTCGCACACCCTGTTGCACCCATTGGACGGCGATACTGCGCCACACCTATACATTTATAGACGATGCAGTACCAACGCAATAGCCCAGTCTCTTGAGCCCGACTTGCTGGATCATATCTGGGGCTCGGCGGACTCGGCGCAGTCTAGACCACGCGGTCGGGACAGCATGCATTCCAAGGTTGCCCTTTTATGCACATGCTTGGTGTTCTGCTTGAGAACCAAAGATGCAGCCTACACCCGGTCGCACATCTCGGGATGCTGCACATCGGTTGACACTTGCTTGGTAGATAACGAGGATGTGCTCGCCATCAAAATCGCTGCATCCAACCAAGCTGCCCATCTTGCTCGAGCAAAAACCCTTGTCCCATTAGCCATTACCTGTAGTATCTATGATCCAAGATAAAGCAGAAACGCCGACCGATGCTATCGTACATGCAAAACACTTCGCCAATGAACATGCGCGCAAATGCTCCCAAGCTCCGCTTTGTCTACTCGTCGTCGGTTTCATCAGCGACCAGCGGCACGCGCTGGCCAGGTGCCCACTCCTCGTCCTCCCTGACGCCGACCCAGTAGTCCTGGCCAACGAATAGCATCGCACGTCCCAGCTTGCCCCTCCAGCCCTCGCTGTCGGGCGACCCGGTGGTAAACGGCAGCACTACAGCGCCCTTGTCGCCGGCCAACCCGGCCATGTGTCTCTGCAGGACCTGCCTCGTGAAGCTCATGATGACGAGCATCAGGTACACCCTGAATAGTGTGAACCCCGCGATCAGCACCATGCTAGCTGCCGTGTCCGTGGCCTGCTCAGCCGCGTCGCCCTCCGGGTTGCCGCCCGACTTGAGGTACCACTGCACCGCAAACGTCACCGTGTACGCGGCGTTGGCAGCCGTGTCGACAATGTAAAGCCACGCCAGCGACAGATTCTGCAACGGAGTCTGCCTCCGGATGTGCGGGATCAGGAACGCGAGGGCACCGAGCACGGCGACGGAGTATAGGTACATGGAGAGCTGGACCGCGTCGAGGGAGAAGCCGGTCAGGATTGCGAGCAGCCCGTAGAGGCCCGTGACTTTGTTGATGAGGAGCGTTATCGAAATCATCTCGGTGCCGGTCTGGAGACTCATCAGGCCGAGGAAGGTCTGCGCGAGGTGGTTAGCAGGTCGGGTAGCGCGACAGTTGAGCGTCTGGGCTGGCGTGAGCACGGGGTGGTGATGCTGCGTACCTTGGGCTTAGGCAGCCACAGCCGCAGGCCTCTTGAGGTTGCCATATTACTTCTCGTACGCTCCTCAAAATGCAGAAATCGTGAATTCCAGCCAGAATACTGATCCTGGATGCAAGGTATTGGTGGTCTTGGGTCGGTCGGCTTTTAGGGGTGTTGTCGTCAATGCGAAAGGTGATTGATTAATCAGGGTCCGATGTAAAACAGGAAACAATCCAGATCGAATTAGCCCTTGGGGGCGAATACCTAGGGACGGATGCTTCGGGCTGCAGCGTCACTCCCGGTCCGAGCCACCCACACCGACCACCCCCTGCGATTAGGATTAGGCTTGCTAGGTATGTCGAGATACCACCTAGATACAATCCAACCGACCATCAGCTTACCTATCCGGACTGGAGCCTGTCGCCATGTGCCTCGCTGAATCGACAAGGGCTTTCACGACTCAATGCCAAATCTTATGTGCAGAGAGGCAGCTTCTCAAGTCTGTAGCTGTCTGTTTATAATTCCGTCGCTAAGATGTAGGTCAATCGACCCGCCGACGATTCCATGATCAAGACCTGTTCTTTGATGACTCAGCCCCCGCGAACGGCGCTTCTCATCGTGAGTTGAGGATGAGCCCCGGGACTTGAGTCCCGGAGCATGTAGACGACAATTCCCCATGCACCCACCAGTAGTATGCGAGACATTGACCCGGACTGCAAGCTTGAAAATTTGTGACTGGTCTTGACTTTCCTACAAGACTCGCAAGTTCGTCCTATTAATGCGTCTACGACTCGCCAGCCGTTCTCCCACGTTTGTTGCCGCACTTCCTGTAACACCTGCAGCGGCTCATATAAGCCGGAGACACTACACTCCTTGCCCGGCCTCACGGACTGTTCAGCAGCAAGCAGGACAGCCACACACTCCCCGGGGCACATTCAGAGCCCACAAACGCAGCCACAGTAACAAGCACGCCGCAGCCCCCCGAGCCATGGCGACAACATCCACATCGGCGCTCAGCGCGGCCGAGCAGGCCAGCCTGGTCGAGTCGTCCAAGCGCGCGGCGGCGTACGAGGCCGTCAAGGAGCACATGGACCTCACATACACGCACGTGGGCATCGGCTCCGGCAGTACCGTCATCTACGTCGTCGAGGCAATCGCCGCCCTCGGCCGCGAGACCACCTCCCGCATGGCCTTCTTCCCCACGGGCGAGCAGTCGCGCGAGCTCATCCGCGGCGCCGGCCTGAACCTGCAGTACGTCCAGGACCTGCCCGAGGGCAAGCAGCTCGACGTCTGCTTCGACGGCGCAGACGAGGTCGACGAGGAGCTCAACCTCATCAAGGGCGGCGGCGCGTGCCTGTTCCAGGAGAAGCTGATCGTCACCAAGGCGAAGAAGTTTGTCTGTGTCGCTGGTGAGTGGGGGCGGCTGCTTCTTTTGCCCCGTATTTTATTTACTTGAGGAGAAATTAACACCCCATGTGTGCCTAGACTTCAGGAAAATGTCCGCCAGGCTGGGGACGAGCTGGAAGAAGGGCATCCCGATAGAGGTCGTCTACCAGGCCACAGGGCACGTGCTGGCAGAGCTCAAGAAGCTGGGCGCCATCAACCCCGTGCTGCGCTCCGGCCTGCCGGGCAAGGCGGGCTCGATAGTGACTGACAACGGCAACTCGCTCATCGACGCGCCCTTCCCGCCTCTCGCCCTGGCCAAGGACCTCAAGGGCCAGGACGGTGAGAACGGCGTCTGGACCGTTGACGGCCTGGCCGGCAGGCTCATCAAGATCGTCGGTGTCGTCGAGGTTGGGCTGTTCGCCGGGGCGAATGGCTTCCAGGTCGAGAGCAGCGCCCAGAAGCCCGTGGCGGCCTACTTTGGCATGGCAGATGGCTCGGTGCAGTCTCGGAAATGAACGGGGAATGAGGCCCTTGCATGAGATCACTCCGGGACCGTGTTCCCTCTGAGACATCGTTGGGTGGAGGATTTTACGAGCCGAAAGCCATCCCGGACAAAAATGGCAAAGGCTCAACGGCCGTTTCAAGCGCGACGCGCAGCATCTACGATTGCAAATCAGCAGCAGCCTCGCCGCCCGCAGCCGAGACTTTAGATAAGAGGTCTGAAGATGAATTAGATAGTATACTAAAAGGTCTTATCAGTCGGAAGAAATCGTGGGTCGTCATTCATGACCCATTAATCGTTGTTTATTATACAATCGCTCATGCTGGGAGCCCATGGCCAATGATATGCCGGCCTGGCTGATTGCTGCTTTCTACAAGATACAGCCCCGGATGCCTCGTCCCGGTACTGGTACCGAGGCCGCTCGTCCGTAAAGGTCTAAAACTGCCACGCTCGTTTAGCAGGCGCAGCCCTCCTGGCTGGTTGGCGAGTTGTTCGTTTTCACGTCGATCACTTCCAAAGATGTCAGCACGTCACAGTCCTCCGTCGCAATAGCAGACGGGGCCAAAACTTACTCTGGTTGGTGGCTTGCGCAGCGGCATCGCTGCCCTCCATGCCTGGCAGGGCCTGGGCTATCCTCTTAAACAGCGTCTTCACGTTGTGGCCCAACTTGGCGCTCGTCTCCACAAACATGAGGTTGTTCTTCTTGGCCTCCTCCTCGCCCTGCTGTGTGGTGACTTCGCGCTTGTCGTTAAGATCGGTCTTGTTGCCCACAAGGACAATGATCACGTCGTTCCCTCGCTCGGCCCGGACGTCATCGATCCACTTCCTCGTGTTCTGGAATGATTTCGCGTCTAGTTTCCCTGCGTATCAGCTAATGTTCCCACTCGGGGAATCTTGTGGCGGGTCCCGTGTCGGCTCACTTGAAATATCGTAGACCACCACGGCGACACTCGAGTCTCGGATGTAGGAGGGAATCAGGGACCTGAATCTTTCCTGGCCAGCCGTGTCCCAGAGCTGCAGCCGTACTGTCCTGTCTTCGAGGTACATGGTCTGCGATTTGCGTCAGCATCCCGTTCTGGGCCTCCCGTTTCTGCGGATCGGGCTTGAATCACCTTGGAGAGGAAATCGATGCCGATGGTGGCTTGGTACATGTTGTCGAACGAGTCGTACATGAACCGGGTGATGAGAGATGTCTTGCCCACTGTAAGAAGACGAGGACACGATATTAGCGTACGCTGTGCGTGGCTTCGGAGATCCTGATCTGACTGGACATACCACTCTGTTCGCCCAAGAAGACCAGCCTGCAGAGGTGTAGATGATTAGCCCCAATGCGCCCGAGGACGGTAGACACCAGCCAGAGGTGAGAGTAGTTTACTTGAACTTCTTGAGGGGGTTGTTGTAGGAACCTCCTGCTTGCGCCATCTTGTTGGATTTTCCGTGGAATTGGCTGGTTGTGTAAAGATCGGGCGAGCGATGGCGTCAGTTTGGTGGGACAGGAAAAGGAAAGACGCTCTCTGAGGGGCCGTCTACGCAGATAGTCAGGCAGGTAGGTATGGATTTGTTATGTCTCGCCGCTTGGAAGTTGGCTGAGCCGGTGTAGATCGAGCAGGTTGGATGGAGGGTTGAATTGCCTTTGTTCAAGTGCTTGGGCAGGCGGGCTCTCGGTCGTTGAAATCTTATTCGGAGCTCTTGACAGCTTGCTTGCCTTGGCCAAATGCGGGACGCCAGCAGCGAGAAACAAACGGTGTAGAAACGGGGTCCCCTCTCAACGACCAGTTGTACAGTAGATACGGAGAACCGCGCAGTCTATCTTTCTCCACGACATCTGGATCCCCTTTCACCGCGTTGGCCAGCGTCTCGGCGCCCGCGCTGTGGGGCTGCAGGACAGCCAGTGATTGGTGACGAAATGCCCGCCGTCATGCAGCTCTGCAGGGCTCTCTGCAAGCCTTCGAAGCCTGGGCCCAGTCCGTTAGTGGGCTTGTTTATCGATAACCTTCCCCATCTCTGATTTTTTCCAGTCCATAGAGCATTTGGAGAGATGGGTCCAGGGAATCAGTCCCTCTCCCAGTCTATCAGTCCATCAATCTATTTGTTCGTTTGTCCGGTCGTCCACCAGCAATTGACCCCGTCCAGACCTCACCATCTCTAACCGACGGACAAAATTCTCTCCTGGTCTACCCTTGAAATAATTAAATATCAAGATGGCTGTCCTCAGGGGTCGCACAGGAAACCCTGATGCGCCTCAACAGCACACCCAACCCTCGCGAAAGGGCAAGAAGGCATGGAGGAAGAACGTCGACGTGACCGAGGTGAAGAAGGGCCTCGAGGACCTGAATGACGAGATCATCCAAGGCGGTGTCATCGCCGAGAAGGACTCTGCCGACCTCTTCGTCCTCGACACCGGCGGTGACTCCAACAACACCAAGAGAGTCCCCAAGGTCAAGGGCCTCAAGGCCGACGAGATCATCTCCGCGCGGTCCGTGGTTCCGGCCGTGTCCAGCAAGAAGAGACCCGCCGACAAGACCACCGACGGCATATTACCCGTCAAGCGCCAGCGCACAAACTATGTCACCCACAAGGAGCTCACTCGCATCAAGAAGGTGGCCGACGGGCACCACGAGTCAACAGTCGACGTCGTCGACGCCGCCTATGACCCTTGGGCTGTGGACACATTCCCTGCCGCGGGCTCCATAGCAAAGCAGGAGAAGAACGAGTGGATACCAGAACCGACAAGGGCGAAACCACCCCCAACGCTGGCCAAGAAGCCCATATCCCTCACTGCTAGCGGGAAGAACGTGCCCGCCGTTGCCAAGCCGGCCGGCGGGTTCAGCTACAACCCTGTCGTCACGGACTACGTCAACCGGCTAGAGAAAGAGGGCGAGAAGGCTGTCGAAGCTGAGCGCAAGCGCCTGGGGGAGCTCGAGGCAGACCGCAAGCGACAGGAGGCCGCAGCCCGGTCCGCAGCCGAGGCAGAGGCGGCAGAGGCGCGAGCGGAGCTCTCAGAGTGGGACGAGGACTCGGCGTGGGAGGGCATCGAGAGCGACGCCGAGGGCGTGATTACAAAACGTCCAAAGCGCAAGACGCCGGCCCAGCGTAACAAAGCAAAGAGGAGGAAGCTGGAAGAGGGGCTTAGGAAGCACCAGGCGGCGGCGAAGAGGAAGGAGGAGCAGGCCAAGCATATCAAGGAGCTCGCCGAGGCTGTGGATGAGAAGCAGCGGCAGCTGGCCCTGTCCAAGATCGAGATGAGTGAGGACGAGAGCGAGGGCGACCACGTCGAGCTACGGAGGAGGCAGCTGGGCAAGTTGAAGCTGCCCGAGAAGGACCTCGAGCTGGTGCTCCCGGATGAGCTGCAGGACTCGCTGAGACTGCTCAAGCCCGAGGGTAACCTGCTCAAGGATCGTTACAGGAGCCTGTTGGTCAGAGGGCGCCTAGAGGCGAGGAGAAAGATTCCATACCGAAAGCAGGCCAAGGTCAAGTTCACCGAGAAGTGGGGACACAAGGACTTCGACATTTCCAGGCTCTAGATACTGCAATACTTAGACTTTTAGAACCGTCATACCTCCAACTCCTTTTCTTTGCAAATGTCACCGTCGTCACTTGAGGTAACAACAAGAACAGCTGTGATTGTTCATGAGCAAGACTTGAAGGCTGAGTATTATAAGTAATGCATTGTTTTTATCTAAACCTCGAGAACAACGCACTTCTCTGTCCCTTTCCCCATGCCATCACAGTGGAGAGCAGACACGACTCGTGAAATATACATAGCCTCATGCAAGTGATCCCTATTCCCAACAACAATCCAAGCCTGGTTGATCATCATGTTCCATTCGACCCATGCCAGAGTCACCTCGTTCATCCCTTCATCAACCTTTCCCTTCATCGACCCTCATGAATTCCAAATGCCAAGGAGAGAAACGCCCATGCTACTTGCGGTATCAAATTATGTATGAAACCCATACAGAGAAACTCCTTTCCAGTAAACATTAACAGGCGAAGCATTCTTCGCCCATGTGTGTTGTTGTTTTTGCTTTTGCTTTTCTTCCTTTACCTCCTCACACTGCTCCCAACGCTGCTCAGTGTGTCCGAAATCTTGCTGCCCACACCGCCGAGCCACTTCGGGACTTTGAGGGACATTTTCACGCGACCCTCGACAATGGTATTGACCAGGTTGATGAACGCGAAAGTGCCGGAACCCAGGGCACGGAACGCCGCCAGCGCCGCGACACTCCACAGGAGGAAGGCGAGGTACCAGTTCTCGCCGACCTGCTTCTGGCCGTAGGCCTCGCTGACCGCCATGGCGAGCACAGCGTTGGCGATCATCCAGGAGCTGACCATGTACGTCCGCACCGACTTGTAGTAGTCCTCCTGCATCTGCGACTCGCTCGTCGCGGACTCGGGCACCTCGATGCGGTCGCGCAGGTTCCGCAGCGCCTCGTCGTACCCGGAGTCGATGTCCAGCTGCTCCGACGGCATCTCCAGCTCGACCGTCGAGCCCTTGCCGATGGCCCCGCCCAGGTCCGTCTTCATCACGTTGTCGCCCTTGGTGCCCCACGTCACGTCGTGTGTGTTGCAGAACGCGTATACCTGTAGCGTGCAGATGTATGACGGCAGCAGGACGAAGTACTGTATGAACGAGGTGAACATGTGCCACGGCTCGAGGTAGATGAAGGACATGACGAAGTAGAGGCCGATCGTCGACAGGACCGAAAGGATCATGTTGGTCATGATGGTGCTATGCATATCAAACCCGCTGCCCTTTGTGATCTGATACACGACGATGTAGATGGAGGCGAACAGCGTGTAGACCATGATGATGCTGAAGATGATGACGGAGGCCAGGTACAGCTTCTTGGCGCCCTGCGGCCGGTTGCCAAGCGAGAGGATGAACTGAGCGGCAATGAGGAGGACGCACGCGTAGCGCAGAATGGCGAAGATGTACTTCCCGAGGTTGTGTGGGAATGGGTCAACCTTCTCGTCGCCGATACCGCCTGCGACGAAATAGAATGTCAGGTAGAAGTTGGCGAGCGAGAAGTATGTGAAGATGAGCTGGATGAACTGATAAAACGACTCGATGAGCAGTAGTGCCTTGCGCGGAACCGTGTGATCTGTCGCCAGAAGCTGCTTGAAGTGGATGAGGGAGTACACCGCTGCGAAAAAAGCGCCGTTCAACCATCTTCGGCGCTGGGAGATGAACTCCGGTAAGGTATCTAGGAAAATTCAGTGTGTGCTCCGTCATAAAACAAGTAACGAGAAAAAGTGTCTGATAGACTTACCAGGTACATCGGTTTCACCAGTGCAGTTCTTGACGTATTTCAAGACCCATCTCTCGCCGCGCTTCGCCACCAACTCCCAGCACAGAATACGATCCTCAGCCAAATACATGTTGGCAGTGAAGACATCGGCGTGCTGACCGTGCAGGACTTCTCCCTTGAAATATTGGCTCAGAGGCCCGTGGCCAGTCTCATCGTTCTGCAGCGCATGGTATCGATACGCACTGAGAGCGCCAGGCAACACCGTGATGTAGCCAAAAACACTCTCCAGAGGCTTGTCCAAGATATTGGACATCTTGTATTCGAAGTTCTGCGAGGCCACGAGTGGGTTCAAGAGGTTGGAGCAGTTATGAACCACGGTGCGATCTGCCAGCTGGTAGAGTTCTCCTGAGACCTCGATGGTGCGAAATTCGCCATGACCGGCGTCCTCGACGTCGAAAGTGCGAACATCGCGGTTATCCCGTGTGATCGAGGATAGATTCAGCCGCTTTCGGGGGAGGAGGAGGTGATGCTGGAATTTCTCCACCCCTTTACTCATGAAGAATCTCCAGGAAGGCTCCGAGCACCCAGTGTGAAGCCTCTTCGTTACGTCCGTACATTGAATCCCGCATGAGACGGCCAGAGCGCGAAGGTCGAACACTGTCTTCTTGTGCTCGTAAGTGGTCTGCTCAAAGCCGTAGCATTTTGTCCTGCTGTCCAGCCATCCGTTGGATTCTATGAGGCCTGCGATAACAGCCAGCCGGGTGTCCTCGTCGGCGTGCATGTAGCAGTCAGGGATGCCACCGCTCTTGTCTCCGAACACGCCCAGCTCTTTCAAGCCCGCGCGAACAGGATTCCAGGTCTTGTTCTTGGCGGAAGTGACGCATGAGATCCTCAAGATGAAGCAATCCATCGTACATGTGATGTCTTCACCGCTCTTCATAGTTCGGACGTCACCCGATGCGGCCACCTGCTCCTCGACAACTCGCACAGGCTCAGCTCCATCAGGCCTGTTACTGTTGAGGCGGTCGACATAGGTCTGCATATAAACCTTGTGCTCCTGATCCGTGCTGACGATCTCGGGACTCTTCTTTTTCCCATCACCAAGCCAGAGGCCGAACCAGTAAGGGTCGACGGGAACAGCGGACACTTCTCCCTGGTACGGCACGAACTTTAGAGGGGACCGATATAGCCTCAGCTTCCTCTGTTTCTGTGGCTTTGTGGGCTCGCAACTGGCCAGATACTCGTCCATCGTCATTGTGAATAGTTCCATATCCTTGACGGCACAGGGGTCGACAACACGATAATTATCCCCGGAGAGCAGCTCAAAAGCCAGCGTGGCTTGCGACTGGCTCGCGAACTTGATACTGACCTGACGAAGCCCTTTACAGGCCACATTCTTGCACTTCTGGTTGCCATGGGGCTTGGAGAGCTGATCACGGACGACGGCGAACTTGTCCACGTTGTCTGGGTCGACGACGGCAGATACATAGGAGGAGCCCTGGGATTCTGCGACGCCCGTATCTTGGGACTCCTTAACGGGAGACGAGGATGGAAGCTCAGGAGTCTGGCGGTATGTCTTATCCGAGGGACGCCTGGACGACGCAAGGGTGATGGACGCAAACTTTCTCTTGTGCTTGGGCTCGAGGTCGATGATGGTGTCGTCTTCATCGTTGTCGGGAACCTCCTCGGGCTCAGGCATGATGCCCTCAAGATACTCCTCCATCTTGTCCTGTATAAGCATGCGGATCAAAGACATATCTAGGTCCGTCCTGTCCATGCCCATGTCCTTGAGTTGCTTCAACAGTTTGGTAAGACCAGGGGATATGTCGTCGTCATCCTCCTGACCCTCCGCCTCGGAATCCGGAATGACACTCTTGCAGGTAATGTTTCTGAGGTACTGGCGGACCTCGCCATCAGTTGGACGGCGTCCAAACTTCTCAGACACTTCGGTATACAAGCCATGCATCACCGAATCCCACTTAAGCGTCTGCTCCTCCTGATTAAGCTCTGTCCTGTCACAACGCGTCCACCACATAACACCGATACCTCCAGTATGGACGGAGGGGCTCACCCCATGAGCCACCAGCGTCATGATATGGTTCGGTGTACAAATGAAGGACGTCTTGTTCAAGGAGTTGTACTCCGTGTATGTGACTTTCTTCATGTCTGACGAGGCCTGAATAGCCTCAGCAGCCAGGCATTGCACGGGGTTGTCCTGGTGGTCGAACAGCAAATTGCCCACAACGACGTCTCGGATGGCCTTGGGCCCCTGAGTGGTGCGAACCATCGTGTCTGGGGATAGACAGAACTTTCCTTTCATAGCCTTGATCTCACCACAAGCACCAGCAACGTTGGAGTCGGTATCGAACGCCTTCCAGAGATGGTATAGCGAATTGCCACCGGGCTTTGTTCCGACATCGAGAAGGATGCATACGTTTGGGTTCAATGCTTTTCCAAAAGCGTTGAAGCACCAACGGTGCGAGTTCAGCTTCTTCGCGTTCTTTTCCTTGAGGCAGAAGATCATCTGGCATGGGACAATGCCCTTCTCGGCCCCCTTGAACTTCAGGTCGGAGTCGAGTGAGACCTGGGTCGTGTACTCGTACACGTGTGCTTGCACGGCCTTTTGGTTGACGAAGTTCTTCGCGATTCCGTGCTGGTAAACGCCCATGGCGGCCAAGGCATCCAGTGTTCGGGGGTGGATCTTCTCACGACCATCCGAGACGATGGCCACGACAATCTTCTGCCAGCCATTCTCTCCCCATGTCCTCGACTTGCTGCGACTGCAGAAGTGGCTGATGTTCTTCATGACGGCGTGCATCGTTCTCGTGAACCCGATCTCGTCCTCGTTGTACATGGTTACGCAGATGAAGAGTTCCGTCTCACGAAGGGTTCTCCCGATGTTTTGGCGCAGCTTGTAACCTCTCGATAGGAAGTCGTCGGGGTCGCAGGTTACGGCTGTGTATCGCATATGCGTGAATTCGATCTCGTCCCGACGAGGCAAGAAACTGTACAGAATCGTTGGGATTTTGCATTCCAGCACCAATTCGCCATTGATAAGTTGGACCTCCTTCCGGGTCATTTGCGGGTCACGCACGCCTCGTCGCTGCTGTCGGCCCTGTGGCGCAGGGCCATAGTGATCGACCTTGTCGTCAAAAGGGGTCTCCAGCTCATCGCTCAAAGTGTCCTGACGGGACAAGTAGGACTCGCGTCTCATTTTGTCGCCCATGTCAGAGGACTCAGGGCCGAAGACATCGTCATCATCGTGCTCCAGTGGGATGGAGACGGTGGCGTCGTCGGCGAAAGACGAAGGTCGGGCACTGCCGCCGGAGAAGAGTGGTGCCGGAGGTAGAGGCCGTCTGGGGCTTCCACCATATCTTGAAGACGGGGTCCCTGGCCGTGGACTACCGTTCAGATCCGCCGGCTCATATTGGGCAGGGGCTGGAGGCATCCTCTCATAGTCAGATGTGCGCGACGGGCTCCACGCCCGTGGTGGTGAGTCCTCATCGAATGGTCGGAATGGGATGTACGTCGAGTCTGGTGGCGGCATGCTGGGCGGGTCGAGGATGGAGTCCCGGTGAGAATGCGTAGAAAAGACTGATGGCTGGTATGAGTGGCGGGTGTGGTGGCTACTATATTCATGTCTTGGTGAGCTTCTGGTGCCTGCTGCTGGTGAATTTTGAGGACTAGCTGGGGGCTCGCTGTGGGACTTCCTCAGCGACTTCCTTCGAGGGGAGAGCCCCTCTGGGATGGCCGGCAATGTCGACGCAATCTCGGCCTGCGTGACATGCGCCGGCTTGTTCTTCTTCTGAAGCTTGACAGTGGGGGCTCTTGATGGCAGCTGGCCCAGGTCGTCTTTGCTTGCGACTGGCCCACGCCGCGGTGTTGTTCCCGCGTCGGATACCTCGGGCACGAAGTGGACTGTAGGAGAAATATGCTTCTTGGACGGGCTTTTGCCTTCCTCCTGCTTCTTAAGCGACGAGATGTGCTCTGGGGTCGAAGTCGCAGGCGGCGGCGCCGTGATCTTCGTAGCTGGCAAACACAAAGGAGATGGACGAAGGATATCTGGCAATACGTACGGACGGCCCTCTGACATCGGCTCCTCCATAGATGTTAGCAGTCTCACAGCGGCAGCGGTGCTTCCTTGGCCAAGGGGAGTGTCGTCGTGGTCATCGTCGCCGTAGAGACGTCGACCGTAGTCTGGGGGGTGTGAAGGTGAACCTGAACGGTCCATCCTCGCTCTGATAAGTCAAGAATGTCGGAAAGATGACTTGACTTGACTGGAGCAAGCTGAATGGAGCAAAGAGCGAGTGGCTTGAGGCAAGAGAGGGTGCAGGAATGAGAATTCTCGAGCTTCGATCCCAGCCACCTGAATGGCGAAACGCAATGCAATGCGGTGCGATGAATGAGCACAAGAGGGAGCGACTGTGGTAGCTATGCAGCAGCTTGAGATGTGTGTGTGTGTCCAGGCGAATGCTTGGATCCCAGGCTGGTAATAATGGAGGAGGTTGGCAGTTGAAATTCCCAATTGGCTTCTTGAGAGGAGGAGACAGGAAGGCAGGCAGGCAGTGCCAGGCACGATCATAACATCCGAGTATGCAGGTCTTGTCGGGCCCTTGTTGATGCCGCACCGGATGTGAGTGGTATCCACAGCAACCAGGCGGGCGCTTGGCTCCTGCAGGCGGTTTTGGAGGCTGGGAGTGGAGGTGGGCTGGGAGCTACCGCTTGGTGGCACGTCATACAGCCCACCCTGGCCAGAAAGTGCTCCAATCGACGGCTCCACGCCCAGGGCAATCAGTGGGCTCGCAACAATCGATAACTCTATACGGCGGACCTGCAAGCATGACACAGACATCTGCTGCTTCAAAATAGAAAAATGGATGGCTGGGAGTGTAGGCAGGAGTCCGATCCAGAAAACGCGATCCCACGCGGCGGAGACAAACAATCGCAGCACGATCCGCACGCGTATGAGTGCCCACCTCAGACCTGCATGATACGATACGAGTACGTACGTTTGTGCCTAGTGAGACACAGGCAGAGCAGCACTTGCTGGTGGCGGAGATTGCCATGTAGAGTGTCAGAGAGAGAATAGACTACGGCCAACGCCGTCTTGGTGCAAATGGGCAACCGCAAAGTCTGTGTGGGTTTCCCATCTTTTCATCGCTGCCACTTGGCAATTCTCCGGTACTACAGGGTGCAGGGATCAAAAGAACCAGTTACCGAAGAATACGCAGCAGGCGACTAGCCAGACCTACTTATGTATACACAGCCCTTGGACTGTTTGACTCGGAGGTGACCCTCGGGAAAGTGTGCGTTGGTATTTCATATCTGGATGTTGGGATCTAGGCGAGCCGTAGATTCAGCCAAAACGCTGTGATTGCATACAGCGAGCGATTCACAAAGTCGGTTGCAAGGCGAGACAAGTCCCAGCAGAGATTCGGTCTTTGTTGGGTCCGCCCCAGCGCATCTGGTCGTTGTCCAGAACCATCTGCAACTCAGCCCTGTAATGGGGTGGCCTGGGCTTGACACTCGCTGCCCAGTCCCCATTTTGCACCAATGGAGGTCGTCAGAGTGGGACTTGATGCTTAAATCCTTCCGATATTCCAAATCTCGCTCCACCTCCTGGCATCCGTCCGCAGCGGGCCGTCCAGCCGCCCAAACCTCGCTGGCTGATGAGAATTCGCCTCGGGCAGACACAACCACTCCCGCACGGTGCCGGGCACCTCCTCCTTGATGTGGCTGATGCAGATCAGAGCCTGCTGCTCTGACAGGCCAAGGACCTTCACATTCTCGGCTTTTGCTTGCTCACTGTCGACCACTTCAGTCCCCGTGGCCGAGCTGGAGCCGCCTTGGCCGGTGAGTTGCCCCGTGCTGTGCGCGTACGTCTTTGCCTCGCCGTAAGAGAGGAAGAGCATGCACTTGTCTCTGACACCTTCGTCCATGCCGCTGAAGGCTTCGTCGAGGACAACAATGTCCGGGTTTTTGATCATCGATCGGATGAAGAGTAGTACTCGCTGTGCGCTGAATGATATTTCGCCAAAGATGTAGTCGCTCGCCCACGAGACGTCGGCTGCGTTGTTAGCAGCGGTCTTTTGATATGCTGGGTTCAACTCGGGCTCAAACCACCGCAAGCTTGCGTCGACCTTTGCGCGGGCTGAATCGTCAAGCTTCGCCGTCATCACGAAGGTGTCAGCCCAAGCGTTTTCTATGATTTGTCGGATCGTCAGTCGTTTTGGAATATGTTGATGGACCTCTGGGCTGGAATGCCCCACTCGTCGCTGTATATCCCAAAAGGTCAAGGGCAGTTGTCCGGAGCCGGGCTCTGGCAGGCGGCTGCGACCGAACAGCTTGATCGGCAAGGAGTATGTCTGAGGGTGATCTGAACAAAGCAGAGACACGATGGTCGTCTTCCCAGAACCGTTGGGGCCGAACACTCCCCATCTCTCACCTCGTCGAACGGTCCAGGACAGTCCCTTGACTGATTCGCCATTCTCTTCTACTGCCCAGTTGCCAAGGACGATTTTGTCTCCGTATTTCACCTGGCAGCTTTCCATCTCCACCACCGGCTCTCCTAGTAGTCTGGGGCTTTCCTTTTCGGCTGATTGAGGCACATCCGCACTGGCAAACGTCTCGCCTTCTTCACCCAAGCCGGAGCCAGTGATGCCACTCTCGGTTAAGGTATGACCCATGTCTCTTAGAGCCTTCAGCGGCATCTTTTCATCCTCGGCCAAGGCGCCCTTTCGGACGCCTCGCATATACTTGCGCAACCCTTCTATGACGGTCTCCCGGTCACCCATTACCCCAATTTGGCAGTCGCTTCTTAGGTACACCAGATGTGTGATCCAGTCAGGTAAAGGGTCCTGTGGCCTAGCGCTCAAAACGAGCCTCGGAGAAGCCTTCGCAGCCATCGATTTCAACAAGGGGTTCAGCGATGCTACCGTGGGCGGATCGAGCCCCATCAGTGGCTCATCGAGCAACAGGACTTCAGGCCTGGTGAGCAATGCCCTCGCGATGCGTGCCCTTCTGCCCTGGCCGTTCGACAGGAATGCCACGGGAAGGTCCAACAGCGGCTGGAGCTTCAGATCGGTTGTGATCCTCTCCAAAAGCTCGGGGCTGATGGTAGCCTCCTCATCAGGAGTGGAGAACGGGTTGAGTTCCGTATTTCCTGTCAGGTAGTCCTTGAGTGAGAAGTCCGTGATCTCCCGCCGTGACTCGTACCGCGCGGATAGATATGCCGACGTAGCTGGGCCCAATCCCCCGCCGGATTTCTCTGAGTCGAAGCCGACATATTGGATCGCCTTGTTGGCAGATCTTAGACGATGGGGAACAGCATCAGTGGCCAAGTAGGGGAACGACCGTGCCGTTGCGGGGATGCTCAGATGTTGGCCTCTCAAGACCTGCAAAAATGTAGTCTTCCCTGATAACGACGGGCCCAGGACCGCCCAGTGGTGTTGTGAACTCGGGTCAGAAGGGAGCTCAAAGGACAACTCTGAGAACAGAGGTGGGTTTGGGTGAGCTACGTGAGCATTTGGGTGATGGCGGTAGAATGTGCCATTGGCTATTCGGACAATAGGAGGTCGCACCGGGATAGGCCTCATGATGTAGGTTGATGGCTCCTTGAATGTGAGCGAGCCATATCACGGTGGGTTTAATTCGACATGAGTCTCACTGGCAGCTCTGTGTCATAGGCGTTGATATCGACACGGCGTTTACGGGGATAATTCCACGTCCAACTGCGGTACGTACCCACCAAGATCCGTGTCTTAAGTGTCCTGGCCCGTGCACACCCATTACGCGAAGCTGCTCGGCAGCCTGCCAGTGCTGAGCTTCAGTGGCCGGCAACCATCAGAAGCAGCCCACACCTTCTCAACTTCAACTTCCACGACCTCGCAAACGACATCATCACAGAACCCCTCAGCCTTCTCAACAACCGCCGCATGAACACAGCTGTTCTCCCAAATCAATACCAGCTTCACCCCTCTTCTCCCACTCCGATAACCCACCAGTAACCCGTCAAGATGGTAAGCCCAAGCCAGCAAACCGGCCCGCCGTCCAGGCGACAGCACGGCTTCATGTACACGCCTTACTGACAAACCACCCACCGCCAACAGTCGATGCGCATCGTCCCCGCCGACGACCACTCCTCCACCTTCAGCCACATCCGGCCGAGCGCACACGGCGCCCCCTCGGCACCAGGCCTGCACGACACACTCCGCGCGGGCGTGGGGCCGGACCCCTTCGCCTCGGCCAGCAGGGAGTCAGCCGCGCCGGCGTCGGCGCACCCGCTCGAGTCGCGCCTGAAGCGCTGGGAGTCGACGCAGGAGGCCCTGCGCATGGAGATGCTGCGCAAGACGTACGGCGTCGCCGAGCCCATCCGCCGCGGCATGGAGCTCAAGATCACCCAGCAGGGCGAGTGGCGGCCGATGGCGCTGGGCGGCGGCGGCGGCTCTGCGGGCGTGCACGAGGACATCCTGCGCGGCCGGGACGCCTCCATCAGCTGGGAGGACGTGTACACGGGTGAGGAGCAGAGGGCCGCCGTCGGCGTGCACGAGGAGATGGAGAGGAAGCTGAAGATGTGAGCGGGGTCCCGCAGGTATCCACGGGCGTTGATGGGCGTTGATTTTGATCGACCGATATGGACCACAACGACCTGAATTAGTCGGGGTATGAAGGCAAGCCCGCTTGATAAAAGAGAGGCTCTGTACAGATATCAACGAATAGAGGTCGCCTGGGCCAAGCTAGACATTGCGAATGACAAACTAGTGCTTTCGCTTCGTCCCAGATCAGAGCGAATAGAGTCGGGCAGTCAGATGTTTCTAATGACTGATTTCTATCCAAGCTATGGACATGTTTGCTCCGCTCATCTTTTGTGTGTTCGTGTTGAAGTACAATGATGATGACGATGCCAGGTTGGTGGGAAAATCCGCTGCGATAACAAAAACCAAAACATTACCCGATGTATTGCGCCGACGATTCCATACCATCCGGATCCTCTTGATTAGAAAAGACATGAAGAAATCCGAATGCCGTAGCGAACAGATCTGTTTCAACGGTGTGATGCCCCCAGGATAAGAAAAATGCAGTACGGGAGCGTATAATAACATCGTTTGTGGTGGAAAAGGGCCGACGGTCACATCAAACAAAACCCTCCAGCCACATTTCCCGCTGCGTGTGCTTCCCGCGCAATGCGCCAAGTCACGCATGCTCACGCTTCGCTTGATCAGAGTCGCCTCGGCGTCTGACAGCAACAATGTTCAGTCAGACGGGACGGTCTGGGCCATAATGCCGTGCTCCTTATAATATGACGCAGCAACCTGAGCCTCCTTCGGAATTTCGACCGCCACTGCTGCCGCTCTTGCCCTTCCCAGCTTCGTCTTCTTCCAACATTTCGGCCGGTTTGACGGACATGTGGACCACGTTTGGGATCTCGCGGCTGAACTGGTACTCTGAAATGAAAGAATCACGTTAGTATTGAGATATACGCCAACAAAGGCCTTGAAGCCCACTTTTGGAAGAGAGGCGTACTTTTCAATTGCTCCTTATCATCTAGTAATTTTCCGAAGTGAATCAAACGTATGCTGCTGGGGCTGGCTGGCTTGCCCTCCCATTCGTCGCGCCACTCCCGTAGTATGAGCTCCTTCAGTTTGTAGACACTGACACTGAAGGGGTCCTTCTTGCCGTTCTCGGTGACCTCAGGTACTTCCACGTTCCGCTTTGCCAGGTACTTGTCGTCGATTTTATATGGGTGGCGTGCACCGGTGGGGAGCAGCAATGTGATGTTGCATACGGGGCCATCCGCAGGATTGGAAGGTGATCCGTCCGGGTCGTCTGCGGCCCCTATCGAAAGGGAGTCTGCCCTGTCCTGGCGGTTTGATGGGGGTGGCACCTCTTTCTCCTTGCCCTTCACCGATGTGGATGATGCCGCGCCGTCTGCGGTAGTGGGGTCGTCGTCCTTGGCCGGGATGTCGGGCACTGAAGAATCGATCTTTTTCATCTCGACGGCGCCTTGGGGTTGCTGAAGGGGCTCCTTGGGCTCCGCCGAGGCGCCTTGGCCGCCGGTCATCTGGGGCTGAGACTCGGCCATCGCGGGATTGTTGACGGAGGATGATGCCGAGGCAAAAGGGAGGGAATTGACGGGAAGCGAAGAACCAGCCCGGCGCCGAACTAATTCATGTGTGGTGATTTGAGGCTCGAGGGGATCACGTCGTTGGAACAAAATGGAGGTTGGGGGGCGATTTCCGATGAATGGATGTCGTCGGGGTCGGCTGCACGGGGCACGGGGGGACGGGGGAACAGGGATGGGGGCAGCACTATTAAGCCACCGTAGTTGAAGGGAGGGCGGTTGGATCGATGCGAGCCGGGCAGTAGCGGGAGGTTGAAATGTGTGTGTCGTCGGTGATTGAGCGATCGGTGCCTGAGTATGTCGAGAGGAGGAATTGGCAAGTGTCTGTGGTGTTGTAATTGAGAGACGAAACCACCAGATTGGCCGGTGTTGGAAGCGGTTAGGCGGTTTGATGACAGGATGGATGTCCGGCAATCGCGCGTGGAAAGTGGGACTGGCTGCCACCCGGGTCCCTGACGAGCACAATACTGTGTGCCTAGTAGTCCGTAGGGATGGTACTTGGGCCTGTAATAAATGCACACGGGCAAAGTGCAAAGTGCAGGACGGGCAGAGGAAAGCGCAGGCGCAGCAAACTGTTGTCTCTCTCTGCACACGCCGTACAGCTAAGATCGACCGCAGCAGCTTTCCAAGGCCTTCCAAGGTTGACCGGGTCGACAAGTTCGCGGCAATCGGGTTTGCACTCAGCAACGGCTGTACTGTACGGATGGTGTGCCGGGGGGCTGGTTGAAGGACGTTATGACCGATTAAAACCCACCTGGGCCGCTGGGCAGATCTGGCGAGAGGGGGATGGACCAAGGCTACGCTACGGAGTACCTAGTGGTGACGGTACGCACGACCTGGAACGCTCGCTGCACCCGGGTAACTGTACAGTCAGGGTACTAGACAGACTAGGTCGTCGACGGTTCCTTGGCCCAAAGCTTTGGCTTCAACATGACCCCAGGCAATGCAAATTGGAACAGAGGGAGCAGACGGCAGGAGTTAGACAGGCCAAAGGTCGAGCAGTAGGTCGTATTATCGAGCGAGCCAAACAAGAGGATGTCCACAATGGGCGTCTGACTGGGCAGGTTGTGCTCTGAACTGGGACAGTGACTGTGTCATGAAAACAAACAAACACGAACCTGGGACCCTCAGACGGCGGGTTTGGAAGAGGAGGAGGAGGCAGGAAGTCTTGTTTGCAAATGGGGAAGGCCATTGTGCTGGGGTCGTCCTGCCCGGGTGGGTTAATTAGGTGGGCGCCCGGGTGGATGCCAAGTGGTTCTGCGCGGCTCGTTCCTTCCTCTTTACCCCTGTTTTCCGAGCGTCCAGTAGCAACTGTCACAGTCACGCATCCCCACCGCTTGGACATTGACTACAATGCAGCGGCACCTTCTGCACAAATGTGCTTCCAAGGCGAATCCACGCATACACAATTATCGAGGTAGCCTACAGATACCTACATTGGCCGGGCGGCCAGCAACAGCATACACCAGCAGTCAATCAGATGTCTAGCTATCCACTCGTTTCAGACGCCAATGACGCACGTATTCTTCCTCAGCCATGCCATGCCATGCATCTTGACTGTTGCTGCTTATTATGTGCTTACAGACCCTTGGCCGCACATGTTTCAGGCAGTAGACGTTGGTGAACAAATCGGCATCTTTGCCCGGGAGTCGAGTCGTCTGGGAGCTGTCTGCCAAGTGCTCTGACCGCGTTTGAGGCGAATGCACGTCTGGGGAGAGCCCGCGACTTGGACAAGGTCACCCTTCCTCGACGTAGTATTCACCAGTTGCAACCACCGCCGCCCACTACGCTATCGTCTGCTTGTTTGGTGTTTCGTTTCTGTCGCTCACAGCGCACAGAGACAAGCTCCTTCTGGTCGAGCCATGGACCTTTGCAAGAGACACAGCTGCATGCCGTCTTGTGCTGTGGGCAACTCAATGTGATCGACCATGCTATCACCCCCCGGGGCTCACAACCCCTCTGGCTCACATGCATACAAGCCTCTAGTCCGTATATGCGAACAGGAAAAGGCGTGAGAAGCCTAGAAGGGTGGGCGGACTCTGAACCAGTTCGAATACGTCGAGCTAGGAAGTCGCCCGCGAGCGCGCCGTTTTCTCCAGTCCGTGGATGGCCGGGCCCCCACAAGGGTCGACGGACGGCTAGCGGATTAGGTAGCACGCCAAACCTTCCTTATAGGTGCGAGGGCTTTATGTCCCAATCCTCGGAGCCTGTGACCGTCCTTCGTCACCGCACATTGACACGGCGGTGGCTTGCTCTCGGTTCAATGCTCGACCTGCGGTATTGGCTTGCGTAACCACAGCTGTGTGCCTGGTAATAACACGTTTGGGACTACGCCTCGTGCTGAATTCGTCTTACCAACCGCCAGTAAACGGCGTTGTAAACACCGTGAGTGGAAGACGTGGTGGTCTATTGTAAGGCCAGAATGCATACCTTGTTACCCAGTAGTCAAGACCGGACGTCCAAAAAATCACACACCCTGAGAATCTTGTATGTAAATGAAGTCAAAATGACTTCAGTAGTTGTACCTCGGTCCTTCAGCATCCTGCACTGTCAAGAAGCCAGTCCGAAACAACTCGACGACAAGGTTGTGGCACTGCCCAGGCTTTTCATCCAGTCTTTGCTGTAGGACAATGGGCGGCCAAATGTCGCTTATACTATTCGATGTCCGGTTCTTCTGACATCGCTCTTCACGTCGACTTGCGAGGTTTGCCGGAATTGCTAATTACGCGAGCCTTGGACACTTGACATTGTGACACCCATGTTGTCTGAGACCACCTAAGCCTCCGAGAGTCTGTTATTTCCACGATGATCACTGGCGAAAGCCACAGGTCTGAGACGAGAGCTTGTCGCTCCTCTAGACATTGCCAGGCACTCGCCTACACAGCAGGGTGGCTCCTGTTGATCCCATAAGCGATCGACTGACCCTTGATCAATGACCTCTCGCGCACCATTACATAGCCATCCAACCTCAAGAATTGTCTTTCATAGCTTGCTCAAGTTTCAAGGCCCACATATCACGGTCAGTATCGAAAGCGCGGTCCATTCGCCCAAGTGCGCGACAATGAGCAACTCAGATTCACCCTTACCTGGAAACATAACTTTCCCCGGTTACAATAGCACCGGTGTGTTACAGTGTATGCTTCTACTCAAGAATGCCGACTGACGAAGTCCATGCTGTTCCAGCTGCAAACACTTCGAATATCGATCAAGGCCCAGAAATCGGCCACACAGGTCACTACCTAGGCGGCGTGATTGGCGGCCCCATCGGGGGTGCTGTAGGTCTTGCGCTCATCGTCCTCGTCTGGCTTATATTTGAAAAGCGCAGACATGATCCAACACGAAAATCCACCGCACCGTCACAAAGCTCCCAGAGTTCCATGCTGGAGCAGGACCAGCATGGTCACGATCTTGAGTCCTTCAACCCGCCAATCAATGCTAGCCGAAGTAAAGATGGGGAGAATAGGAAGCAGCGAGAGGAACTTACACCCCATAGGTACTGGGGAGACCTCTGAAAGGAACTCGCAATTACTGGGCCCTACTAGTACAAGATGGGATTTGGTATTGTCTTGTTATGGTATCGGAAGAATGCCTCGTATTCAAGTGCTGATGAGCACGAATCGAGGCCTGGCTGAGCAAATTAATATGACGCGGGTCGACTTCAAAATGCTAGACATATTTTGAACATCTCAACCAGCAATTAGGCATTTTGTAACATTACTGCAGTCTCAATCACCACACTCACTTAGCTAGACTTGTTGCAACCAGCCTCGTGTTATCGGGTTCTACGGAGATGCACATTAGTTTCCGAGAAGCACAAAGACTGGTGTCGCTCTTATTCCAGGCGTGATACCTATAACAATTTTCTCACGTTTCTCAAGTATCATCAGCTTCCGTGTTTGAATCACGCATCAGCTGTCTCAAATCTACTCATGCTATGGGGCGAGGCATTTGCCTCTTCCTAGGCATCTAACACAGCGTTTGAAGAGCCTCGTGTGCGATTTGCAAAAGGAGAAAACAACGCCTAAACTTTGCTATGTTACTAAATACCAGCATTAGACTATACTTCGGGACTCTTTGATATATGACACATTAGATCTTCAAGGTTACCGCCTGCCCCTCTGTACACAATGCAATTGCGGATTTGTTGAGAAGGCGACGTTCGCGCTTCAATCGCCAATTTAACTCATATTTGGCAACGCACCAATCTCAACATATCATCGATACTCCGTCGGTGCGCTCCACCTAGTGTACAATCTCTGATTGAGGACGAGCATGACCTTTGACGACGGAGACCCCTGAGCACTCCTCATGGCCATCACATAATTCGTGCGCTGAGCACGCCGAGCACGGGCTGGGCACGGTAGATTCATCATTTGATATAATTACTGTCTCTCTATATGTACAATCACCCAAGACCCAAGGTGACCGCAGACCAATATTTGCTCACGACGTCCTTGGGTCACCCTCGAGATAGTTCTGTCCTCCCTAGAACATCAACAAATCCCCATTCGACCCTACTCCCTGTGCTGGCTGGAACACCTGCTGCGGCGCATACTGATTTACCACATATCCGGCCTCGTGGCCGCTGCCGCCGCCAAAGGTATTATCACCGTCCACGTCCTGGATACGCATGGCCTGCATCTGCTGGCTGCCGATGCCGGCAAAGTACGCGTCCGCGTCGTTGACTGCCTGCGCGAGGTTACCGTCGCCACCTGGCGCGGCCGCCGCGCGGTCCCTCGGGTCTACGTCCGACGGCTGTCCGCCGTAGCCGAATTGAGAGAGAGACTTGTTGGTGTCGAAGCCGGCCATGGGTCCCGAGCCGACTGGGAGGTTATGTTTTTGAAGGGCTGGCGAGTCTATCAGCCGTCGCGGGCGGGCGTTGCGGAAAACAGTCTGCACAGGCTTCAAATAAACGGTCGCGAGGGTGCCAACGTTGAGGCACATCTCCTCAAGTGTCTGCGGGTCCAGGCGCTCAGACTCGGCAGTGACTGGAGGCTTCTCACCCATGACGACCTGTTTGGCTAGGTTCATGTCGGTGGAGAGGAGACGCCAGTACATGTACGCCCGCTCGCGGAGGTCTGGGTTGTCTGTCTCTTCTGTTGCCCACTTCAGGACCTTGGGGACGAGCTCCTGGCCCTTCGTAGGTCTCTGTATGAAGAGCTTGACCGTTGCGGTGAGAAGCGCCAGCTGCACCTCGACGGGCTCCTCTGCGAAGGAGAATAAGAAATCCTCCAGGAGCACGTCGCTGTTCTCGATGCGACTTGCATACTGCCCGATGACCCAGACCATAGCTGCCTTGGCCTCCGGTTCGTCCAGGCTGTCCAAGTGCTCACACAGTGTCCCGATAATTGACTCGTACTGGTTGGGATATTTCCTGAAGATATTTCGAATGACCACTGTCGCCTCTTGCACAATGTATGTGATTTTGGTGGCGACCAGTTCCAATAGAAGGTTGATGCACCGTCTTGCAGCCGGCTCAATCTTGATTGCGAGCTTACCGATGGCGCGAACCGCCTTACGCACGAAGTGAACATCGATTTCTGTTGCATATTCCCGCAGCTCCGTCAAGACCTCGTCGATGTTCTTCTCGGTTGCGAGCATAAATATCAGCTCAAGCTTGGTGACCTTGACGTAGATTGGGTCGTTATATTTGCAGAAAAACACCCGAATATCGTTCCTCAAAACATCCGGTCGCCTCTGGAGCATGAGTAAAGCGTTTCGCAAGGCCAGGTATTGAACCTCTGGACCTTTCGCGAGGAGCGTCACCAGGGGCGGCGAAAGCTTCCTGCAAAGCGCGGATATTTGTCTCTCGTCGGCGATGTAGTTCATGAGGTAAAGAATGACTCTTATGCATGTCAAGACCACGGCTGAATTGGAGTGCGAGAGCCGTGGTGCGATGCGCTCAGCGAGCAAGAGGGCTTCTCCTGACTCTTGAGGCACGTAGGACATGAGAGCTTCTAAAATGTATGTTTGACCCCATCTGTAAGATGTCAGACAAGGACTCGAAGAGCCAGTCATGGGACGGACGTGGACTTACTCGGAGCAGTCCGGGAGGATGGCAACCATTTTGGAAGCATTGGAGTAGTCGATGGTAAGCTTAATAGCATCGCTTCTCTCCCAAATATCCATCAGGCTTGCCAAAGCGCTTGCGACAACTGTGGGATTGTCGTCCCTCAATAAACCATTGAGCCTGTCGATAAGATCGGAACGCTCCACCATATGCCTGTCGTGGTCGTAGAGCTTTGCGACACAGTACGCCGCGGTCTTGCGTACGTATGGATCCAAGTCTTGCAGGAGTCTCTTCACGAGTGGCACTGTAGCCTCGACGTATTCCCTTACGTGGATGTATGACATGGTGCGCAGCGCCAGAGCTCTGACGAGTGGATTTGCATCTTCCATATCCTGCGACAGGGTCAGTCACTGTGCGTCCATCCTTAAGAGATCACAAAGGGCCCCCAGGCCTGTACGCACATGTTCGAGCACAGGTATTGCCTTGACAGCAATCTCCGTCCGCATCCTGGCATAGTTCACGAGGAACAAGAAGCACCTAGCGTAACACGAATCAGTCTCCGCGTGCCGCTTCCACACACACAGCAGTACCGGCTCTTACATCTTCTTGATCTCGAGGCTCGGTATGTTCATGCAGCTGATTATGTCCGGGAAGAGGGCGACCATGTCGTTGTTGCTCATGGTCATGTTCGCAACGATCTTCTTGAGGGCGACTTTCTTGACCGAATAGTTCTTGTCCTTTTTCCCGCCGCTGTTCAGCTCGAGGCGCAGCTCAGCTACTTTGCCCTGTTGTCTTATGCGTGAGTTGCTGTACAGGTGCGAGGCCGAAGCCGTCGGGGGCAGATATGCCAGATACATCTCGGAGAGTCGGGGATGGCGCGCTGTCTCATGCTCGCGCCGGGAGGACGGGTGGGGTGCGGTGGAAGTATCGAGGGGAGGGGAAGCAGCGTGAGAAGGGCCTCTAGACATCAAAAGAGAAAGGGGCCGCAAGCCCTGCCACAACGAGGAGCTGCCTGTCGCAAGCAGTCTGACAGGCCCAGAGGAGACGGGGGAGGTGAATCAAGGCAGAAGGGCCCAGGGTCTGCGCAAGTGGACACAGGAATAGGTTCATGTGTAGACTGGATTCCGAGACATGCTAATCACAGCCGAGGGAAAAGCAAGGAGCGCGATCCGAGACGAGAGACGGGATGGGCTGTGGTGAAGATGAAGGAGAGACAGCAAAAGGAAGCTTCTGCTTACCCGAGCGAACAGCTTGGAGTCACCTCCTCCTTGGGCGCTCGCCATGGTGTCGACGGGCGGGCGTCTAACTGTAGATGGTACGGGGAGGGAGGTGTGGCTGCAGGTTGTGGTGATGTCGCGTGGTCGGCGGTGGCCCTGGTGCTGGGCGAGATGGACGGTGGGTTCCTACAACGGACCAGGCCCCCGATGTTCGAGATCAGGGCTGCGATTGGCGATGGTGGCACGTTGATAGCGGACGTGCAAGACCCCAAAGAGGCGCAAGCCAAGCCAGTCCGAGGATGGCTGGACAGATAGCGAAACCCCTCACTGGCTGCGTGGCACTCGTCCACCTCCAAGATGCTATCCCGGCCGTGTCTCGACTCTTGGCTGGTTCCTCCGGTGCGCCCAATGCTCTGGGCTGCAGTAGTCCACGCGGGAACACTCGCTCGATCCCTGCGCCGTTGGCCCTCTGTCTCTTTCTGGGGATGCGATACGGTGCAGCGCAGCGCAGCGCAGCGCAGTGCGATGCGATGCTATCCTATCCTATGCTATGCGGCGTGACCGGAATGCGGGCAGGGCGTTGCCTTGCTGGTCAAGGTTTGGTGTTCTCTGGTGTTGCGCAGTGTCTCAAACAGTCTCGCTCTCGTGGCTTGGTGGCTCGGATGGCAACGTCTTGGGGCTCGTTGGTTGTCGTAGCGATCTCGCAGGTTCGTCTCGTAGGTCTGTCTGGCCTTGTTCGTGTCAATTCGTCCATCCGGCAGCACCGGGTTGAGAAACATTGACGAACCGACGTCCCCAGGCTGGATTAGCAAACTAATAAGACGGACACTGGACTCGCCCCTGACTGAGGCCCAAGCCCGCGGCTGGTGGGGCGTCCAGGGGTCCTCGATCAGCGTTGACGCACGTCCTCTCGACACGCCTAGCTCAGCTGCGATTTTACTTACAAAACAACCTGTCAGGCCGGTGCATGTGCCTGCAGCTCTGTGGAGCTACCCTACTTCTAGATTAGACCAGGCTGACTACCCAAGATATCGAGGTAGAGAGCTCTCGCTTGTCGCAACGTCAGCTCTTCCGCTCCACCCCGGCGTCGATACTTTTACACTGCACACCTGCTCCGTCCACAACCTCGTTCTCGCCCTCACCCGCAGCCTCAGCCAGAACAGGGTCAGACGGTCGAACCATGTCCGAACTCAAGCCACAATCGAAACCTCCCAGTTGGGTGTTGGACCTGAATTCGCCGCCTCCGTATAGGTCCAAGGCGAACGGCATTCCGGATCCTCCAGGCTATCCGTCACAAGCACCTACCTCAAAGGTATGTCGTCCTCTGCCGTGAATTCTTGCCACTCCCATTCGCGGCTTAGGTGTGTAGCGATTGCTGACGACTGCAACAGAAGCAACGCGATGCCTCGAAAGACACCAAAGTCCAACCGCGAAAGCAAGCCACACCAGAGGAGATGGACACACTGAAGCTCAAGAAAGCCTGGGAGGTGGCGCTGGCTCCTGTCAAGAATCTGCCCATGACGGCTATCATGATGTACATGACCGGCAACTCGCTGCAGATTTTCAGTATCATGATGGTCTTCATGGCTTTCAAGAACCCTATCGCCGGTCTGCTGGGCACCAACCAGGCGTTCGAGAGATTCGAGACGGAGACGAACAAGACAAAAATGCTGCAGGTCAAGCTCGCATATGTTGTTATGCAGCTGGTCGCCCTGGCTGTGGGGGTATGGAAGGTTAATGCGATGGGCCTGTTACCGTATGTCGTCCCCAGCTTATCGTGCCTGGGCAATCGGCTGACAAGACAAACAGGACAACGAGATCAGACTGGCTTATGTGGGAGGCACAACGGGAGCCGCTGGAGTCCGCCGCGGTTGCTTTGTAACGCTCTGGCGGGGAATTGGCGAAACGCGATGCCCGGACTCCTCTTTGACGGGGCATGCTCTGCTGCGGTGTCTTTGAACTGTGAGCTTGTATATGAGTCGTGTCAGTTGGATCCCTAGCAGAAAGTTGCCCGTTTCGCGATGCCGAAATCTAGCTGGTGACCTCCTCATTCCAACCTGCCAAGCCTGTTTTCATTGTCGCGAGAACGCGCGGATCTCGATCTTTCATTGCGCTTTCGTACTAGGAGAACCCCGTGACGGAAGAAGCCATCGAACTTTGTCGCCCCTCGCTGTCGCGCAATTCTGGGACGCTAGATTGCATCAATGTCAGTCATTTCTTCGATATGAGGTGGCTTCGCAGCCCAGCGGCCTCACCCCTCTTTGACTGGCCTTCGATAATGCTTGGAGCAGATCTAGGCCAAGCTGCCGACTGCCACCTCAGTACTACATTCAAAGATTAGACTTCATGCAGAGCCAATCCCCAACGACCCCCGTCCACCTTGAATGCAATGCGCAGCTCCATTCAAAGAACGACTTTTTGAAAGTGTCAACCTTATCCTATCTACCCAACTACCGCATCACGAGACGCGCTGCACCTGAATGTTATGGCGACCGGTCTTGGTAAAGAATATAAAATGGCCAGCCGTGGAAGGAGACCAGACACTTCACAGTCCCGGCCTACAGACAGAGGCAGGTTGGATATTCGCAACTTCCAAAATAATTGTGAATATGGCTCCTCAATATCTGCTCATGGCGTTTATCCCAGCCTTGGTCGCCGTCGTGACTGCTCAAGACCAGCCGCTACTGTCCACTATCTCAACTGTCCCAGAGCTTTCGTGTTTCTCTGCCGTCATCCTGGCCAGCGGAGGTAGTGAACCCAACCCGGCTTTTGAAGAAAGATTCAACTCTGTTCTAGACGGGAGAAATTACACAGCCTTGGCCCCAACCAACGATGTGAGTAGTCGTGGCTCATATACATCTGCCCACGGCCACTACACCACTTTGAAAGAATGTAACTGACACTCGGAAGGCTGTCAACAAGATAGCGCCATCTGTGGTGGAGGCGTTGACTGCCGCGCCCGCCTATCCGATTTTTGAGTCGATCATCCGGACTCACATTGCCGAGGGCTTCGTCACCTCTGCTGACGTCGTGAGAGCCTCACCTTTCGAGGCCATCGAGGGTTTCCCAATCTCTGCCACAGCGGTCGGCGGCGAGCAAGCCATCCTCGTCAACAACCAAGCGCAGATAGTCGCCGTGGACACGTTAGCCTCGAATGGAGTAATCCACCAGATTGACCAAGTCCTAAACCCTTACACAGACTACTTTGGCATTAGCAACACTACCGCCCCGCCAACCACATCTGAGACGGATGGCACCGTCGCCGATATCCTGCTCGGCGACGAGAGACTCACCACAGTCCGCGACATCCTCCAGGCACTGAGTGCGGACTTCGTCAGCACCCGCCTCGCCCTGGCCAGGGCAGGCGGCACGCCGCAGATCTTCGCCGTGCCGTCGAATGACGCGTTTGTCGGCCTCCCCGACAACACAGTCGACGCGTCTGTCGCGCCGTCCAACCAGGCCCTATCGTTGCAGCTCTTCAGCTTCGGCCTCCTCGCCACGGACGCTAGGTTCGCGGACCTGGATTTCGCAGGCGGCCCGATCAGCGTCGCCAGCACGTTCACGGGCATCAACGTCACTGCGAGCCAGGTCGCGGGCGGCGCGACCTTCCTGAACAACGCGGGGATACAGGAGCAAGTGTGTGGGTCGAATGGGTGTGTCTGGCTTCTTGATCGTATCCTGGATCCGCTTTATTTGGCTTTTGGGCCGCTGAATAGGGATGCGGCTAGTCCATCAGTTTAGTCTCATTGTGAGCTGAGATCAGTATTTTCTGACACCCTATGGGCGGTACAAAGGGACTGGAACATAGCAGCTCTTTTGGTCACCAGTCAGAATGCAAAGCATCTTTCCCTTACTTCAGAAAAACAACGATAGGTCACTTGCACGCGGAGCCTCACTTGTGATTAAAAGCATTCATAATCGCTGGCTACAGTTGCGAATGTGAAAAATTTGAATGCTCCGAGCTAATTACCAACTCAATTTGGCCTGGTGACATTCATAGCCGCAACCCAAGGCTTCCAGTATTCCTCTATGCCCTCGGGAAAGCTCCACCCGGTCCAGTTGAAGTTCGTCAGGCCCCCTATTGAATACTCCAGGTCAGTCATTGCTCACGTAAGAAAGCTTGGATGCTCGACTTCAGGGGGGCATAATCAAAAGGCTCCTCCCCGGCATGACTTACAAGTATCGATAAGCCCTTGGGTACCGGATCTGATGCGGTAACTGCCAGCAAGGCTCCACATGGCCCAAGAAACACCGTGCTTCTTGGTATACTCCTTGAGGCAGCTCTGCAGGGTGACGTTGTACATGCTGGGGTCCTGTGCGTGTCCGAACTCTGTGAGCACAACCGGGGCGATGCGCTGAGCGGGCGGGCAGTCGTTGGTGATGTTGCAGGCCGGGGGAGGGTCTATGCCGAGGGCGTTGAAGCCGTTGCGGTACAGCCCTGCCTCGATGATCTCACAGGTGCCGGTGTCGACATCCTCGCTGGAGCTGTATAGGTGCAGCTCCCAGACCAGCTTGTCGGCCCAGGGATAGCTGTCGAGATCAAAGTAGACGGGTTCCCGGCGCTGGGCGTCCCTGATCGCCGTGCACTTGTAGCATGGAGCGGTGAGGATATTCTTCCTCGTCGTGAGTGCCGAGAGGTCTTGATCGTATTGCATGCCTGACCAGGTGATGAGGAGGTCCGGGTTCGCCTCGTGGATCGCGTCGCAGCCCGCGCTCATGTTGCCGACGAGCGTCTGCCAGTTGTAGTAGAGGTCCGTGACGTTCCCCGATTCTCGCAGCTCGTTTCTGAGCGACATTGAGACAGCGTTCGGGTGGCCCTTGGCCCACTCTGCGACGTACGAGAGGCCGCGCAGCCAGTTGCTGGAATTGAAGTGCAGGTCATCGAACCAAGCGGTGCCGTCGACGTGGGAGCAGCACCATTGGGCCTTGCCGGTGTGCACGTCTGGGTGGACAAATAGGCCCTTCTCAGCTGCGGCGTTGGCGATGTCACTCCAGATCTCGAACCTGGTTGTCTCCCGCGTCCAGGAAGGGTTCTTGGAGATTATCTCATTCGTGACCTTTGTGCCGTTCACATATCCAAGAGCCTGGATCATGGCAACCTCTAGAGGGACGTCCTGGCCACCGCGATCGTAAACCTGGTCGACCATCTCAATAGCGTAGCCCATGCGGAGGAAGTTGAACCCAACACTGGCCACATCGTCGAGGATGTCGTCCACGGAAGCCCACTCCAGACCCTCAGGCACCATGGTCTCGCCGCTCATGGGCCAGTTCACCCCAGCCCAGGTGATGACCTCGCCCCGGGAATTAACGATGTCCCTGCCCTTGGTGCTGAAGGGACCGTACGGCCAAGCGGACGAGTTGTCGGCTCTTGGCGAGGCACGGTGATCGGCTGTCGCCCAGCGTGGCTCGACTGCGGAGCCGGGCAGCTTGACATGTTGACCCGTGGCTGTCGCCAGCAGGAGCGGCAGCAGCGTTGTCCCAGTGATCCTCATAGTGAACCAGAGAATTCAAAGCCAGTCCCGCCCGGGTGCGTGTTTGGGCGTGATTCCCCCAGTGGCAGGCGGGCACAACAACAGCGGCGCGTCCGCCATTATTATATACGTCCACTACTACGGTACATATTGCTGGCTCGCTTCCAACCTTGCCATCTCCGCTCGTTCCGCTAGGGGCTTCGCGCGCTCGACAGATTGGTGCGGACTTGGTTGGGTTCCCTGGATGGTGGACCACGCGACGGGGGCGAGCGCTGGCTCGGTATCGGGCGAGGTCAGCCGAAGAAGTGGGTATCTGGGGCACGGCGCGGGGAAACCTAGGAGCCAGGCCAGGCGGACTGGTGGGGGACTGGTCTTTTCGCGTCGGCTGCACAGCTCGATGAAGATGTCTTTCATCTCCGGCGACCCTTGCGGTCTCGTACATGACGTCAGCCTCAGGCGTCGCGCATTTTTGGTCTCTTTGCTCGTCTGCAGTCACGCGGCCCGACTCGGCCCGCCCGCGGTCGAGAAACGAAACGTTGGGAGACGATATCACCACGGCACACAAGCCACGTACTATCCAGAGCAGCCTTTGTTCGTTCAATTAGGGTTTCCCTAGTCTTGCAGCGGCGCCTGAAGATTCTTCACCAGAACTCGCTTGTCTCTCACCAGGAACGCTCGCGAGCAATTAGCTCATGTTTGCTACAACAGCTGTTAACAGTTGCCCGAGCTCGACTTTGTTAATATGCCAAGATCCAGCCCATTCGGTGGGAGAACAGCTGGATGAGAATATCATGGCTGGACTCAGCGCTCTCTTCAGACTCTCGAGATCCAAACCCCCTTCGATACATGGAATGTCAAGAACCTGACACAACACTCGCGAACTTTATGTCCTCTGGGTTACTCGCGCCCAAATGGGCGCTCGCAATGGCACTGCCAACCGTACCTGCTTGGCCTTGTGTCTCGAATATCTCACTCTTGGGATGTTCTCACGTCCGTGGCTGGCCTCAACTTCGCAAAACGATGCACGAATTCCCGCCACCACAGTCATGAGACCACAACCCCGATACTTGCGAACCATACGAGTCGCACAATCACGAATCTTCGGCTCCGAAGCCTCTTACCCGTGTTTCAAGTGTTCATTAGGCACCGTAACAATACGCACAGTAACATCCATGGATCACGGAACGCAATGTTCATTCTCACTGTCTTGGTATTTGTGTTTTCTCGGCAAGACTTCTGACCATGCCAGACTTTTTTCAAGCGAAGGAACCGAGCTGAGTTCACACCAAGAGAGTGTGTTGGCTATGGAAGATTTCATTACATCGTGATAGTCATTCAACGATCCCGTCGGTCCTTCACGTCAACATGGGCCTGAGTTGCGTCCGAACGATGGAGATAGGAGCAACTTAACCCTCAGCCGGGGCGGCCGGGGCCTGAGCCGGAGCCTCGGCCGGGGGAGCAGCAGGAGCCTGAGCTGGGGCCTCAGCTGGAGGAGCGGCAGGGGCCTGTCAAGAGGACATCTTCGGTCAGCATGTGTGCCTTCAACGGCATCTGGGGTTGGGAGGGCCAGGACAGCCGTCGACTTACAGGGGCTGCGGCAGGGGCCTCCGCCGGTGGGGCGGCCGGGGCGGCCGGGGCGGCCGGAGCAGCGGGCTGTGCCTGTTGCGGCGCCTGGGGCGTCACGTTGATGCCGTTTTCACCGCCGACAGATGTGCTGCCGTCGGTTCCCTTGGTGATGCCGAGGTTGCCTCCCAGGTTCTGTGTCTGGCCGTCGGCGCCGACCGTGATACCTGCGTTCTCGCTGAACTGCTCGCTCTCCTTGGTGGCCTTCGCCTCGCCGGCCTTCGCCTCGCCCTGGGCTGCCTCGGCAGGAGGAGCGGCGGCCTCGCCTGCTGGAGGAGCGGCGGCGGCCTCACCTGCTGGCGGGGCGGCGGCGGCCTCACCTGCCTGTTTGGCGGCGCCCTCTTGTTGCTGAGCGGCCTCTCCGGCTTGCTTGGCGGCCTCTTCTTGCTGCTTGGCGGCGCCCTCTTGTTGTTGAGCGGCACCCTCGGCTGGCTGAGCTGCTGGGGCGGCTGCCGCACAACCGGCAGCTGGAGCGGCGGCGGCGGCCTCTCCGGCCTTCGCGGCTTCTCCTGCTTTGGCGGCTTCTCCTGCTTTGGCGGCTTCGCCAGCCTGGGCGGCTTCACCGGCCTTAGCAGCTTCACCCTGGGCGGCCTCTCCAGCCTTAGCAGCTTCTCCCTGGGCGGCTTCACCGGCCTTGGCAGCTTCAGCTGGGGTGGCGGCGGCCTCTCCGGCCTTCGCGGCTTCTCCTGCTTTGGTGGCTTCGCCAGCCTGGGCGGCTTCACCGGCCTTAGCAGCTTCACCCTGGGCGGCCTCTCCAGCCTTAGCAGCTTCTCCCTGGGCGGCTTCACCGGCCTTAGCTGCTTCACCCTGGGCGGCTTCACCAGCCTTAGCACCTTCAGCTGGGGCGGCGGCGGCCTCTCCGGCCTTCGCGGCTTCTCCTTGGCCGGCTCCTTGGGCAGCCTCACCAGCCTTTGCGGCCTCTCCTTGGCCGGCTCCCTGAGCGGCCTCTCCTGCTTGACCTTGGCCCTGGCCAGCACCAGTTTGGTTCCTGGCGGCTGCTTGCGCGCCGGCGATGAAATCTCCGAGTGAAGTGCCTTGACCTTGACCCTGTCCCTGACCCGGTTGCGCAGCTGGATTTGCGTTGCCTCCTCCACCAAGCGTGAGGCCGCCAGGAAGAACGAGCGTGTTTCCTCCGCCCTGTCTCTGGCCTTCAGCGGGCGCAGCTGGAGCCTGTCCCTCAGCACCAGGAGCAGCAGCAGGGGCCTGTCCCTCGGCACCGGGGGCGGCGGCGGCGGGAGCTTGCCCCTCGGCGGCACCGGGCTGCGCAGGCTGCTGAGCAGGCTGCTGTCCACCTCCTCCGACGGTCAGGCCACCTGCACCACCAAGGGTGATTCCTCCATTGCCGATCGTGATTTGGCGTTCTTTGAGGGCCTTGCTGCGGTCCGAAGCTCGGGCTGTCAAGCCTCCCTGCGATAAAAGGCATGTCAGTATCATTGTTTTGAAACAAATGGTTTGGTGCTCAATTATAGCCATACCGTGAACCCGAGCCCAGCATCGCTGAAGGCCAGAACGGCCAGGAGCGCTGGAGTGCCAAATTTCATTGTCGTTGAATCGCACGTGAACAAGGCCGGTCAACGGCGAAAATTATGAATGAATGTGGTAGATAAACGAGCACAGCTCAATAATTAGTGACTGAAGAGAACACTGCGTGCGATCAATCGTTCAGACAGAACTTCCTTCAAGTCCCAAAAAGGAGGCTCTCCATCGCTCAGAGGGAGCCAGAACCCTATGTATTTACATACACGAGCGCGATTGCATATTTGGCTGAACTTCTGCAACTCCCTTGGCAGTAGTCGATCTGGGGCGCTCCAAACACCCGGGACAGTTTGGGCCGTCTAGCACGTTTGGGGCACACATTTCAGACTCCACAAATGTTCTATCAAAAGAACGGCAAGCATACTTCCACCAGACCCACGCAACTAGCATATCTTGTGTCGCTGCAGCGCAAGATGGGATGAAAGCAGCGCTATGCTGCCGAGTATCTTGGCGTTGCAGCCGCACCCGTACGTCTCCTCTCGCTGGTCTCAGATCTGTGCCGAAAGTCCACTTGGCGCAAGGAGAATTGTTTGAGGACCCTGGACCTCTACCAAGAGCCCAAGACAAATAGTGGAGCCTCGTCAGTGCTTCGAGATGCCGTTGACAGCAGGATCTGGACCTTTTCAGGTGAGGTGAACCGTACTCGCGCAAGAGGACGTGACGATGATTTCATGATCTCCCTCTATAGGATTCAAGTGTTATTGATCCCCCATCGCCAATGCGTCGATCTGCCAAGTGCTACTACTCTGATGCACCACAGCCTCAAAAAACATCCATAGAAATTATTTCATTACCAAACAAAAAATATGCAATAGTATGATCGCCCTAGCTGATGATCGGTACACAGGGGGAAGACAGAGACCAGGAGTGAGCATTAAAGTCACGGATGATTACCAGAAGCAGTCTAAGTGACCACAGTTCGTCAGAACAATCCAGACACAGATGCAACCACATCACAGCACAATTCACCAATTGCATGCTCCCTGTGTATCCATGGAGGTACCTTGTGTGTTTTGAGTGGAGGGCATCATGAAACTCTCTTTACGCAGAGACTGGACGCCCAGCCCGTCCTGTGCTGCCTGTCTGACGTGACGACAGACTGCAAAGAGCTCTCCGCCACTTGACACACGGCTGAGTCTGGTTTCATGGTCAGCATCAAATGCTTCTTGGCCTATGAATATCGTGATTGAATTATGTAAACTGATCCCCGTTGAATCGATGGCCGTGGCCCGGTCGAATTGCGATCGCGAACGGACTCGCTCGTTCGTCTTGCTTAAAGGCAGCAGAGGTTGAATAAACCACCACGAAACTGTGTGCTGTGCGCTCATCAACTCATGCTTTCAATCTTTATTGCTCATTTTCCTCTTCATCCCACAAGATTGTATATGTTCTAGGTCAGGCGCTTGCATCCAGGCATGACATGTCCCAATCTGGGTACTCGGAGAGAAACTCATTTGAAGCTTGGTGGTGCCTGCAACGCTTCGCATATCAGCACATAGTTGATTTTCTTAGCGGTGACGCGCGTTATCTTTCCAAGCCACGGTAAATTCTGGTAGTCTTTGGTTTTATCTTCAGTGTATAGAAAAATCATCACTCGATTTCGAATCGAAACTGTCACATTTTCGTCCGGCTTTCCACCCCCACAACCCATATAGTTCACAAATGATTGAAAATTTCGATGATTGCCTTGCAAACATACTCTCCAATTGTGAATTCTCAATGAATTTCAGTGTGGATTTGGCGAGAGACACATCTATATGAACTGAACGCATTGATTCTGCATGTGATCTCCACGCAATGAGACTATGTCTAGTTAAATAGCAGAGGCTCTCAGAATATAGTGCCAATGCTTTTGGAGCTCTCAAAAGGATAGAAAGCTTTTTTCCTGTGGGTTTTGCGCTGTAAGGATTGTACATTTGCAAGATCCAGGTAACAACCCTGCGATCAGTTTCGCAAAATTCAAGTCACGCATTGACAAGAGCCCGTTCGCATGTACACGAGTCGAGTTATAAAAGCCTGTCCAGAATGAACGGTGCAGTTAATTGGTCCTGGGTTCGCTTATTCGTCGGTTGTGCCAGTTTCTTTAATGTGGAATGGATGAACCAACTCCACCGAGGCTGCGGCTCTCATTGAGTGGTAACCAGTTGCTTCCGTCACGTGGCCTCTTATGGTTGCTGAAGTCTAGGCTTCCCCCTGAGGCCGTATTTACAGAAGAGGGATTTTCCACCATCTTGCTAAAGGCCCTGTAAATCATAGGGACATTGGCGCAGAGGATGCCACCACAGGGCTCCCACGCGGAAAGGATCCCCAACGGAACCTCATCCCCTAAAAGTATCACGTCAGTGCTCCACAAGGAAAGAGTGCAGGCAAAGGGTGCAGGATTTTCACCTCCACTCCATACGGCCAATGGAATGATGACTTGTCTGTGGAGTGCTTACAAGTGATATCTGTCACTCCCGTGGAGAAGATGACTGACAAGCGCGCACCGCTAATAACACAGGTTCCCAGGCCCACCGAGAACAAGAAGCACAGACTGATCTTGCGGTACTTGCTGGTGTGAAGCCGCAATATGGTGGGATTGGGCACAAGGAAGATCCACATGTCGGAGGCAAGATTGATGATATTCGTGAAGTAGCCGAAGGCGACCAGATCCACACACGAGCCATCCGTGGCTCCCCACCAAGCTTGGATGGGCCGACACTCCAGACCGAGCACGACGTCCATGGTGACAAGCCATAGAAGGATGAATGCCGCTGTCAGGATCACAATGGTTCGAAATGCCGGTGTCACGAAGACGCGGTAGTACAGGGCCAGGACAGAGAGCTTAGTGCTAACGATGGCAACATCATAGAAGTGGCTGAAGATGTAGTTGCCCTGTTGTCCATCAGATACACTTGTCACTGTGTTTTCCGGGGTCCCGCACACACCAGCATGAAGGTTTGAAGGTCCTGAGCGTAGACTGCTTCAACGTGGCGACCTAGACCGTATGGGACACCGTGAACAAGACCTGCTACACACACTGCGATGGCAACAATCTGGAAACTCGTCAGCGATTGCGATCATTAGATGCAAAGCCGCCCGCCCAATGCTTCTTTCGATGATGATCACGGATGCTTACTGCTGCCCAAATCATGAGACAGTCATCAAAGCTCAGCCTTTTAGCATCTGCTTCCCTGGTCCTCACTGACCAGAGACGCAGCGATGTACTCAAAATCTAGAGAGGTATTGGTATGGAATAAAAGGAGTTCAGAACAGCTGTCCTAGACTCTGCTAGATACTGAGGGCTGTAGGTTGCTGATAACATAGTTTGATGGTTTGCAGGATGAATGAGCAGAGCTCAAAGGCGCAAACCTACGGTGGACTTCGTGCTCTACCCAAATTTCTGCATGAGATTTGTCGACCTTTTGAGACCTGAAGAATATATCTATAATGCAGAACTATGGACCTAAATAATGCTGTCGCTAAACTCCGATGAAATCTATTTGATCTTGCTATTTTTGTGGCTTGGGCAGTGGGTATTCCCGAAGCCCTGCAGCCGTCGGACAACATCGACCGGGCGCACTTGCAAACATTGTTGGCTACTTAGCCTGTGTTGCAGGGAATCGGTCGACAGAAAAGAGTAGTACAGACGTCAAGCCAAGACAGCGAACCACCGAATTGTCTTCGTCGGAACCAGGAAGAGACTGGTTCATGCTGTGTACCGTCCCATGTGACTGCGTACTATGTACGCGGTGTTTCGCTGCAGGTAAATCAAAAGCAAGCAGGCTCAGCCCGCGTCTGCGCCTAACCCAGCCTGGTCGGGTAGGTTCAAGGGGATAGTCGAGAGAAGAGTCTCTGTGGCGCCCAAGTGTGTCTCACCGAGACCGGATTTGGAATATCAAATAACTCAAGGACGCCGCCTCTAGTTCTCGAAGCACAACACCGAGGAAGTTTCAATAGAAAGGCAAATTATATGCTGACCATCCTTCCATGTTAGACTTGATATCATATTTCGACAGTGATTTGCAGCCAACAGCGTGTGAAACCTTGTCGATCACCTGGTTCAGCTCTTTTGACATTGCCATATCTGGCCTGTCTCGCGTGACAGTACTCATTCATTGGCCGGCCATTCGATTATCTAATTACGGGGGGGGGGGGGGCGTGCTTAGTACCTTGCGGTCAAAGAGCTGAGCGCTGATCGCCGTGCCTCGTTGAAGGCTATCGTGCAATTGAAGGTCCTGATGTAGGGCTGGCGTGTCTTCCGGATTAGCCGATGGCAGACGGGAAGTCGCATTTCATGTCCTTTTTAAGGCGGCCTCAAGGACCGTGAAAAGACTATTGCATTTTTATTTTCCCGTTGATCAGCCTCAGGGCTCCTTATGCAGGTTATGATGGTCCTTGAGCGCCAACTCGTCTCACATCTTGTGCTTTTCTCTAATCGACTGTGTCACTTCTTCCTCTACCTTTCCACATCACTGCAGCGGAACATGGAGGTTGTCCTCTCTTTCCTTCTCGCCAGCCTCCTAGCGACAGCAAAGGCATTAGTACCTCGCTGTAGTTCCTCTGGCACCATCGTTCATCTTGAGCACGCGAATAAATTAGGGCTACTATGATCCCCTGGTTTGACCATCTGGAGAGGGTGGCATAAAATCCTTTCTTTGATAATCCAGGGCTAACCTACTGTCAACGCAATGGCTGGCGGAGGCTTTAGCAGCAAACTCTGGTCCAAAAATCAGGCTTGCACAGTTCAGTCCTCTGTCACACCGGCGTACACAGTGTAGATTCAATCGCTTACTTTGCTCTTCAAGTGACCACGCCGAATGCTGATTTTAGGCGTACATCTCAAATTACTGTGCCGGTCGGTGAAGATGGCGGCATCACTTGGCCGGCGTACAATAAAGATGAGCATTGGCAGATGGATCTAGGCACAACGGGTGGCATTGTGAAGATGAAGGTTATGACAACAACATTGAGCTGCTACGAGCGGACCGGCGAGGGTCGCGGTGTGAGTCCTGGCAGTCCGTGGCTTGCCAGAGTTCCGCAATAAAGAGCACACTTCAAGCGCAGACACATATTGGGAGGTAGATTTTTATTTGCGTGTGTTATGATATTTCGGATTCCTTTCCCAGGACTGGATTCAATTGCAAATTTACTCTAACAAAGGATGTCTGGAAAAGTAATGTTGAAGTGGACTTCAAGTCAAGTTTGTGGGCAAGGTGACTTTAAAAGCTCGAAATTCAGGAGCGAACCCGTCAAGGCAGCAATTTTAAACCTGGGCCCCCCCCCCCTCCCACACCCCATGAATACTCTAGATATTCCCTAGACCTCATCTAGAATTGCAATGAGAAAGAAGAGTCACATATCGTGGCCTGACATTTGCAAGCGCGAGATTAGCCGCCAGTAGTCCAAAGGTAGAGTTGTTGTCCGTTTGCCGCAGCACTAGACTGGGAAGGCCCCTGTCGGCCTGCCCTTCAGGGTTGCGGGCGTTCACAGCCGCCAGCCTCTCGACCCCAGCCAGCACCAACGAAGGAGGCGACCCCTTACCCACCCGTTACATTCGGCTGCAGATGACGTGCATAACAAGGGACCCGACGCCTTGGAAATATGGACCTGGTGATCTGCCTTCGGAGGTCTAGAATATCGCCCTGCGTCCCTTCTCTTCCTGCCGACGGAAACATCTTGATGCAAACGCAGGCAGGCATTGGCTGCTGCTAATACTCAATAGTACTCAGGCAAATGTGACATGCTGGATCTTGCGGATTTCGAAATAATACAGCGATCCTAGCCCTGTTGCTTTGTTCTGAGCGCCACATTTCTCCTTCCTGCACGTCTCCCAAAGCATTTCCCCTCCGCCACCACAGACTTTTGCAAATTGCAGGCACCGGCTCCTGAAGAACTTCCTCAAACCCTGAGCCCTCCTGAGGCTGGTAGAAATGGCCATCGTGGACGTCATTGGCAACAAGTCTTGGCCCACATTTCCTCTCTCTTTGTGCCTTCGTTTCAGTCAGAAAAGGTGTTGGTGTGTTGAACCGCCCCATTGGCTGGCCGCAGGTGGGTCGCCCGCGACGAGGGCGCTATTCCCAACCCTGCCGTCCGTCCCTTTAGACACCTTATAAAGGGCCCCGGGCCGACGAGGTCAAAGGAACAGAGGATTGTGAGTCTGTCGCTCCACCATAATATTCTTGGGATGGATGCAGTGCATCGCTGGCGGTGTTTTTGTCTCCAAACCTAGGGTTTTCCCATTCGTACGACTAGATACCATGTTTTTGCTACATTTTTTGAAATTCCTATTGGCTGCTTCATTTGTCCAGGCACTGCTGATAAAACGTTATGACCCCAAGCCGATACCCAGAATTACGGAACGACAAGATGCATCAACCAAGAGCACAACCGGCAAGCTGGTCTTCTGCCATTTCATGATGGGCATCGTCGCCGGCCGCAAGAGCTCGGCCGACTACGATGCAGACATGCGACAGGCAAAGGACCTGGGCATCGACGCTTTTGCCCTCAACATCGGCACAGACGAGTTCACAGGGAAGCAGCTCGGCTACGCATACGAGAGCGCGGCAAAACGACATGAAGCTCTTCATCTCATTCGACTTCAACTGGTTCTCACCATCCAAGGACGCTGCCAAAGTGGGGCAGATGATCGCGACTTACAGCAACCAGACGGCTCAGCTGAAGGTGGACGGTAAGGTGTTCGCCTCGTCCTTCTCTGGTGACGGCCTAGACGTCTCGGCTGTGAAGAGCGCCGCTGGCATGGACGTCTTCTTCGCACCAAACTTCACCCCGGGTGGGACCCCTGATGCCAAGAGTATCGAGGGGGCTCTCAATTGGATAGCTTGGGCCCAACAATGGCGCGAACAAGGCACCTACATCTGGTGTTCGAGTTTCGGTTGCGGAGGGCGATACCAAGTATCACAGCTGGCTGGCTGGCGCGAAGTCCTACATAGCCCCAATCTCTCCAGTACGTGCCATGCATGCCCTGACGGCTTTAGACCTGAGCCTTTGAAGAATGAAGATCGATACTAATTTGTTGTTGCTCTGACTAGTGGTTCAGCACTCATTACGGTGCTGAGGTTTCTTATAGCAAGAACTTTGTGTTCCCTTCAGACCTCCTGTGGTACGAACGATGGACTGAGGTTTTAGACAGAAGCCCACCTTTCGTGGAGATCATCACCTGGAACGACTATGGCGAGTCTCACTACATCGCTCCCCTGTCTTCGCAACACGAAGACGACGGAGCTTCAAAGTGGGTGAATGACATGCCGCATGACGGATGGCGGGACCTGGCCAGGCCTTTCATTGCCGCGTACAAGGCAGGATCAAAGTCGGTCAATGAGTATATCAAGGACGACCAGATCATCTACTGGTATCGGCCAACGCCGAGGACTGTGAACTGTGATTCGACAGATAACACTATGAAGGCTGGAAACAACGACAGTGGGAATTACTTCAACGGCAAGCCAAATGGATGGCAAGACATGCAGGACTCAGTATTTGTGGTCAGCTTGTTGAAATCCGCCGGGTCCATCGACGTGACATCGGGGAAGAACACGAAGACGTTCAACGCTCCGTTAGGCGCCAGCTCATTCAAAATAGACATGGGCGTCGGGCAGCAGAAGTTCACCCTAACTCGGGATTCAAAGCAGGTCCTGAGTGGAACCTCTCGCAAGGATATCACTGAGACCTGCCCCTGCGGGCTCTACAACTTCAACGCTTATGTTGGGACCTTGCCAGAGGGCAAATCTGATCCTCTGGACGCAGCTGGGCTCGCATCGTTCACTGTTGGTCTGTCAGTCAGGACCTGCTCGGCTGCGCCGTCCTTGGGCTCGGGATCTCCCGCTCCAGTGCACCACGCCGACTGCGAGTGGTGCTGGCTCGACCACTGGAGGGGACAAACCTACCGGTGCAAGCGGAGCAGGCACACCAACGTTCACTGCGACGACGACGAGTGAGATACAAACCCGGCCCTAGCGGCATTCCCAGCGGCATTCCTGGTGGCATTCCCAGTGGCAGTCCCAGTGGCAGTCCCAGCGGGAACCCAAGCGGATACCCCGGCGGTGGTCCCAGCGGGAACCCCGGCGTCGGGAGCAGCAGCAGCCCTGGTTCAGCACCAGCTTCGGTGTCTCGTACCGGACCTGCAGCTGCGCCAACCCCTACCGGCGAAGGACAGACCTGCAATGGCGGAACCAATGCACCCGACAAGTCTCCCAACATGGCGGGTATCTGCTCCTTCTCCTGCAGCAGAGGCTATTGCCCTTCAGATGTGTGCGTCTGCACGTCGACAGGGACTCCGGAACAGGCGCCTGACACTTTCCCGGCGGGATGCCCGCTGGAGGCGGAGAACGAGAGTTACCAAGGGCTTTGCAAGTTTAGCTGTATGCGTGGATATTGCCCCCCTGCGGCGTGCACCACAGAATGTGGATGATTTGGATGAGTCGTATTTGCTTTGGCTTGGCGGGTTCGTTACAATTCTTGTATAAATAAATTAGAATACTTGCCATCGAACCTGATGGCAGTTTGTGTACTTTCTATGGATGAATGCAACCAAATAGAAAAGATGTCTGACTACGTAAATGTTTCAGCCTGCACGTGAATTCTCATGACCTGGAAATTCTCTTTATGCTGCGAAGGCGACATGTCACGGCAGTGTTGGTCAACGTACTGCTGGCATATTTTCGTCTAGCTAGCTGAAGGGGTTCCAATGAGAAGGCGAGCCGACCACTCGCGCCATGTCGCCATCTGCTCATGCTGCTTTCCGTATTTACTATATGAGCTTGAGCAAGAGATCTTCGTCATCCACTGTGTTTTTGAGACCATCAAATAAGTGTATTCCAGCTAGTCGCATCCCTTGCAAAAGTCTTGGCTCCAGCACGCAGCCGAGCAGATGAGCCACGGGATGATGAAAAAGATGATGACGGAGACACATCCCCCCTCGCATTTGTGACATGCGTCACAGCAGCTAGGATATCTATTGTGTGATGTGAGCCGCATGTTTGGACTGCTTGAAGAACGTCACACTCACGGGCTGCAGACATCAATGTTGGCAATGCCAGTCTCGTCGCCAACGACGTCCATGCTGCTGTTGTCATCGATGACACCGAGATGGACTAGGTCGTTGATGTCGAGGCCGGACGCCTCAAACTTCTCGTTCTCAAGGGTCGCATTGTAGCTGTCGCCAAACATGGGCTCGAGACCGTTGAGGCCCGCAGCGCTGGGAACCCACAGGCCGTGGAGTTGAAGAGTGTCGATCGCGTCTGGGGCCAAAGTGATATTGAGATGCTTGAAGGCAAACGCGGCGGCTTGGACATCAGTCAGTAAACGATTCTGGAAGCCTCAGCTGACACAGGCAATGGAAATTCCCTTGTTGAAGAGCAAGAATATTTGTCCTGGCGAAGTTACTCACACTTCGGGTCAAGGTCCATGGCCGCAACGCTGACCATGAAAGTAAGGAAAAGGTAGGTTGACATGTTGCTGAGCTTCATGGCTGCTTTGTTCAGTTGCGGTAGATCAGTTGAAGCTGTCTGTCTGTAGTCAAGGAGACTTGTCGAGATCACGCAGGAAAAGAGAAAAGAGTGTTAACACCTAGGTAGGTAGACAAGAGAGATGGAAAGCTGCGAACCGGACCAGGCAGCTGGGTGAGCAGGGTTGGGCCGTTCCTTCCCTTCCTTTCCATCTGGGCAATTGTCAGACTTTCGACATGGGTACCTGCGTCAGGTCACGCATGTTCAAACATTATGTTGGTTAGGCACTTATACAATGCGCCTATGTCATATTAACTAAGCCATATTCTGTTCTATGAGCCATGAGCTATCCTCTTCAACTCGTCACCAACATCATTCGTGGCCTTCAAGGCCTCCTCACTCCATGGGGCCAACTGGAGAAACCCGTGGGTGAGCTCAGGGTAGTGGTGCCATTTGATATCAACGCCCGCCTGCTGCAGTTTATGTCCGTACTCGTAGCTTGGGGCAACCGTCTCTTCAGGTGCCTTGGGGAGGTAGTGATCCCCAAAGCTGAAGATGCCGTTGCACTCCAGATAGTAACCCGTGTTGTTTTCCACAGCCGCGGGTGTGTCGAAAGGAAGGCGTGCCTCCGGATAAAGCAGGATCTGTCCAGCGAGAGCCTTCAAGCCCTGGTCCCGCCGGCGCAGGGACAGGGCCGCGGTCATATTTCCGCCGGCTGAATCGCCGCCCCCAAAGACGAGGTCGGGGGAGATGCCACGCTCTGAGCCTCCCTGGCCTTGGACCCAGTCCACCACGGTGGAGTACTCGTCGAGCTGCGTTGGGAAGTGATGTTCGGGCGCTAGGCGGTAGTCGACGCCAATAGTGACGACACCAGACCGCTCGGCAACTAATCGCAGCCCGTTCTCGAACTCGTCGACCGAGTCTACCGTGTAACCACCGCCCGTGCATGTAGACAAGAGCTGCGAGCTTGTCATGTCCAGAACCCTTGTCCTGGGAGACGGCTGACTTTGGGTAGAAAAGATGGACGGGTATAGACCCGTGAGGACCTCGGACTGCCGTGAACTCTACCTTCCCAATCGGAGCTTGCTTGTTCTTAGGCAGCTTGTGAAAGCCAAGGATCTCGAGATGGTGTCGACGCTCCTGATGGAAATCAATGTCACCTCCAAGGTGCAAATTTGGGTTGTCACTGAGGAATATTTTAAGGGAGGCCGCAAGCGTGGTGAGGTGCCCAATCGACGGGATTTGACTCTCTGTAGATTTTGTCATGGTTGTCAAAAGAGGCTGAGGATTGTATAGAACTGCATGGAACATACGACAAACAAGACCTCGTCAGTCATTCGTTTGAGCAGAAATCTCCAGTGAATTTTCTAAAGCTTGACGATTCCACTACTTGTTCAAAGGCTGATCCTGAAGACGGTGGGGTCAAGTGGCCGTGGGTGCCTTGCTGGAACTACAGATTTCGAGGCACTGTTGCATTTATACCACGAATCACACTGTATCTGATACCCAATGGTGTTGCCTCCCAATATGGTCTCGATTTGATCTGTTGAGACTGTTCCGTCAGACGGACGCTCTTGGTAGCTATGAAGTCGCCTTGAGCATGTGCTTGCTTCCTTTGGGCTGGGTCACCCCCATTGCAATCTCAAGCCAGAAAGTGTTCTGCTTTTCCGATATTTGCCTCTCGGGATTGTTGACGATTTCCTTGGACGGACCACCTCAGGAACCGTGGCTGCAATACTATTGCAAATCCGAAGTTTGATCCGTTTGAGTCTCGAGATACATTGATGGAAGATGTTTTGTGTACCCTGCCAGACACCACGTAAGGGTAATGCCTTTGGAAAATGGGTTTGTCATGCTTACCTTCCTGTCCCAGGGGATTCCTTCGTCCTAGTGCAGCGTGCACGACCTCAAGTACTCGGCGCCGTTCACATCGTAGGAAAAGCCCCTGTCACGGATCTGCTCCCACGTTTCCAAAGCCTTGGCTCGAGCAACCTCCATAGCTTCCTCTTCCCGCTTTACGTCCTCCTCGGACATGCCGTAGCCGAGAGCCTTGACGTTTTGCAGCAGAGCCATCTTTATTAGAAAGGACAGCTTGCAACAGCTGTAGAAATGGAAGAGGGGTTCAGTGTCGGCATTCTGGTCTTCCAATGGAATAATCTCGGTTGTGGGGGATGTGGGAGTGGTGGTCTGGTGTTCAGCGTTTTCGGGAGGATTGGCTTGTTGCTGGCAGTTCTGGGTAGTCTCGGCATCCATGTCTACGCTCTGTTGGGAAATTCGGGCATATTTCGGCTCAGAAACTTCTGGAGACGTTGTTAGACTCTCGGCATCTTGTTGCTGATGGCAAGAATGGGTGTTGGCGAGGTGGCCTTCCATGTTGACAGACTGGCAATCAATGGAGCTGTCCACTTCAAGGCTGTGGAACTGAATTTTGTGGCGGGGTCATGTAATCAAAATCATGGTGCATATGAATGGGATGGGTGAATTCCTCCAAGAGTCACCTGTTATAAGTAGCAGTAACCTGTTGCAGGAGGGAAAAGGCGGACATTTGCTTGCTGGACCAGTTTCCAGGGAGACGATCTCCACCTCTAAAAAGGTTTGTCTTGGATTTCCCTAAGCTTCCCATTATGGTCTCTTCCTTCTTTATATTCGAAAATCTTCCTTCGTTTGCTGCAAATGAGACAAACAGAACTTTATCTCCTTCTGATCCCGCAGCTGTCATGCGACTAACAGCATCATTATCTGCAGCTCTGATTCATAGAATCCCCTGGATCCGGAAGTTATTGTTTCAATACTTAATATGTACTTTCAGTACCTAAAGGACTGGATGCATACTGCTTAAGAAGCATATGTAAACAGATTAAAAACGAGACCACTCAGTACATAAAACTAGAGGCTGTGAAGAGGCTTGTTTCGGTTGATGCCGTAATCCAGTTCTCTACACACGACGGTAGGTGCTCACCGTCGTCATATCTACTGCTACCCTCGACGGCCTAATCTCACATTTTAATTGGAGCTCTGCTGATAATCAAGTCGTTTAAAAATCCAAAACAAAAAACGGGCAACGAAGGCGCTCTAAGCCCCACTTGTCTTTCTGCAAGCTTGTGGGGTGTTATGTACTGGACCAACAGCCTACACTAAGCAACGCTGAGGGGGGCGAAGAGCTGATGGATGGTCATATGCTCAAGACACGTTGAGTAGACATGAGAGACTCGCTGCTTGGGTTGAGTGGGAACCATGTATCTCTGACGGCCGTACCTTCGATCATGAAGTAGCATAGAGAAGCCCGAGTCGTTGGTCCCTGGTCTACAGGTCAAAATCCAACGTTACGTCAACGACCGCTTGCATGACCTCTTCCAACTTCGTTTGTCTTCTGTGATACCCATCAAACGGTGACACACGGTCCTCAGAGGGCCAACCAATTCCGGCGCAGGATTGTGTCTGTGAATCACAAGGCTGGAGACCCTCGTTTATTATATCAAGGCCAAATGTCCTTTGAAAACCCTTCCCTCGCCTTGCCATTTCCGGAACCAGGAAGTCAACAATCGCAACGTCACCATCGACGTAACCAAGGCTGCACATAATTCACCATCGCGAAACGTCTCTGACTTCGTCTTACATTCATGATGGGTGCCACTTTGTCTACTCCAAAGTTTTCCAACTTCGCGCACGATTGCCAGGGGACAGAATTCAACGGGGATTCAACAACGGTCATTGGGTTGAACTGCCATAGTGAAAGCAGTAGTACCCCCCACACGTCCTGGCTCAATCTTGACCTTTGTCTCTCTTATGAGTCCCCCAATCTGGTCGCTCACCAAGGGTACATAATTCGACAAGCCCATGGGAAATACGAATGGCAAGGATGCTGACATTGTCCATGACAGTGGCGGTTACGTCTCGACCTCGAAGTGCACGAACTGCACCGGCACCGCCAACAACTACAGCTGTTACTGTTGTGCCTCCGACGTCTGGGCCTGGGCCAGTATTGACCTAAGTAGGCCTATTTACCCCTTGCCTATTGCAATGGCAAGTCTCATTCTAGGAACGATGATTGATTTGATACTCCAACATAGCCACTTTCATCGGAGTCAACGACACCAACGGCGTGATCTGTTGCAATGCCGGAACCGATGAGGCCCCGGCGGTTCAATGCGGTGATCTGCGGAACTTTTCATAACACACGGACATGAGTTCTCCGGGGAGTGTTTCCTTGCTGATCACTTTGGGTCCCATCTGTGATTGGGCGCTTGTGCGAGGCTCGAGGAGGACGGTAACGGGTTCGAGGGGGTTGGGGGGGGGGTTTGGTTTCGTGCAGTTTAGCGGCACAGAGTTTAGGGACCTGGCAGCCTTGGCTGCTGGCAGGATGCGGTGTGCATGTCCGCGAGACTGACGCAGAACCCATCACAAAGTAGAGACAACACGAGGGTACTCATTTTGATTGCTGCCTGGATATCTCCTCCTCGTTCGTGAGCATTCGATGATGATGTCGATAAAGGTTAAGGAGTCGGAGGAGGGAGGGGCCTGTCGTGATTTCGGACGGGGCATGACCGTGGCCGTGTCCTCCGACTGCCGGTGGAATGAGCTCCGAGGTCGTCAATGCCCGTGTCTTAGCGGCGAGAAATTTTGCGAGACCCGACCACGGCCCTGGAACTGACGTCCTCTCAGGGTCCCAGGGGCCCCTCCAACGGCGGAGCTCGCCGCCGGAACGTGTTTGTTGCGGGTCTTACCTTTGGTGGGGACCATCAGTCTGACTCTGTCAACCTCATCCTGCAACTTACAACAGCTGTTTAGAAGTGCTTGTCTTTTCCAATCTCGTACTCGTTGATTCTCAGGTCGTTCTATAGACTTCTCATATTCATCAGCTTTTCTTTTGAAGCACCTGCCCCGATCGTCAAACCGACATCATGGGCTCTGTGTCCGATCTGCCGGCGCTGAAGACCAGCCCCAAGTACATCTTCTTCACAGATTTCGACGGCACAATCACTCTGCAAGACAGCAATGACTTCATGACCGACAACATCGGCTTCGGTGCCGCCCTTCGCAAGAAGGGGAATGAGGACGTGCTCTTTGGCCGCCGTGACTTCAGGGACAGTTTCCAGGACATGATGGACAGTATAAGCACGCCGTACAACCAGTGTATCGACCTGCTCCTGAAGAACATCCAGCTGGACCCCGGATTCAAGGAGTTCCATGCGTACGCGAGGGCAAACAACATTCCCATTGTGGTGCTGAGCGGCGGGATGACGCCTGTCATCAGAGGTCTGCTTGGACACCTCCTGGGGGAGGAGGCCGCCGGCGAGCTGCAGATTGTGAGCAATGACGTGAGGGCCAGGCCGGGCAAGGACATCAACGACGAGAGAGGGTGGGAGATTGTTTTCCACGATGACAGCGGCTTCGGACACGACAAGTCCCTGGAGATCCGGAAGTACTCTAGCTTGCCTCAGGGCGAGCGGCCGTACCTGTTCTACGCTGGTGATGGCGTGTCCGATCTATCTGCTGCCAAGGAGACGGATTTGATGTTCGTGAAAGAGGGCCGTGGTGAGTTTATCTATGCTGCCGATTGAGTCCCCTGAAATGAAGCTGACTCGGCCGCAGACCTCGTAGTGTATTGCGAGAAGGAGAACGTCCCTCACACCACCTTCGCAAGCTTCTCTGATATTCTTTCAGATGTCAAGGACGTCGTCTCTGGAAAAGTGAGCGTCAAGGACACTGCGACTGCGGGCGGTCGGGTTTGAACTGCGGGCCGGTGCGCTACGGTATGGATGTTTTAGTCCTTGATTTCCATTACGAACGATTATAGATTAGACTCAGATCAAGACGTTGGTCCTAGATAGAAATACACATGAATCTAGACTTTCTTACCTGCAGCATGATGAACCACTGTGCTCCAAGGCTGGGCAGAGGGGAAATGGTCAACCCGGATGAAGGTGCTGGGGTGCAGGGGCACCAGCCAGCTGCGGCCAGCCGGCCAGCCGATCGCTTATCGATTGTGTCCATCGATAAGACCGCTCGAAAAAATGTTGCTCACTTGCTAGGTTTCTTCCGCCAACGACTAATACCCACCAACTTCCTTCTCTTCAGTCCATAGCGCAAGGACCCAATTCATCATGGCTCCCTCCACCACCGCTGTTGCCCAGAAGGGCGACTTTTCGATCGATCCTGACCAGGTACTATACTCGATACATACGCCAGCCTTGTTTTCCTGGCATACTGACTTCCCGTCGCAGGCATTGAAAGCGTCCAAGGCGCTCCTGGCCCACATTAAGAAGACTGCCGAGGAGACTGCCTCAAGTTCGAACAAGAAGAACCTCCTGGATGCAGCCGATGGCGACCAGAGCCTTTCTGTGGCCGAGACGCCAGTCTGGCTGACTGTCACCACCAAGCGACACATCCACGACTCCAAGGCGCTGAAGCCCAACAAGATCTACCTTCCCCACCCTCTCCATACCGATACCGAGTCGACCATTTGCCTGATAGTGGCCGATCCCCAGCGGCACTACAAGAACGTTGTTGCGTCAGAAGATTTCCCTGAGGAACTCCGAAAGCGCGTCACCAGGGTCATCGACTACAAACACCTGACTGCCAAAGTCAAGCAATATGAGGCCCAGCGCAAACTCCTGGCCGAGCACGACATCTTCCTCGCGGATGACCGCATTATCAACCGGCTACCAAAGGCGATCAACGTCTTCTATAAGTCGACCACCAAGCGTCCGATACCAGTGGTCTTCCAGAGCAAGAAGCCCAAGGAACAGGGCAAACGGGTGAAGAGAGATCCCAACGAGGTCAATTGTCGCCCAGCGTCGGAGGTTGCCGCCGAGATCCAGAAGGCGATTGGGGCTGCCCTTGTGAATCTGTCTCCCTCAACCAACACTGCTGTCAAAGTCGGCTACGCGAGCATGCAACCGAAGGCATTGTCCGAAAACATCATCAAGGTGGCGAACGAAATGGCGACCAAATTTGTGCCAAAGAAAAAGAACGGCGTGAAGAGCATGTTTGTCAAGGGGCCCGAGACTGTGGCGCTGCCGATCTGGCAGGACGAGGAGCTGTGGGTGGATGCAGAGACCGACGTCGTCGCGAATGGATCCGAGCAGGCAAAGGCGATCGAGGCTAGGAAGGAACAGGCTAATGTTGGAAAGAAGCGGAAGTCAATAGACGCCGCTTCAGACGATGAGCCTAAGTCCAAGAAGGCGAAGAAGGAGGCTGTGGTCGAGGGTAACGACGACAAACTCGACAAGCAGATCGCCGAGCGCAAATCAAAGCTTCGAAACGCCAAGAAGAAGGCCAAGTCAGCCATGGAGGATTGAGGGCTATTTGGTGAATTCCGCTTGCATTTTGAGGAGTCGGGCGTTCATCAAAGATTATGTATTTGCATAGGGATACCTGTTCAAGTCACACATCTGCCACTGTCAGTATGTAATGAGTACCTCAAGAAATCATCAAAATTTTGCACATCATCTGATTTCCCCAACGGGCGGGTGCAAGTTTTCTTGTTTACATTGACACACTAAAACCACCCTGGATCATAATTTGTGCTTTATGAGCGCAAGTGTTGTCCCTGGATTTGCAGGGCCAGCTGAGTTATGCCTTAGGCTTTCAGGCAGTCAGTCACACGGGACGAAATTAACTTGACTCTCCAGGAGTTGGGAGTAAATCGTATGTCTACGGCAATAGATGTCAAGCTAGACCATAAATTTCGGAAGCCACACGAAGCAAATAAAACACAAATTAGCTCGTGCGATGAACGAAGTCTTGTGCGCAGATCTCGCCGGAGGAGAGGATGGCCGACCGTCTTGCCATAAGACGTCTCAAGCTTTCTATCACACAGTCGGCTCGAACCTGGTCTGTCACCTGAGCTACTAATATACCCGGCGTGCTCAGTATTCTGAACTGGTCGGCGCCAATAAGTGCGTACGCATTCATGAGCAGCCGCTATCAAGGCCTAGTAGCCTCCCATGATGATGCTAGCCTTGTCTCATACAACCCGAGCTCTGGCACCGACCGCGATAACAACTCATACACATTCGAATACCTGCGCAGCTGTTTTTTCAAT